AGGAATGCATCGTCATGCTAAAGCATTATGTGAATGAAGAGTAAAGATCCAAGATATGATGGTTCAGCTGTATTAACCTGCACTCTATTTCTATTTCATGTATTGGTAGAGTAGAGGAAGCAGAGGAATATTTTCACTCGACTTTAGCTGCCACTGTGGTTCCGAAATTTCTGTGGTCCGGCATTGGTTGGGTCCCGAGGGTACTAGTTTGATATGTATAACTATTCTGTAGTTGAGTATAGGCGGCGTCACACGAGCACCTTTTTCGTCATTTAATTGCAGCAATTTTCTGAGCGTGCCTTGTCAAACTCGCATAGAGAACTAGTGTGCCAGTCTTTCTGCGTTCGTCAATTGTAAACAATGAAGATGGTGTTGTATGCCTTCTTCTTCATTTTTTTTTTACTGCATTTATTGCCCCTTGGGTCCCACAGGCAATGGTGAGATCTAATACTGTACAGTATATCATGTAACCTTTGGACAGGCATGTCCACACAGGTATAGATAGAAGGCCATGAAAAAGTTGAACACATGGCTCAGTGTAAACAAACGTATGAGATGTATTTACAAATATCAACATCAATAAAACAAATTTACATGAGCAATTTATTAAAAAATTGATACTGAATACTTAAAAAATTAAATTGGGTTATTTTACGTAGTTCAATATTTGTTTTATACAAATATCCTCATTGTCGAGTACAGTGGTCCCTCGGTTAACGATCACAATTCGTTTCACTGAGTCGTTTGTTAGCTGAAAACTTTGTTAACCGAATCCATTATTTCAATGGGATGTTGGGTAATTGGTTCCAATTCGCAGAAAAAGTATACATACAAAGTACTGTATACCGGTAATAGAATTAACAAAACATTAAATATAAACTAAATACAGTACTGTACTGTACAGTATATGGTACAATAATAAATAAAAAACAATAGAATACTGTATTTTAACTTACTTTGAGGTGTGTATGTCGTATTCCCGGCAGCTTTGTTTACATATCAAACAGCTGATTGTAGAGGCGGTCGATGATGACATGCCATATTCTTTAAAGAGTGCATTGGTTCTAACGCCTTCTTCGTGTTTCATAATAATTTCTGCACTGTATATTATCAATATGTTAACTAAATTTCAAAATTACCAATAATTTTAATGTAAAAATGCAAAAATATACGAGACCAACAAACTGGATGTTCACTCCACTGTAAACAAAGTTAAACTGAGAAGCATTGTTGGGTGATTCAATCAGCTGATTGGCACACATAAACTGTTCCCTGTACTGTATATATTATCAATATGTTAACAAAATTTCAGAATGACCAATAATTTTAATATAAAAATTGCAGAAATATTCAAGAGACCAACTTTCTTGATATTTACTCGACTGGAAACGAATGTAAATATAGAACTGATTACTGTATTGGCGGACTGGCCAATCAGCTGATGTGCACAACAAAACGTGTTTGTCGTAAGGATTTCGTTAATCAAAGTTTTGTTCGTTAATCGAACTGAAAATCCTTATGGGAGTTAATTCGTTAATCGAACCATTCGTTAACCGAGGGACCACTGTATATATCTTGACTTGAACACAGAAACTGGCACAAGCCAATCGGGAGGAAATGATGCGTTTCGTCTGAGTGAGAAGCGCTAGAAAAATTTACAATTTGTGGAAAAAACAACAGAAACGGGGAAAGTTGACGAAAAAAATGCTTCTGTGACATTGCCTTAAGTAAGCTAGTGGCTTAATTTATATATTTTCAGAGCTCTGTATTGGTACATTACATGGTCAAAATAAAAAGTACAAGAGCAAAGTCGCAATGTTGCAGTTTTGCCATGCATTAATAAAATAATTGAAGACAAAATAAAAGTACAGTAGAAGAAAATTTTACTTCTGTTTGAGAATTAATTAATTTTACCATTAAGTGGAGAACATGAAAAAGAAAAAAGTTACTATAAAAATGAATTCCATGGTAATTTTTTTGTCCAAATGTTGAGAGAAAGGAGTTTCCAGGGTCTCAAAAGTCCCCATACTCAAAGTTTGGCAATTTATAGAAGTTTAATGGGTAACGATAGCCATCCACGGTTTCACGCCGCACATGCTGGCAACGTCGTAGAAGAGTGCTGAGTAAAGTACCGATCACGTTCGCTCATGAGTGGGTAGAGGGACGTAAGTGTGAGTTTGTCGACACTGAGTTCCGCGGGCACAGAGGGTCGCTCTGTTGGAGTCGTACTTTAAATGCAAGTCTTATTAACGGTGTGTTGAAATCTTTAGAAGGAGATTCCCCGATAGTCCGACACCATGAAAGGCTACTGTTTATGAACTGGTGAAATGTTTTCGTGACACAGGAAGTGTGAAAGACAGAACAAGAACCGGGGGGCGGTCAGTAGTGACACCAGAGTTTGTGGAGGAAGTTAACCGTCACATTTTGCAATCTCCCCGTAAGTCATTGCGGCATTTGTCACACCAAGTTGGGAGCATCTCGTTCAGCCGTTCACAGGGCTATCAAACGTTTAAAGTTACGTTCATACAGAGTCAGGGTAGTTCAAGACCTGCGCCCATTGGACACAGACAAGCGTGTTCACTACTGTCGTTGGTTCAACAGGTTCACACACAACAATGTCACAGTGCTGGACACGACATTTTTCATGAACGAGGCCTGGTTACGTTAACCGGTTACGTAAATTCTCAAAATAATCATCTATGGGCTGCTGAAAATCCCCACGAAGTGCACCAGGTCCTGCTCCACTCGTAGAAAGTTGGTATGTGGTGTGCCGTTTCCAGACGGAGAATTGTGGGACCACTTTTTTCGAGTCTATTGTGAACTCGGCCGTATACGCAGACATTGTTCAGCAGTTTGTGGCTTTGTTGCCTGAGGATGAACGTTATTGTTGGTACCAGCAAAATGGAGCAACGTGCCACACATCAAACCAAACAAAGGAGATGCTCCGGGACTTCTTCCAGGATCGACTCGTCTCGAAACATCTGTGGCCACCGCACTCACCGGACTTATCTCCACCACATTTCTTCCTGTGGGGGTATCTAAAGGATCCAGTGTACCAAGACAACCCTCATAAAATGGAGCATCTACGGAACAATATCACCCATGCCGTGCAGGGCATCACCGCCGACATACTGAGGAACGTGTTCCGGAATGTGTGTCTCCAGCAAAAGGGTGGACACTTCTAGCACCTAACCTAACCTGTATCTGTGTTCCTGTATATACAGGGTGATTCAGCAAAGAGTACATTAAATTGGAGTATGAAATCCTTGGATAATTCTAAACCACAATGTCTCTATCGTAAAATGTCAGATTCTGCATATTTTTCATGTTACAATACATTTAAGATGCTGTATTAATGAGAGTGAATTTGATGTGAAACCCCCATAGGTTTTTGTAATCATTTATTCACAGCAGGACAGCGTGAGACAGATGGCTGGCACAGGTGCAATGAGACAGGGACCGTGTACGACCGAATGAGATAAAGGCAGTTAGAGGGGGGAGGGAGTTTCCCTTCAAATTCACTCTCATTAATACAACATCTTAAATGTATTGTCACATGGAAACTATGCAGACTCTGACATTTTACCATGGACACATTGTGGTTTAGAATTATCCAAGGATTTCATCCTCCAATTTAATGTAAACTCTTTGCTGAATCACCCTGTATATATATACGTACATGTACAGTATATGTATAAGGTAATCGAACAGTTTTTTAAAGATATGTACCTTAAATATCATGCAATTAATTTCTAAACTTGAGTATGGGGACTTTTGAGACACCCTGTATGTCTGAGTGGTAATGTAGTCTGGAGCAGCTCTGGGTTTTAAAAGAAATAACATTTATTGATAATGTATTAGGTTGTTACTATCAGCAAAAAAGGTTCTAATAATACTAAAGAACCGCAAAGGACTTTAAACAAGTGAAGTAAACAAGTAGAATCTTGTCGAATTACTAACTGGTGCAAGATTCTGTAGTTTCATTAACTTAAATTTTAATGAATTTGTATTATATTTTAGTGTCTTAATATTTTTGTATACCTATTAAGGGATTGCTTTAATGTAATAGTAAGAAGAATAGCTTCTAATATCCTCCAATATCAGTCATAGTGAAATGAGAAGTCTTCAAAACAAGAACAAGGAATAGATCATGGTATTTCCTGTATCTGGTAATATGTTACAATTTAGATAAAATGCTGTTCTAAATAATAATTTTTTAATAAAAGGGCATTTCCTATGTGTACAAGTTTAAAGATTTTCCATTTTTGAGGGACCACTTGCTTATCTGAGGCCAAATATTTTCAAACTCTTTCCGCAACAATTTACTAAATCATACAAAACAGCTTACTGGTTGCTCACATAAATATGAGCAACCAAGTTGTCAATATTAGATATCATAACGAGATGGTCAAAATTTTACATTTCAGGAAGTTGAACAGTACAGGGGTACATGAAAATGAAAGGAATAGACAGAAGTATGAAAGAAATTCTACCCGTGAAGCACCTTTAAATGATTTACACTACCAGAAAAACTTTAACTACCCGGTATCCACAATGAGAAATTCTGAGAAGTATCAAATTGAAACTAGATCAAATTAGCATTCTCAAAACCATGTTATGCTAATAGCACTACTTCAGGCACAAGAATATAAATGAAGCACTGGCTATTTAGTCTGTAAGCTGAGTAGTTTTTTCTCCAAGGGCTTTCAAGAAAGTTAAAGATGATCAAGAAATCTAAGACCTTACAGCACCCACTGCTGTGAATTTATGATTAATTACTGAACAAAATTAAAGTTTGACAGCTTTCTATTCATGACTGTAGGCAAAAATAATAGCTGCATATAAAGTCAAATACTGTACTGAACTTCACAAAAAAGAAAAGAAAAAAAAGATGCTCTGAAAAATTATTATTAAGCACCAACTTTAATAAAATTAAATGTAAAGTGCGAGCAGGGATGTGAAGAGCCCTTGTGACAGAGCTTTGAGCAATCGGTGCTTACGTGAGCCCCCAGAGAGGAAAGAGAGAGAGGAAGGGCGTCGATGTCACGGGTCACTGCTCTTAGATGCTGCTAGCTGCGAAGGGGAGGAACAGTGCAAGTGAGATAAGAGGAAATTCACCAAGTTCAGAACTGTTCATGAACTTCTTAGACTGTCAACTGAGACTGGAGATGATCCACCAAGTTCTGAACTGTTTATAACCTCTAATAATATGACAAATTAAATGAGGTAAATAAGTTTACTCATAAATTTCTCTTAACAGCTATGAGTTGGAATGAAGTATCAATACCAAATTTAAAAGTGTTCATGAACCCCTTTGATCATAAGGTGAAAGTTGTGATGAACTACCAAATTCTGAAGTATTATTAATGAAATCTTATGGGCCTCAAAATGGCAATTTGTTGTAATAAACTCTTAACATTTGAATCTTAGAATAAAGCACAATACATCATGGTGTTTATTATATTAAGTTGCAGTTACTTTTATTTGAGTAGTGTTAATCGCTGAAAATATATTGGGTAAACGTGAAAGTGCATAAAAGTTCATAACTGCCACTTATCAAGTACTGTACTGTACTGTATTACATTCAAATCTTTAAAAACCTAATTCCTTGATGTCATAGCATTTTGTTTAACTCAGATCTTATGCTATCCCAAATCTTTGCTTATAACCCTATATAAATGTTGCTATTCCACACAATAGTTAAACTAATACATGTAGTAAAATTTCATGATGAATGGTCTATTACAGCACATACAGTAATTCTTAGACAGCCCCACTGAAAGATATTAATATGATGGCAGTATTGGTATGAGGTACAAAATATTATGCCAAGAAATATGAAGTACAGTACAGGGTAGATGTCAACTGCTTTAGTATAATATACCAGTGTAAAATATTAGGAATTTTATTTAGTTTTCTTGGATAACTTTGTAATGCACACATGGAGAGCCATTGTTGAATTCCCAATAAGCAATAATAATTTTGGCTATGGTAATACCTGTATACATAATAAGTTTTGGTGATTTTTATGCAAATTCAGAATTTGGAGTTCAAACAATCAGACACTTAGTAGAAATTTAAGCAGAGAAACATAACTCCAGCAAACTATATACACAGCTTTGGCACAGAGATGTCTTGACTGTTATCTGGGCTGACAGTATAAGTACTAAACACTATAAAAAAATTATTCCAACCTTTTACAAGTTGTCATGTTTAATGACTGCTTCTCACTAATGTAAAAAGTGAACTACAAAACAAAATTTTTTGTGTATCCCGGAAAGAGAGATCATTTTGATCTCTCAATTTGTTTTGATCTGCAATATCTACCCACGAACTACTAGTATGTGTTCTCATAATTACAACCCTGGAAAATAGTAGGGTGTAGGAATGCCATTTTCAAATATTAGTTATGTACTGTCTACATATAATTATGACACTTCTATTGTACAATGAATCTGAGCTAATGTCACTCATACAGAGACTAGGATGATAGTACAGTAAACAGTCTTTTGATGGAACTAAAAAAGTTGGAACATGGCCCATATAATGTATAACAGTACTAACAAAAACAGTAGTTGCAACAGGAACTACACTCAGCCTCAACACATAGTAGCACCTTTTAAACTACTAAACCGTATACTATACAGTATTTATACTGTACTAGAGAAACTCTGGTAAACTACTGCACCTTGTACTATTAATATAATGTAGTCTGCTGCATCACCTGTGTAAATCAAGACTTGCAAGAGCTCCCCATATTTACTCTTTTATCAAGCTTAAAAGCCTTTAACACCGGCTGACTTTTATGGTATTTATAGGCCCATTAGATGGTTATAGCTCACCACTACTATACTATACTACTGAAACAATGTTTGAATAAGAACAAGTTAACTGTTGTGCAACTGAACTGATTAATTATATGCAATATGAAAATATTTTAATTAAATAGGAAATAATTTAGAACTAATTACATAGCATTATCTATAAATTTACTAAAGTTTAATGCACTGTCCATAAACATTAATTAAAGGGTTATATTAACTAAACATTAAAATTAAATGTATTAATAATTCATTATAGATTAAAGCAGGAAGTGTAGTTAAATATACCAAGGGTTAGTACTGTATTGGTTACAGGGTTATAAGGTACTGCTGATCAGCCTCTGCCAAAAAGACACTGACCTTTTTAGGAAATAATGAGATTATTAGTAACAAACAGAAAAGCAGTATAATATAAAAGAAACAATTATATCAGAAGACTGTATTATACTCTCTAATGACTCTAGCTTCTATTACTAATGTCTAAAACAGTGAATGCTATTTACTTTATAAGATACAGAGTATATTACTAACAGAGAAACAATGAGAGTGCTTTAGCTTGGAGATAATACAGAATATTTCATTTCAATATGACAATGTATGAATAATAAGACTGATCCTAAACTGTACACCATATTAGATTATTTACAGTAATTCATATGTTTTTATTTAATTTCTAACCTTTAAAAATCTTACAAATTCATTTAGGCAGTGTGAAAAAGTGCTAACTGAAAAATGTTTATCATTATAATCCTAGAAATACTCAAAACATAAAAGCACATAATTATTACCTGCATATATAAAACTGCAGCATCCAAAAATCAAGCACGATCAAATAATAAAAAAAAAATCACCAAAAATACAGCAGCATGATACAGCAAGTAGGTTCAATACGTGATGATAAAAAGCATATACATGTACTGTACAAAATTGCTTACAATTAAATACAGGGACAGGAAAAATATAGGAAAAAAGCAATAAAGTAACATAGCCACCAAAAAACTGGGAAAATATCTTTGAAATCTTGTAAATGAGGACTGTGAGGTAAGACCATGGGGGGAGGGTGAGGACAGAAGTGTTACAGGACAGGGTTACTGTATTTAGATGTTACAGGAGGGAAAGAATAAATAATTTTTCATAGTGTGCTTGGAAATACTGTTGTTTTTAATGATACAAACTTTTTAGTGTGGGAGTTGTAGCCTTTGTAATCCCCTCCATCTCTATTTGTAATGAATTCCTAGTTTTTATCCATAACAAGAATGTTAGACTGCATATTGTTTTTCACTTACAAGTCAATTTCCTTTTATACTCAATACTGACAACTGAAAATTAATTCTTAAATAGTTGAGCGGTCACCCGAATCAACTCCCAGTTGTCTCTTGAGTAAAATATTCAATAATAATTTATACAAGCAATGGAACACCTTATTTTCCAAGCAGACCCCAAGAAACACAATAACTGTAATGGGGTGAGGGAGTATATAATCACAATACTGAATTAGAAGGTTATAATCATCATTGGGCACACAGATATACTACACCTCAAAGTCGACATATACAGGTACTGTATATGCCCAATCAAGATACACATAACATTTACAACACCAAAACTACAGTACAGCTCAGATTAAACTATGTGTACACTTTTAGAAGCTCTGTGCATGTTGCAGAGAAAGGATGCACGAATAAAGAGTCGATGCACAACTGCTCATTGTTGGGGAAATTTAGATTCTCTCTGAGCAAGACGGTGTTAGCAGGTAACTGGAGCTTTACAGTTGACAAGATACAGTAGTGGAGAAGTGTGAAAACTTGTAAGTGTGTATGTGTGAAAAATGATGTAAATAAATTGAAAAGAAGAAAATATGATTGGGTGATGTATGTTGAAAATTATAATATATTTGCTCATCTAATAAAAAAAAATTACTTTAGTGCAATCAATTAGTTGGGAGAGTAGACACTGAAATTTAATCTGTGGATCAATATGATAACTCGTAAAGAAAAAAGATAAATGTAATGGTAAATATGATAACAGTAAATTTATAATCCAATGAAATTATTATTGGCTGTGGTACAAATATGGGTGGGATAAGGAGTCGGAACAGTATCACTTGAAGGCAACCACACTTATCTGGTTAATAGCATTCAGTACAAGATGGCAACCAACTTGAACTCAACATTGTTATAAGTAGGCACCAAGTGTATGGCCACCTGTCTGTGTTATCCACTAATCTATATTTCGGTCTCCATATACAGGGTAATCAGCTTTTATCTTAACCTTTGCACCTTAAATTTCTGCCCATAAAGACAAATTTTCCCTAATTTTTCTAATTGGAATGTTAATTTTGTATCTACAATTTTATATTCAATCCACTCTGTCATATTGCTTTGAAAATTTACTTTGAAAAATAACTACTGTACTGTATTCAATCTGTCTATCCCCCTTTTGTAATTTTATTGAACAAATAACAAAAATTGATCCTGTTAATGTTTTCTTATTTTCAAGTCAGAAAATATACACAAGCATATCTCAATTTACAAAAAGCTTCCATTTCTGAAAAAATCATTCATAAGTCATTGAATACGATTTTCCCATTAGCATCCATTAAATAACTGAAGATACTGTACATTCCTATGAAAAAATAAACCTATTTGGGTGAGGAGAGTGTAGGGGTGATCTAATTGAAAGTGGTTGTGTTTGGGGTAAATAGAGCACTCTGCTGACTGGTTCTTCCACCAAGAGTACTACTGCCTTGTAACATTCCTCTTAAACAACACCTTTACGTGAATCTATGATGTTTAGACCATTCTACTCTTTATAAGACGTCATTATTATCTATGGCTTTATACATTTGGTGTCAATTGTCATAACCAAATAAGTGCGACATACATTCTCAAATGATAAGTGGAGGAGCACGACATACATTCTGGAATTCAGAGCATTATCAATGCAGTGTGCAAAAAATTTCATATCTTACAGGGTCAAGTATATGATGTTTACACTCGCCAGTTGTCCCACTGGGTAATCCTCCCACCCACGCCGCTGATGAAGCAGTTATATCTCGGTCATGATGGAGGCAAGATGTGCATGCTTGCCGTGCTAGCCCCAAACCCACTGACTTCACAAATTCACCACGGCCAAACTAAGGTAAGTAATGGACTCATATTTGGTTTCCACATTCTTCTACATACTATCTTTTAATCCATAAGAGTTACAATGAAGTTTGGAGAAAATTGACATACGTGTTTTGTTTTTTTTTCTTTTGCACTGGGGGTTGATTGGCGAATCATCATACCACAGATATTGAGTTAATATACAGTACATAGTAATTTGTGGAAAAATAGAGGGAAAAAATTTTGTATTTACTCTAAAACTGTTCCCCTAAAGCTTGAATTTATTTGCGACTTTGAATGTAAATATTCTTTACTTCGTAGAGTATTTTAAACCTTTTTTCCACTAGTATCTTGGTTCACTGGTGCACTGTTAAGCCCTAAGCACAGTTGAGGTCCCCCCAGGAGAAAAATTTGAGATAATGAGCTTCTTACACAACTGTATGCGAGGGTTGTGTATCACCACCACTATCATTCCATTCCTGCTTGTTTAGTGGCTAACTATAATACCTAAACTCAATAAATGTCTGTTTGTCAGGGGTGTGGAGTGGTGGTGTTAACATCATGGCTGGCTAGTGTCATGTGAGCCGTGTGGCTGGGTTGCGTGTGCCCAGTTACAAGTGGTGACATGTACCCAGCTTACAAATATTTATGGCACTTGATACAGCTCATAACTCTTGGTATCTATAATAAATACAAGCATATGCAGTATTGTTTTCATGTTTATATGTTTTACAATACCCAAATTCAACACTCTTTCAACATTTTGTCCTGTAGTGGTGAATGACATTCTACACTAGATCAAGAATTTGAAGATTTTTTTGTTGTCGTGATCCTTTAAATACATCTAGGTATCACTAGTTTATGAACATGCTGCAGACTTTATTTGTATAATTATAAATAATTGCTTTGCAGAGGGTAATTTTGTGCAATCTGAGAAACAGACTTTATTGCATCCATTTTTTTAAAAAACCTGGTCTCTCATTCTTATCAAAGATCACAAGGTGTTCTATGCTGGATAAATTACTTCCTCCTTTAGAGAGAGAAATGGAATGATCCCTCTGGTCCAGTCAGCCTAAAGGAAGCACCATTCAACTGAAACTGCATTATGTAAAATTCATAATGATTTGGTAATAAACACTTGCACAGGAATGTCCTCCCTCCTGGTCTTGCTTTGCTCTGTGGCACATCATTCCCCTCTAACTGCCACTGACATGAAGCCAAAAATAAGATTTGCCATCTGCTCGAGTTGGCAGTGTAGGTGGGATGCCGTCTGAGCAAACAAGCATAATGTGTTGTCTAATGGTAGACCCTGCTGGCATATGGCATCACAAAATTTTTTACCAATTCCCAGGTTGCTGATCTGTCTTTCTGCCTCATTTACACACAATTGCAGGGTCTCAGTTGTTTCTCATACTATTGACAACACAAAATCTATATCATTCTCACTCTTGATTTTTTTTTCTGTTTCTGTACAGTATTTATTTTTGGCTCAATTTTCTGTTCATAATCTTGGCATATTTTTTTACTCAAAACTGAATTTTAAAGAGCATGCAGATTCAGTAGTTAAGAGTTGCAGTTTTCAAATTCAAAATCTGTATACTGTTAAACAGATTCTGGAGAGACAGTGTCTTGTGATACTATTACATTCAATTATTTTGTCTCGGGTTGACTATTGTAACTCTTTATGGGTCTGCCTACCTAATTATCTACCGAAAAAAGTTCAGACAGTGTTGGATAGGGTTGCCATGCTCATTTTTCTCTCCCACCGAGGACTTCCATTACCCCATTCTTGATAGAATTGCATTGGTTTCCAATTAAAGCTAGGATAGAGTTTAAACTCTGCCTAAAGACTTTTAGGGTACTACAGTACTGTATGTTTGGTGATCCTAAGTATTTGGCCAACCTATTAAATCCTCTGTCCACAAGTTCCGAAATGACTTTGTGTAGCAGTGATGATCTGCCACGCCTCGAGTAAAGAGCAGAACGGAAATGTCATTTTGCTGCCCAGTCCTTTTCCTATACTGTACAGCACCCAGATTATACAATCGGTCGCCTGCATCCATGAAGCAGCTGACTTCTGTGAAGGCCTTTAAGAACAACTTAAGACCTTTCTCTTTTTGATAGCTTATGATCTTGAACAGGGTATGGTGAAGAAGAATTATATGGTGAGGAAGTATTTAAAGTTAAGGATAGAAGTCGAACTGTCACTTTTGTGATCTTTTATTGAAGTATAGTATTTCTTTTTATTCTCAAGTCTTTGGCTTTGTAGTGTTTCAAGCACTAGTGAATTCTTTAGAATACCTGGCACTTTTGAGAAACAATAGACCAGCTATATTATTATTATTATTTATATATGCTACATATCTTTCTTATTAGCATAAAACACAGCAATTCAATTAGTATGCAAACTACATGAAATCATGTTTATTCTAGATCATCAAATTCTTGTGTATATAAACTAAAATTAAGTGCTATTTATATGAATTATATATTAATATGTTAATCTAGGTACAGTATATCAATTTCATTAGGTCATCATTCATTTAAAGGTATTTAACGAACTAACGATGAAATATACGGTTTCTAAAATAAAATATAAAGCAAAAAAAAATGTGTGGCGAGTTATGCATTAAACAGCAGCAATAAACCGAAGGACCTAGCATGCAAGGCCTAAGATAGGGGGTAACCATTTATTGTTCATGATTTTGCCATTGTTGTTAACATCTAACAAAAGAAAGTGTGCTATGTACTTTTCATCAACAACTGTCTTTTTTTTTCCGAAGTAAGAATCTGTAATATACATTTTAATCACAATGAAAAAAAAAAAGCAAAACACAAACAATAATAAACACTTGTTGATGAAAATGATGCTTCCATCTTTACTGGGACATGTCTACACCATGGACTGTTAAAGTTAGCAGTGTGATATGGAGGTAAGGTAGGTTATGGGGATGACAAGGTGGTTTGGAAATGGTACTTGAGTGAACAGTGGTGCATTGGTGCTGTGGAATTGGCAGGGTAAGTTAAGGACAGTGAAGGGATAGTAATAAACTGATGCTTGGGTGAAGAGTAGTGTTAAGGTGGTAAGATATAATTAGTGGTAGTGATACAGAGGTACTGATAAAAGTGGTGCCTGAGTGGTGTTCAAGCAATAATAATGTGGTTAATAACAGTAACAAAGTGGTAATAAAGTAGTAAGTGTGTGAGCATTGATGTGGTGGTAGGGCAGGCAGTGGTGGTGGTGACATGGTATTAATGAAGGAATGATCAGGAAAATGGTGTTGTTAAGACAATGAATTATGCTAAAGATGAATTGTCATAGTTAAATCTTAGTAATATAAATAATGAATGATTGGTTGGGCAATGATAAAAGTGGTGGTAAGTTATGATGATTGTTGTGAATTGAAGTGGCAGGAATATTGATAATCAGGATGAAGGTAGTAAAAGTTATATTGGTAACTATGAGCGAACTGTAGTGAGGAGGTTATTGGACAGCAAATGTTGATTATAAGGATGTTGATGGATAGGATGGGGATAGTGAAAATGTGATTGTAACATAATGTATGAGAAGGTAATAGAAATGAGTGAATTCGTGCATGAGTAAGAGAATGCATGTGTAGTTATGTCAGCGCAGCAGGCAGAGAAAGGAGCGAGGGGTGGTGGTTTCTGTGGTGCGTGGTTTGGGCTGCGTTGTCAGGAACTCACAGACAACGATTCCATCTCGTCCAGCGACTCTAGTCTAGCGATGGGCGCTTCGGTGAGGGATCGGAAGTCGCCCCAGGATTCAGGCTCAGAGCCCCTGGAGTCCTCCCGACGGGGTGCCCAGGGATCGAGGGCTGCGCCTTGCAGGGGTGAGCGGCACTTACGACGCCACCGGGCCTGCAGCAGCACCACATCCGCCATGGCCCAAGTTAGTCACAGATACAAGTCCGAACCCCACATACCTCAAGTCAACATTTGATCCACGCTCGTGCATTTTATAATATTATGTCTGAATTAGTTTTGATGCTTTGTTACATGTAATGCTGTGACCCCGGGCATGGCAATGATGCTATGTTACATGTTATTCTGTGAACCAACCATGAGAACCACAATGGAACTCATGGCCAGATGAGCCAGAGATGGTTATCATGCTGTGATATGTTATATAGTAAGCTAGCAAAGACCAACAGCATGTGACGAATTATTGTGTGAGCAAGGCATGGCTACCAAGCTGTGATATCTTGTACTGTGAGTCACTTACACATGTAACACTGGTCTACACGCTTTCATGTATCATACTCTATGTCAGACATAACAACACACTGCAACACTATTGACTAGGACACCCATGGTCAATACAGCATTACATGTAACACTGAGTCACACATTCTCTTCATAATGATACAAGTAACACCATGAGAAATGTGGACACCAAATATTGCTACACATAACACTTAAAAGTCTCACATTCCACTGCATATAACAGGTTACATATATTCCACACACTGTTACATGTAACACTATGAATTACACACACCCTACATACTGTAACACAATGCGCAGTAAGTCAGTCAGAAATTAACACACTATGACTAATAATGCATATTACAATGATAGCAAGACACTGCAAATACACTGTACTTGCAATGCAGTACATTACTGCAGTATGATACATGGCAAAGTGTTACATGTCGCAGTGTGAGACTGTGAAGGACCATTAAGTTAAATACCGACAAAAAGCAGAATTTAGATTTTTTTCTCCATAAAATGGTTACATTATATTATGGTTTTCTACTTTTCATTAAATTTGTGAACAAAGCACAACAAATCATTCCAAGACTAAGTTTTTCATTATGTCTTGATAATAATTAGAATTGCCAAATCCAATAATTATTCCCCTTAATGAAATGTTAGTAGTCCATGTGTACACAGATTCACTCATTTGTATGTACTGTATACACAGATGTTTAGACTCATATGTACTTAAACATATACTGTACTGTCATGCATAGAATGAGCATTGGTTCTGGACAAGACATACAAATAATACAAAAACATAAATACAGTATAATACCAATGCATTCACAGGTACCAAAATATTTACACACATATTAGCAGAGCAACGAATCAACAAAAGTACACTTAAAAATAAATACATCCACAAATAAACACAATCTATAAAGAGATATACAAGCACACACACACAGCTATTTCATTCACCATCAAATCTTTCAAGGAGTTAAATGTTTTCAGCTGCTGGTCCATTCTTTTCACATACTGTACAGTCACTAATCACAAATATCTAATGAAATACCTTCACTTCTTTAAATTATGCATGCCATTTCTAACACCCAAATACTGCAGTATGGAGCAATGCATGACTAATTTTCACTCAAAATTACAATTACTAGCTAGCTCGATACAGTACATTAGTCTTGAAAACTTAATTTGCATACTGGCAATCAAACAACTACTGAAAAAATCTAGAAGCTGATATACCCATCAAAAACAAGAAAGAATATTTCCAATAAGGACATGAAGGATCTTGACAAGAATTTGCTTTACTTTAAGAAACAGCATCCAAATGAACAATCATTGTAAGTCACTTAAGACCTAAATCTATTTACCCATGGCAAACCATTTAGTCATCTGTGGGTGAGTGTACAACTAAAACTCTCATCAACAGACCATACAGAATTTAGATGACAGTAAAAGTGTCTCTTCAAAGAGCTGCACATGAAGCTAAGCTTTCTCAGAAAAGTTACAAAGGCAGGAGCACTTCATTACCTACCACTGGAGTGACAACATAAAAAGCTTGAAAATGAAAGACCTTCTTCGTGAGATTAGAACCACCAAATGTGTTTTTAATTACAGCTTGAAGCCATGTATACCATTGTTTGATAAATGTACTATTCTTATCTACTCTAATACAATTCAGAGGCATTTACGACGGCAACTGATGTGGAAAAGCGATTTCCTTCAGATCAAATTTTCCAAGACCAAGAACACTTTTTGACTGTCAAGATTAATAACTGATAGCACATTATATTCTGCAGCTGCTAAGTTTATGAGTAATATTTTTCCTTTAAGATAAATGAGATGAGTAGTAAGGAGCAGCTTTACCATCAAAATAATGGAATAATAATACAGTGTATCATAGATTTCACAAATAAATTTACTACCATGACAGATCAAGCAATAATCTCACTCTCATCCAGTGCTTGAGAAACTTGAGAAACTGGCATATATCCTAATTCCCCATTCCATAGATCTCTTAAAAAACTGACGGCTCTGGAATTTCAAATTAGGCGTGGTAAACAAATATTGTACTGTAATTATCTGCAGTGCTGAGTGAGGCATTGTTTACAAACCATCATTCCTCCCATATGTTTCCTAACACAACTTACCCACACAACCCCACATTTTCCCTATGGTTTGCACCATTCATTTTAATAGGTGCTCTCAAACCCTTAAAATATCTTTGGCAAGGCCAAAGAAGAGTACCAGCATCAAGGAGTAGTGTTTCATACTAATGCTGTTACATATGTAACCAGCTGGACAGAGGTGTTAATAAGGCCTCCATTATGTCTAAATACAACATAAGCTTGTCTACTATCTATGATATCCAAAAGCTATCAAATGGAGTGCTACAAGTTTGATGACTAGTACAGTTTCTCTTCAAATGTTGTTTAATTTATCTATGTTTTTAATAAAATTTCTGATTGTAACATCAAATTGTTTCTGCATTATATACTGAAGGCAACTCAAAAATATTCTCTTAAGATATCAGAACTCTTATAAATCCCGCACCACTAATTCTCCAAACATTCCAAAAAACAAAGTCTACTGAATTACCTGCACAAACCCTTGTGGTGACCCTGGTTATCATGATAACATAATAATTATAATTATGAACCATGAAGAACTCTGCTACAAAATTAAGTGGCCCATGCTGAGTGCTGACACCAATCAAGACTGATTAACCCTATGGCTATGAAAAGCAAATAGAGATAACCGCTATAGAGGGTGTGATAAGCCAGCTGCCTGCCAATATTTTGGCATAAATTTTTAAAGTTGTGCACCAAGTGAAGTGTCATAGATTGTGTCCTACAGGGCTCTACGTCCCCCAATCTCTAGGCTCTTCACCATGGCTAAACCAAACTAGATACAGTATATATTTATTCTTTTGTTCCCATTAGCCTGCTGCATAAGATGAAAACATGACTTTTCTTTTAAGAACTTAATCTTATCGTGATTACAGTATTGTGCACATGGTGCATGATAAATCTATCACAGGCTGCAGTCAAAAGGTTGAGCTCCACATAATTATAGGGGAAATAAATCCATATTATAGAGAAGAATTTTTCTCCCAATTCTATAAGCCTGGTGATTAAACAAGGAACAACAGCTTCTATGCTGATTTCTGGGACCTCAGAGGCTGGTAGTCTACATCTGAAGAGACTTCTAGTCCTAGCATCATTAAAAAAATATAAAAAAAATAAAATAAAAATAATAATAACAGATGTTGATGATAGTAGAAGAATTTGAATAATGGTAACCATGAGAAAACATCATCCCAAACACTCTAGTACACTACATTATATCATGGAGTTTTTCTTCAAATTTGAAGTAAATTAAATGATATAGTACTAGAGACACTTCCCAGATATAATTACCATGAGGCAACATTACAACACCAGAACACATCACAAGTTGTAAGGCCATGTGTGGTCTGAATCTTGAGACAATCAACTTAAAAAATAAGTAAATCTGTAAGAGAGCACAAACCTCATGGTCACTAACAATGTTGATGAGCACAAACTTCATGGTCACTAGCAGTGCTGACTATACTGTCTATATATATATATACACACACACACACAGTGATATCCCCATTGGTCGGAACAATTGGTGCAGAGCTCTCTCGGCCCGGGTATTGGGAAAAGTTTCCGAGTCTAAACTATGGATCTAGCACAGACTGACACTAGCCCACATCCCTGAATATTTCTGGCTGTCGGGGAAATTTTTCCGTGAGACAAAACTATGCATCTCATCTCGACTCTAAACTACAGTACTCAATTTAACGGAATCCGAAATAACGAACTCTTGACTTAGCGGAAGGAATTTTTTCCTTTATTTTTCACTCGGTTTAGTGAACTAGTTTGCTAAATCTATATTAATTCCGTTAATACGCTCACAGCTACGGAGACACATCAGACACATGATATGTACATTGAAACATTATTCATGGCTTACCTTCAACTAGGGGGTTCGGTGTTTGCTTTAAATTTTTTGTTATAATTTCCAAACTTTTTTCCAATTGATAGCTGCACTCTTTTTTATTTTCTCCCCCAAGCTACTTCCTTTCTGAGACTTCTGAGAGACTTTTGTCATGATGTCTAAGCACAGTAGTTAGTTGACTGAGTTGTAGACCGAGAGGTAGCAGTGTACAACACGTGCAGTAGTGGCAGGACACAGACTGAGCAGATGTAAACAACTCCACCAGAAATTTGATTTCGCGGATATTTCGATTTAACGGAAAGGAGTGAATCGAATTAGTTTGTTAAATCGAGAAAATACTGTACTCATCTCATCTTGCATGGAAAAACACTCTCCCATAACATTCAGACCAAGGGCACAAGTAAAAATATTTATGGCTAGCCAAAGTGTATAAATTTTTATTCACAGCATCTGTTCTAATAGTGTTAGGGAGATGAATTTAATGCCATAATGATACTAAATAAATTCTCTGCAAGACCATTGCAATAAAAGATCCTTAAATAAAATATTTTGACATGACATAATAATGGGGACTCAATTCTTTTATGAAAAAAAAAGTAAGAAATGTTGATAAGAGTATATAAAGTAAGTTCTAATTAACTTAGAAACCCCACTTTTTTTATACAAATAATCCTGAATAGTTTATCTAAAAACCTGGTTAAATAAATATACTGTATTTAAAAATAAAAAATCTCTATGATATGGGCGTCCAAGTAGCGAGTGGGGCTGTGTGTCACTCACAAACAAGACAGTGGAATTTTCCACTCTGCATTGGGGAATATTTTTCCGACTCTAAACGATGCACCACAAACGGAGCTGTACAGTATTTATTTATGCAAACACCACTGAACAAGTTCAATACATTGTAATCACAGTAAATAATGTACTGTATACTACTACTCTACTTTATATACTGTACTCACCAGCAGATGCTGAGTAGGCAGACACTGTCCTCTCTGCTGAATGTAATACGTAACAGTAATAACGTTTTACTATTTAACACTAGCGATGGAGGTGGCTTGTGAATTAGTGGGTCATGTTATTGACCTGACCTGATGCAATATCAGGTCACCCATTGTCGGGGTGGGGGATGTACAGTCCGGCATCTTCGTGGTGTAGATTAATACACTTTTCTCTTTTATTTTTAATTTCTTTTTAATCTTATTTTATCGCCCCCCGAGGCCCCGTTGTGGGCCAATGACCTGTGCCCGGGTGGGCTATTCACCCCCCCCCCCACAAAAAAAATCACTATGCCTTAATACTGTTTTATTACTGTACGTATTCTTGGCTGATTGTGTCCTGGTACAGTAATGTACAGCACTACACAACACAAATTGTATGCAAAAACAGCAGCTAGTGGGGGATCAACCTTCTACAATGGCAGCAGTATATGAACTAAGTGATCCAAGCAGCTTGGCCAGCTAGGCATGTGGGGATGCATTGGAAAATTTATTCCCAGGCCCAGACCTGTAATGGATAGAGTTTTCTCGGAAATTCAGCCCGATTTCAATTCTGGCTATTGAAGAGTCTCGGGGATCAGGTATTCTGGCAAATGGGGAGATCACTGTATATATACTGTATATATTAACACAAGCAAGCAAATAACCTGTTTATTAACCTTGAGCAGGGATTATTACTCCAAAATTAACGAGACAAACAATAAAATGAGAAATTATGATAAACAAAAAATCCACCCATACAACCACAACACACACTAAATCAACATTAGCACACAAAATGCACAGGGAGTAAGCACATCAAAGAGTAAATTCCACTATGCATACAAAAATCGATTTATACACGTTAATCTGCACGCATGCATGCACGCGCGCATACACACACAAACACACACACACATATATTAATATATGGGTAGATCACAGTCAGAGTTAAGTGAATAAGAGGATACAGTAGATATAATTTTTTTCCTGCCAGAATCATGCTACCTAGTTTCATCAACGACCAATATGTGGCACCACTAGTATCTTGTTGCTATGGTAACTATGGTAACTATCTAATTCTCAATAAGGCAACAAATTGTTACAACTCACTCACTAATGTCTCAGGAGGTCCAGGAGGAGCTGCTTAGTGATCAAAAGTGTTGTATGATGATAGTGATGAAGATCTTGAGAATATTTTGTCTTACTGTTTGACCATAAATACACCTGCACTCTTAGATTTATTTACTGTAAGGCAAAAGTCTACTTTCTCCAATTATACAGGAAGAAGTTTTATCCTCACACAGGTTTAGTGGGTGGCAAGATATACTCAACTCTATTACAGTACAGTATCTCCTAAAATTTGAAAAGTAACATACGTATTGGCAGTCAAAATAATTTTAATCTCTAAATACATAGCATTTGTATATACAGTACAGTACAGGTACTGTATTATAACCAATATATAAACCAAAGTACTGTATTTAGCAATTCAATCAAATACTGATTTTAGAAGCAAAATTCTAGATATCACTTTGTCAAATCACTGTCTTTGTGAGGTAGCAGACTCTGGCTCTGATCCATTCATATATATGAATATCTGTATGTACAGTATATAGCTAGACACAAACACAAAAAGACACATGGATAAGCAGACAAGAAAACAAGTCTTATGTACACACACACACATACACACATGCATTTAAGTGCACACATGTACACACATGTTGAAACACACACATTTCAATGAATTTCAAAATCACACAAATCTCACACAAAAGTCATCCCATACTGAGCCTTCTATGATATGATCTTTCATAATGCACTCCTCAGTTTCTTCTTTCATTAGGTATACTGTAATTATACGTTTCACTGGAGAACAGATCCAGTTGACTGACATACTCGATATATTCTCATTAACCCTTATCTTCTTTGACTTATGTTAACAAACTGATACTGTGTCTGGGTAGATTTGCCGTACTTTTTTCATGTTTGTTGACAATTGTGATGATTTGTTGTAAACTGTAGAGTTTTGGAAAATGGTACAGTACTCAAGGTGTTTAAAAAATTTCTTTTGCAAAAATACTATCATCAAAATTGCAACACTGTGTGAGAAAGATTAAGTTTTATTGATAAAGACATGATAATTATAATGGTCAACAAGTTAGTGGACTCCTGTTGTCACATTAGTTCAATATGTTACGATACCCAGGGAGGAAATGATCATCCAACACACACCATTTGTTTAATAGAGCTTAATGGGGAAAGAGGGGAGGTGGTAGAGGCAGAAGATATGTAGGGGACAGTAAGAGGGAGAGATGCTTAGCTGCGCGATGTACATATCTGAATTCTATTGTGCTTCAACTGGATAGCATTTAAGTGGATAAATAAATGGAAAAGCTCCAGATTGAGAAGACTGAAGAGGGAAAAATATTAAGGAGGAAAATAGAGTTGACAGTTAAGGGACTTTGCTGTAATGTCATGCCATATGAGAGAAGCTGCAAATAGTACGGGGTACAGTTAAGAGCTCAGGTATATAGAATTGCTAAAGGTGGTGAAGTTGAGCTTACCAAAAAAAGTAAACTGCTATTTATGAAAAATTTTCTTCAGCTATGGGTAGCTGATGTATGCACTGGGAATAAATAAAGATGTAACAATGTAATATTCCTTATATTTTTTTAATACAAGAAAATTTACACTACATTTTTGCAAAACACCATGGGGACAGATGCATTCTTAAAAATGTCTACTCCATATACACGTGATTATTTTCCTCAAATACTTTTAAGAAACCAACAATCATTTAATATATAGTAGCCAACTCATTGTTCTTCAAAACAGATTAAATTATTCCCATGCAATAATCTTACTCAGATATTAATGAAGTAATCTCTCAATAAACCCAAACTGACTAACCTTCACAACCACTGTGTGTCTGTCTGAAAATTTAAACTGATTATCACACATATGTTTAACATGTAGATCTGAAACCTGTAATCAAATTCATCATAAATACACAGTTTTAACTCAGGGGGTCCACCCTGAAGCACAACCTGTAAAATAAACCATATATATTTATAGGGCTTAAGACTTATCCCACCACATCTTCCTTACAGTGCTTTGTTTACCTGTGTTAGGTCTGAGGGTTGAGATTGGCTGCGTGGTGGGGATGGCCTAAGGGCATCTGGGTCCAAGTCTGGTGTGAGGGGCATGGAGGGACATTGTCTGGTGGTAACCCCTACACCCCCTCGTCCTGGCCCGCTGCTAGCTCCAAGGGCGCCACTCACTTCCCGAAAGTCAAGACCCTGATGTGTGGAGCCATCACTCGAATGACCTAACAAGTCCTCTACCCTGTAAACACATTACATTATAGCAGTACAGTGTATCTGAAAATATTAGATAATCACTTCCAAAAATAACAGAGAGAGAGATAGTAGGTTATTTTGGCATGTCTTCTGGTGCAGTATCTATCTAGGTCATTGCAATAAAAGATCGCTGAAATTGAGATAAATAAAATATTGCCTGTCAAATACTATCCTTAAAATAACTTAAAAAAGTAATACACTAATTCATAATGTAAGTGCTGTTGGCAACTAAAAATTCAGGCTGGGGTTGATATCATGTAAACAGCAGACCCTTGTTATTTTTCGATTCTTCACTTTACTTTTATACCTCTTCACCACTGATTGGCTTGTTAGCCACTTGGGCGATCGGTCAGGTCTCTGTTACTTTTCTTTTTCTTTTATTGTTTTCTTTATTTTACAGCATACCAAATTACCATTTTTCTTTACTGCATGGTCCAACCTCTTTATTAAATGATATAAGCCAGCCAAGAAAAATTTAATATTTTTAAATGGACAACCACATTCACGAACTGATGACGAGGAAAGTTTCCCACCTGTCTCACTAGGTGACGGCAACAGCCTGTCACTCAAAGCCAATCACATTCAATTGCTCTTGTACACTCAAGCGCTCTGCTGTGTGGACACTTGCTCTGCCCCTTCATAACTTTCAATGACATACAACAGTTGCCAGTTCCTATCAATACCTCATATGCTTCTTCTACCACTCCAAGCACCATGAAATTTCATAAGGCTTTTTCCACCGATGAAAAAATCAAGATATTGAATCAACTTGCGCTGAGGCTGTCTAGCAGTGGGTGTGGTCAGGCAAGATAAACATCAAAGAAATTATTTAGTATTTTTGGGGGCTCCAATCCCATCCCCTATATTTTCTATCAAAATACTGTACGTACTGTATATACTGAAAAATTGCATTTTTATGTTTTATAGTAATTCTCTGTCCCACTCTTGTGATATAATGAGGGTCTATTGTATATCATTACCCTGTACGAACCTGCCTCCAACCCCAGCTAAGTTAAAGGAAGTAGATGGAATGGTCAAAAGATTTGGGTAAATGATGAAAATGGACATACTGTATGCTGATGGAATAAAGAAAGCATGAATGAAGTAAATTGAAGAAGACAGGGAAGTAGAATAAAATATGGAACAAATGGAAAGGTAATATAATTTAAAGGGGGAAAGGTTAGTGTTCAAGAACTAGAATGGTATGGAAAAACTATACACAACCACCCAGCTAAATAAATGGAGGTATGATATTAGATACTGATAAATAGTTAGACAAGAGTTATAGGTAAGATAATGATGAACGGTCAATCAATCATCAAGAAAGATTTAAGAAAGATGCCTGACTGGGGAAAATATGGAATACAAATCAAAGTACCACCTACTATACATAATTCTTCTCTGATTAAATTATGGTATGGTATTTTGCATTCAACATAAGATACAAATAAAATGGGGCTTGTTTATCAATAAAGTAGTCTTCATGAAATTACCACATGGCTATATTCCTAAGTTTTTCTATTAAGTCAGTTTGCTGTATGATTGTTTATAACACTCATCAAATGGAGAGCTTACTGTGGTCGTGTGATCTCAAGAGAACAGTAGTGATGTCGTGAGTGGTGGGGGGTTTCATCATGTAAGGATGCTGCTCGCCGGAACACCCTCCCCTCTCGACCACTCCCTCCTCGAGAGCCATTAACTCCTCCACGACGACTCTCAGGACTCTGTAGGAGGAAAAGTATATATATAATTACAGTACTAAATTCTATTATACAATTTGCAGTTGATTCAAGAACTTTCAAATTTCAAGTCTAATACTTTTAGCATCCAAATTCTTAGTTCTCATCCTGCTCAGTATTTCATCTTCATTTCTTGTTCCAAACCACGGGGCTGACATCATCATTTAAAATCAATTTCTATTACATGGTACAAGTCTTATTACAAGTACAGTATAGTAGCTGCCTCAGCTTCATATTTGTATCTTTATCATTTCTACAATGTCCATATGAAAACCAGACTCGCACACGCCCGACAGCCCACACCCACTCACACACTCACACAGAAATAAGAACCAAAACAAGTCCTTGCCTGATCAGAGTCCATCTGGGACGGTGAGACTGAAGTATGTTGATGCTGTTGATGTTGTTGTTGTTGTTGTAGAAGAGCGAGGATGTGAGCAATGTCTGACGTGACACGCATCTCCAAGTGCTGCATTTGTCTGGTGGGAGGAGTTTTACAAAAGATTAATAAATTATTATGAACAACAGTTACATTAAAAATAGTAAATTCCTAGTCTCAGTACACAGGTTGGTTTTGATGACAGTAACTCAGATTGAAGGGCTGCAGGTATATGATGTACCTCAACTTTTAAATGAAAGGGTCATCTGAATAATTTCTTATGCATTATAAATGAAAAAAATGAACAATAAAAATGACATTATGACTTTTTACTTTTAAATTTATAGCCTTTTCTTTTATAAAACTGTCATTTAATTGAGAGGAATATTTGATAAGAGCAAAATAACATGCAGGTAACATGGATTAACAAATATATTGCAAAAGTACTTCTATTGTTCTTGATGTGCTAAGGTGTCAGTCTAATTCTATCTGTCATACCTGCTAAATTGGTCCATTCTAATGTATAGGCGAAGGACATCATCTTTAAAGTCATCATCATCATCATCATCATCATCATCCTCATCCCCTGTGTAAACAAAGATGACCATGCTCTCAACCAAACAGAAAAAAGACACAAGGATACAGACATGTGAGGGAAACAAACACAAGACAAGTACCTGGCACACACAAGGTGGTCTGCAACACAAAACTCTAATTTATATTTGAAAAAATAAAAGTGTTTTCCAACATCATGCACAGAGTACAGTACTCCAAAATAACTTCTGATTATTTTTGTGATGATCTAAATACATGATATCTAAGTAATGAAAAAAAAAGTGCAAAAAGGGAAAAAGTGATAATATATATGACAGAGCTATAGAGAAATGGGGTACCTTTAGTCCAAGGGTAAATCCAGTTAATGTGGTGTCTTGTAGGGCAAAGAGAACACAGTAGATCAAAAGGTCTCTGTGAGAGAATTTAGCTTTGGGAAGTGATCTACTCAGAAGATAATAGCATGGTTAAAAACATTGCTATAGGACAATCCATCACAATGAGCACAACTGAATCACTAGGTATTGTAGAAAATAGTATCACATGAGGAAAATCTCTTAGTTTTCTGAGTTACCACTGTGATGTAGTGACAGGTCATTGTAAAAAGAAGTTTAGTTGTTGGAGAGTCTGCTGCTGAGGGAGGAAGTGCCAGTAAGATAAGAGCTCTCTGAAACAGGAGTACCATTGTGGGAGGAACTGTGGCTGTGGGAAGGGTTATCATTGGAACAGATTCCACCATCATCAAACCCCATCACTATAAAAGCTGTCTCTCTGGAAGAACTTGTTCCTGTGGGAGTGGCTGGCGGTGTGGGAGGAACTGTTGTAGTAGAAGAACCTATCATAACAGAGAGATATGTCCCTATGGGAGGACCATTAACTCAGAAGAAACTGTCATTTTAAAAGCTGTCCTTAATAGAAATCCCTAGTGTGTGGGAGGATGGTGCTGTCACTGGGAAGAGCTGTCACTTTAAGTGGAACTGTTAGCCTAGGCACACATTGAGATGCAGGCAAACAAGAGATACAGTGCAGGCAGTGCAGTTTTTTGCGTCTAGTTATTTCAAGTCAGAGACCGCACACTAGAATGCAGGGCAACACAGAGCATGCACAGGCCTGTGTTGAGTTGCGTGGCATAGTGAGTGAAACACAGGTTTTGCTCGACACGTGGATTTGTCTCGCGAGCTCGCCATGAATCTACCATGCAGCAAGACAGACTGCTGGTCAATGTGCACACCACACCTATTTTACATTCTGCTGTGCTGCCCTGCTCTGTGTATACCCTGCTCTGCACTGTCTTGTGTCTCAATGTGCACGTAGCCTTACTGTAGGAAAAGCTGTCACTTGGGAAGTGGGTATGACAACTCTGGAAAAAATCAAATAAAAATTTGTCACACCCCAGAAGGTGAAATAAAATAAAATTATGTCTCTGAAGAAGGACTATTTCCTACAAACACTGAGGTAACATCCAGTAAATAGTATCTACACGAATAAGTGAATAGGAAAAGCCCCATATCTTGCCCAAGATTTCTTGATAATTAGAATAAACTCATGGATATCCATATGAAATAATGACTCATTTATAGAAAAGTAACATGCAATAATAATACAGTACTGTATACAGTACTAACCAAACAAAATCTTCACATGGATATTTACATATTGAAACTTTTCTTACACCAGTTCACTGTACAGGTATTATGATTGCATGAATTAAATTCTTAAAAATATATAATTTATACTGTCAAGAGTGTTGGTGGATGTGATGAATTTTGATCTCATAAGGGCATGAGATGAGGGTGTAGTTGAAGCAAGCTATTGTACTGATGCAAGTGCAAAATCCACATAAAAAAACATAAACAAAAAAAAATACATCCAAACCTCAGCCACTATCTAGATCATGTCACAGAAATTAACACAAAAAAGAACCACAACCAGATGCAGGAGAACCTAAGTGACTGTCAGCCACTACCTGGTGAGAGCATCTAGGCGCTGGTTGACCTCTGTAACCTCGTGGGCCTGAGTGTGGGCGGTACTAGGATGCCTCTCGACGGGTAAGGTCAGGCTGGCGTAACGGGAATGGAGTCGTCTCTCGGGACTGGCACTACCTGCAACTACCAGGCCATACGAGGTCATTCAGGGAAAAGAGGAGTTTAAAAGAACAGTACTGGGTCTCAGGTGTGCCATGTCATCAGGTTCCACAAAAGGTCATACCGTACAGTACTGGGTACAAGAAGATGGTATACTAGCTGAGGATCTATTGTCAACTGGATCTAACTTTAAGGTATATAAGCTTTAATACTCAAGTCTTAAGGGAGCTTAGGAAGCTTATAATTTGGATGAATTAAACTAAATATTTTAAGGACAGAAATAGAAGGTTTAAACAATAAATGACTGATGACTCAAAAGTGTATAACTAATATTCAGCGAAAACAAAAACTGTTACAATAATGATTATGTAATCAGAGTCATGACTGACAGTGATAAAAGATAAGAAAAGTCTGTAAGACAAGATTTAAGGTTTCTGAAGAAAGTTCTTAGGATTAAGAATGATGCCACTATTGAAGGTGCTGGACATTGTAACAAAATATGAATGTTGAATCACTGACTGATCTTCTGGGAAAATATTAATTTATGTTGTTTCTTACTATGGGGAATCTGTCATCCTTTACTCAGTAGCTATAGAAATTATAGTGAGAATTTCCAAACTAAAAACTCTTTTCTAGAATACTGTATGATACTGTACAGGTTTACATTAGTCACTGGTGAATAGGACCAGTCTTGTGACTGCTGCATTTGAAAAGTTATGAAAATTATTCTTGAGAGGTAAGTAGAAGGTTGGCATATGTCATATCTAAAGGCATTCATTCACTTAAACAGCTCAGTTTTCGCTAGACTTCTTGATATTTATACAATGAAGCACTGCCGGTTAACATTAAAATCATTTCGCTTCTCCCGAGACAGGATTTTATTTGTTCAGAAAAATCTTCAGATAATGCCTCAGAAATATTGGTCAAGATACTAAATAAACCCTTTTGTACTTGTAGCTTCATGTCCTATTATTCAGATCATATAATATTGTACTCTACCCCATGTACAGTGTTTAAAGGGGCTGATGTAAGAGAAAAATGGAGAGCCTGTGGAACAAAAACTGAAATGGGTGGAGGCAAGGGGGATCACAGGGTTGAAATGGTGACAGCAACAAAAAATGGGGACGATTTGGATTCTGGTAGGAGGGGAAACAAAACATGAAGTGGTGGAAGATTTTTGTAAAGGGGACAACATTTTCTTGGGGAAGGAGCTGGTAGTAGGGAAGGAGCTGGTGCTAGAGGAGCTGGTAGTAGGGAAGGAGCTGGTACTAGAGGAGGAGCTGGTACTAGAGGAGGAGCTGGTGCTAGAGGAGGAGCTGGTACTAGGGAAGGAGCTGGTAGTAGGGAAGGAGCTGGTAGTAGGGAAGGAGCTGGTACTAGGGAAGGAGCTGGTACCAGAGGAGGAGTACTGGTACTAGGGAAGGAGCTGGTACTAGAGGAGGAGTGCTACAGGAGGAGCTGGTACTAGGGGAGGAGCTGGTACTAGAGGAGGAGCTAGGGAAGTGGAGGTGTGGGAGGAGGAGCTGAAGAGCTGGGAAGGAGCTGGTACTAGAGGAGGAGCTGTGGTACTAGTAGGAGGGAGCTGGTACTAGAGGAGGAGCTGGCTAGAAGGGAGGAGCTGAGGCAACTAGAGGAGGAGCTGGAGGAGGAGCTGTGGTGCTAGAGGAGGAGCTGGTACTAGGAGGAGCTGGTACTAGAGGGAGGAGCTGGTGCCAGGAGGAGCTGGTACTAGAGGGAGGAGCTGGCATTAGAGGGAGGGGAGCTGAGTACTAGGGAAGCAGGGTACTAGAGGAGGAGCAAGCGGTGCTAGAGGAGTGAGCTGGTACTAGAGGAGGAGCTGGTGCTAGAGGAGGAGCAGGCAGAGGAGGAGCTGGGTGATTAGAGGAGGAGCTGGTGCTGGAGTGCTAGAGGAGAGCTGGTACTAGAGAGGAGCTGGTTACTAGAGGGAGGAGCTGGTACTAGAGGAGGGAGCTGGTACTAGAGGAGGAGCTGGCACGCAGAGGAGGAGAGGGAGGAGCTGGTGCTGGTAGGAGCTGGTGAGTTCAGAGGAGGGGAGCTGGTGCTAGAGGGAGGAGCTGGTGCTAGAAGGAGGAGCTGGTGCTAGAGGAGGAGCTAGAGGAGGAGTTGGTACTAGAGGAGAGGAGGGAGCTGGAACAGAGGAGGAGCTAGAGGAGGAGCCAAAGTAGAGGAGGAGTAGAGGAGGAGCTGGTAGGGAAGGAGTTGGTGCTAGAGGAGGAGTTGTGTTAGAGGAGGAGCTGCGCAGGAGGAGGAGCTGGTGAGGAGGAAAGCGGTGCTGGTACTAGAGGAGGAGCTGGTACTAGAGGAGGGAATTAGACTAGAGGGGAGGAGCTGGTACTAGAGGAGGAGTTGGTACTAGAGGAGGAGCTGTACTAGAGGGAGGAGCTGGCTAGAGGAGGAGCTGGTACTAGAGGAGGAGGTTGGTACTAGAGGGAGGAGCTGGAACAGAGGAGGGAGTTGGTACTAGAGGAGGAGCTGGTACTAGAGGAGGAGCTATACTAGAGGAGGAGTGGAAGCAGAGGAGCTGGTACTAGAGGAGGAGCTGGTACTAGGAGGGGAGGAGCTGGTACTAGAGGAGGAGCTGGCACTAGAGGAGGAGCTGGTACTAGAGGAGGAGCTGAGCTGGCTAGAGGAGGAGCTGGTGCTAGGAGGAGAGCTGGTATTAGAGGAGGAGCTGGTACTAGTATTAGAGGAGGAGCTGGTACTAGAGAGAAGGAGCTGGTACTAGAGAGGAGTTGGTGAGCTGTACAGAGGAGAGTTTCAAAGTAGAGAGGAGGAGCTGGTACTAGAGGAGGAGCTGGTGCTAGAGGAGTGAGTAAAAGCAGAGGAGGAGCTGGAAGCAGAGAGGAGGCAAAGTAGAGGAGGAGCTGGTAGAGGAGGAGCTGTGCTAGAGGAGGAGCTGCTAGGGAGGAGGAGCTGGTACAGAGGAGGAGTTGGCACTAGAGGAGGAGCTGGAGGAGCTAGAGGAGTGAGCTGGTACTAGAGGAGGAGTTGGAAAGAGAGAGCTGGTACTGGAGGAGGAGCCTGTGACTCAAAGCAGAGGAGGAGCTGAAGTAGAGGAGGAGCTGGTACTAGAGGAGGAGCTGGTGCACTAGAGGAGGAGCTGGTACTAGAGGAGGAGCTGGTACTAGAGGAGGAGCTGGTGCTAGGAGGAGGAGCTGGAAAGCAGAGGAGGAGCAGCAGAGGAGGAGCTCGTGCTAGAGGAGGAGCTGGTGCTGGAGGAGGGCTGGTACTAGAGGGAGGGAGCTGGTGCCAGAGGGAGGAGCTGGTGCTAGAGGAGGAGCTGGTACTAGAGGAGGAGCTGTGCTAGAGGAGTGAGCTGGTACTAGAGGAGGAGCTGGAGGAAGCAGAGGAGGAGCTGGTGCTAGAGGAGGAGCTCGTGCTGCTAGGAGGGAGCTGGTGCTAGAGGAGGAGCTGGTACTAGGAGGAGCTGGTGCTAGAGGAGGAGCTGGTGCTAGAGGAGGAGCTGGTGCTAGAGGAGGAGTTGGCATGGGAGGGAGGGAGCTGGTGCTAGAGGAGCTGGGCAGAGGAGGAGCTGGTGCTAGAGGAGTGATTGTGGTGCTAGAGGAGGAGCTGGTACTAGAGGAGGAGCTGTACTAGAGGAGGAGCTGGTACTAGAGGGAGGAGGTACTAGAGGAGGAGCTGGTAAGTAGAGGAGGAGCTGGTGCTAGAGGAGGAGCTGGTGCTAGAGGAGTGAGCTGGTGCTAGAGGAGGAGCTGTAAGTAGGAGCTTGCATTAGAGAGGAGCTTGGTGCTAGAGGAGGAGCTGGTGCTAGAGGAGGAGTTGGTGCTAGAGGGGAGGAGCTGGTGCTAGAGGAGGAGCTGGTGCTAGAGGAGGCTGGTGCTATAGAGGGAGGAGCTGGTGGAGGGGCTGGTGCTGCTAGAGGAGCTCGTGCTGCAGAAGAGGAGTTGGTACTAGAGGAGGGAGCTGGCACCATAGGGAGAGGAGCTGATACCATAGAAGGAGACCTGGCAACCATGGGAGAGGGAGTTGGCACCATTAGAGATGAGCTGGCACCATGGGAGAGGAGCTGATACTATAGAAGGAGAGCTGGCACCATGGGAGAGGAGCTGATACCATAGAAGGAGACCTGGCACCATGGGAGAGGAGTTGGCACCATGAGAGATGAGCTGGCACCATGGGAGAGGAGCTGATACCATAGAAGGAGAGCTGGCACCATGGGAGAGGAGTTGGCACCATGAGAGATGAGCTGGTACCTTGGGAGAGGAGCTGATACCATAGAAGGAGAGCTGGCACCATGGGAGAGGAGTTGGCACCATGAGAGATGAGCTGGCACCATGGGAGAGGAGTTAGCAATATGGGAGAGGAGTCAGCACCATGGCAGAGGAACTAGCACTAGGAATTAGGAGTCATCATGGGAAAGTTAGCAAGAGGGGGGGAGCGAGCCCTGAGGAGTTAGCATGGGGGAAGGAGTTTAAGGACTTACTAGGGGCAGCATTTGTGAGGAGTGGGACATCCTCTTTTCCATGGGGCCCCGGAGAGGTACATCTGGACGCTGACCTTGATTCTCGTCCTCCAACACCCAACGCCGAGGTCATACTTGAGAGGGCTCCTGAGGGACATAAGACCTCATTGTGGGCGTGGGGGGGTGAGGGAGTAGGAGAGCGGTCTGGGGAATAGCTTAGTATGTGATAAGGGACTTTTTTCAAACCCTATGCAAAAAAGGGTGTGTTGGAAATTTTGATAATGATAGACTGATTTAATGGAGTACTACAAGGGGCTATTATCAACTTGGATACTAAAGCAACAAATAAGGTACTACTGTACTTGCCTTGGGAGATTAAGTTAACAGGTCCAACTGTAACTCATGTTTGAACATTTTTTCATTTACAGAAATCAGTCTTCAATTTTTCGAAGGCTTGATATTAGGTTGATTATTGATTTAAGAACATTCCAGACCTGTGCTTAACTGTATCTGATAAATATCATGTTCAAAATTAAGTGATCTATAATAAAAATTTCATCATAGTACAGTATATAAAAATAATGCTGGGATTTTAAAAATATGATTACTGTATGGGAGTATGTTAAGACACGTAGCCAGAGGCAGGCTTCCACAGGCAGCAGCCTATCACTTTTATGTTGTGCCTTCCTTCACCCTTGTTATTGAACAGTAACAATAGCATGATAGTTGGATTGGCTCAGCCACTGCTATCCAGAGATGATTCCAACTAAACTGATCCATTCATGATCAAGGACTTCCTCTCTATGGACACACTTAATTTTCTTTGCACACTTCAACTAAACTCTTATGACATTCTTTTTAATGCCCAAAAGAAGCAATACATCAATGAGAGTAAAGTAGTAGTATACATGTAGTAATAAATACTTTTTTAAGTGTTCTAATGATAAGTAAACACATCATGAATGTAAAAATTTGAATCAATCTCCCAGGTATAGCTGTCATGTCTAAGATGACTTTGAGCTCATCCACTGCAATGTAGCAGTTTCATGATGCATCTGCTTAATTTAATGTCTCATGCATCATCACTTTGCCTGCAGTACCATGCATCATGCACTGAGTTAAGCTCTTCTCTTTTTGTTAATACTATTTGTTAATAGGAATTTTCAGGTCTACAGAAGACAGATTAGAGAATAATTTTAAGGAAGAGGAGTTAAGGAAAAAGGCATGAAACAATCTAATCAGAACATTGAAACACAAGGAATTTCATTCAACTCTGGCTGGTATCTAAACACCTAAATTTTTATACTGTACAAAATTTTTCAAAATACTGTATTAGAGTAATAAAAGCTTAATGTAAGCTTATACAAAGCCTATTATTACAGAGATGTCTCAACCAGCTGGAGAAGAATGGTAGGTTTCTAACAGAAACAAATCAAAGGTGAAGGCAGAGATGGTAGTGTTGGTGGTGGTACTGGTTATTGAGCACTACAAGGATAATACTGTCGCTTGTCTCTTTCATCGTGTAATTGACTAAACGTTGAGTAGTGATGCTTACAGTGCAACATCCAATGCCGCACCACAACTAAAACATCAAGTAATGCATTGGCATCCCTTACAAACTTAAAGCAGCAAACATCATGCCAAAAGTTTTTTTTCACTTTTTGACAGAAGTAAACTTGAACTGAATGCTAAAGTCAAGGTGGCAATTGTTAACAAAGCATTTATAGTCACTAGACATTAGCATACACCATATAACTTTTCCTCACAAAAATTAAAGTTACTTAATTTAGTACATAATGCCAAAAATTACTGTTACATAATCTGCTGTGATTCATAAAGTTAAACTATCAATTAATGTATTACATATACTGTATATCACCAAATATTTTCCCCAGGCTAATGTGTCAGCCTCCATTTTCTAAATGTGTTCAGTAAAATACACAATAAACCAAACAGTTTCTAACAAACATAGTATCTTTTGAATGGCTTTTTATTCTTTAAGAGACAATGCAGTTTTGCTGAACCCCACAACAATGTACCAAAAATACAAACACTTAACTTCATTTTCATTACTTTTAAATAAGTTAGGATGTTAGTGACAGCACAAAGATGGCTGAAATGTTAACTAATAATCCCGAACATTTAAAAACATTAAATATAAAGGGAGGATTTTGTTGTTGATTGTACACTCCATACAATACTGTACTATCATCTGATCAGTGATAAGAGACCCTAACCCTTTATATAATGGACATATTGCAGCTGATTATGATTATCAATTTCCCAGTACTGTATAAAGAATGGAATTAAACTCTTCTGACACATGGCAACACTTAATAACAGTTCATGTGGTTAAGACATAAGACATTTAACATTAACACTGCCACATATGTCTCTTTCAAAATTACCTGTACTGTACTGCACTGAGAGTCTTTCATAATTTACTACTGTACTTGGCAGAAAATTTTAACCAAAATATTACATTGTAAATTTGAACCAAAACACTCAGCTTCAAAATTACTTAATAATAGAGAAAAATTACACTCTGAACAAGAAAACACAAGACCAATATATGTATCTTTCAGATGAAGTTGGTTTTATTCATTCTATAGACAAGGTAAGGGGAAGGGTGAAATATATATAATTTGTAGACCAATATTACTGATGTTCTTCAATACCACAAATATGTCACTTATACTTAATATACTGTACCATCTAATAAATATTTACTGTGTACCGGTAACTTTTAAGTTTATTTAGTCTATGTTTGTTCTCAGGGAATAAGCCATAAACAAATGCTCTTAGATAAAAAAAATAAATAAATATATAAAAACTATTTGGAGGACTTGAGTAAAGCGTCCCGGCAAAAAAAGTTCCTCGCATTATAAATACTGCACAGCAAAATCTATCAACCAACCACATGCTGAAATATAAGTTGACACACACTATAACATCGTCAACACAAGTCCTTTCATTACCTCAATGTCTTAAAATGTATCACCTAATTCATATTACTGAATCTGTATGTGCAGATATTCTCTCTACAATTGCCAATATCATTTCCATGACAATTCTGAAACATCCCAATATATACAGTATGTTAACATGCACCCTTTATAATACAGTAGGTACAATACACAAAATACTGTTTCCATCAAAAAGGGTAAAAAAGTCTGTAGCGTAAAATATTTAATAGAACCATGCATTCATATCTCTGACGAGTACTGTATATCGTACCTGAGAGTTTTAAAAAGAGGAGATTCAGAAAAACAACAGAAATATAATAACAAAGAGATATATCAAATACTGTACTGCAGGTTACTGTGGAAACAACCAAGCAAGTTCATCAACCCACTAATAAGCAAGTTCATCAACCCACTGATAAGCAAGTTCATCAACCCACTAATAAGCAAGTTCATCAACCCACTAATAAGCAAGTTCATCAACCCACTAATAAGCAAGTTCATCAACCCACTAATAAGCAAGTTCATCAACCCACTAATAAGCATGTTCATCAACCCACTAAGATGGATCATCAACCCACACAGTGCTGCTCAGACTGAATTCTCAATACTACAGAAAAACACACAGTGAGAAGTGTTACTACCAAAATACTTGAGTTTTTCCAGCAAAAAATGCACACATAAAAATTATGGTGTTACTGTTGATGTTGACTGTGGTGGTGGTGGTGGTGGTGGTGGTGGTGGTGGTGGTGGTAGTAGTGGTGGTGGTGGGAGGGGAAGGTGGGGGGGGCAACACTACTAGATAATACAAAACAAATAAAGTGTAGATAAGTGTATTAAAACACCAAAATTCTATGTAAGACTTCATTATAGAGGAATTCTATAAAACTATCTCAAGTTTTTCTTGGGGGTAAGATATACATTATATGCTTGCTATAATTTACTTAGAAAGTTAGGAAAGAAATATTTACAAGGGAACTAAAAATGTTGGTTTGAAAGATTCATATTACTTGGGGCATAACACCCCAAAAAATTCTACAGGTCATGAATGCATTTGAAAATACTAAAAATTTGATATACGCACATACAAGCCATATAAAAGGGTAACTCCAAAAAATTGTAAGATACATTAACTACAATTTTATGACTAAAAAAAATTGAAGTATTAGCACAAGACATCATTGCAGGGAGACTATAAACAAAAATATCAAAATTACTGGGTACAGCAAATACCTTTGGGACAATGCCTTACCCGATCTACTCTCCGATCTATGCACCTTACCCTCCACTCTGTGCAGGCGGAGGTCAGTAAAGCTACGTTTGAGCTGGGTAAGGACCCCTACGGACGAAAATACACACATGTTGTTAGTCCCCAGCTACGGACATAGTACTTAAAATATTAAGGGGTCGTGTGTGGATTAACTGATTGTTTGTGTGTTAGTATGCATGAACTAATATTTTTTGCTGGGATTCCATTTCTCTCTGCTTTAATTTAGTTAATATACAAAGTCAACCTTTTGGTTAGGCTTTATGCTAAAAAAAATTAAAACAAAATAATTTAAGTGAATTTTACAGATCTTGGTTTTTTATTGAAAAATACACACACATACACCTGCATGCACATATGTTTTAACATTTAAAACAACCACACACATGCATGTATGCACAAATATACAGACAAAATGTATGCCAACACACACACACACATACATACATTTAGATAAGCATACGGGCATATATACATTAAACATACCAAGTTAAACACACACACTAACACACAGTCTACATACAAAACACTCGAGAATCACCCATACACACAAAAATCCTGACATGTATACACACATGTATGCAAACACACATATGCAATAATTTATTGCATGTATGTATAATTTTCACACACACACACACTCACATCACACACAATATTACTTTTATGTTTATACTCATATGCATGACACATGAGTATGCCCCCACACAGAACACTCACTCAATCTCGCACGCACGCACACGCACGCACACACACGCACGCACACACACATGCACACACACACACACTTTCAGAGATGTATTCCATTTCTGTGCAACAGTAATGACAATTATTTTAACCAATGTAAATATGATGCACCCCAGAATCATCAAATTTATCTGATGATGTTCATTTTATATTTTTCTGCTTTTCAAAAAGTTATTTCTAATAAAATACTAAAACTAAATAAAACTTAAGCCTTAATCATCTGGTAGGCCGAGGCCTATATATGGATATTCTTCATAAGTTACAGGTCATCTACTTATGACCTATGAGAATTCTAACTGTACCCTTCAGTGAGGACATATCTAATGACTGGTTATATTAACTAGGGGGTGCAATGGCCAAGTGGATGCAGTGCTTGCCTCCTGTCCTAAGGGTCATTTGTTCATACCGAGGGCAGCCCCACTCCATTAGGGAAGTGAAGGTTATTGAATGCACAGCCAACCACATTGACTCCTTGGGCACTGATGACTTAGTATACAGCGTACTATAACTGCACTGCCCTTAATGGGTCATCAGGACTTTGGGACCCAATTTCACAATACTGTACCAGGGTGAACAAGGTGAAATAAAGAAAAATGGCCTCTGAGGTACTCTCGCACACCCACCCATCCTTTAAATCTTAAAAAGGTAAGCAAGAACTCCACATGCTTCCATGTTGTGTGCTGTAATGCTCGTGTACTTTGCCTTGCACAGGATATGATGGGGTGGCCAAATAAACTAGCCCCCATGCTACACTGACTAGTTATGGTCTAGACTTAACCCATAGTTGGCAAATAAGGGGTTTGGGAAAGTGACCATGAGATACATATACATTAGTACCTAAAGTTCTATGTGCATATACAGTACAGCTCAATGTTAAAAATTAAGTACAGGGTGTAGGCTGTACTTAAAAAAACGTGACAATTATTATACTTTCTCTCTCTTATAGGATAATATCCTATTCCTTTATTCTTTGTTAAATACTTTACATAAGAATGTACAGTACATGCAACAGTATGTGAATAAACAGGAGACGACATGTTTACATCGATCTTGGTCACTTCCACTAGTAAGGTCAAAATAGTACATTATCATCTCTCTCTCTTTTCTTCTTTTTGATATTCTCCCTGTATCATCTTCTATTTCTTCTTACTTTCTTTTCTTCTTCTTCTTCATAACTCTTCTTCTTCTTACTATTTCTTCTTCTTCATACTCTTTCTTTTTCTTCTTCTTCATACTCCTTCTTCCTGTCTTCTAATTCTAACTTTTTTGCACACCCTTCTTATCCTCCTTCTTCATACTTTCATCTTATTATCTTTTTTCTTCATCTTTCTCTTTTGCAAGGCTGTATCACTAATCCTTTATTTTTTATTCAATACAGCAAGCCCTCGAAGATTCGGACCCGGTAAATCCAGATTTCGGGAGATTTGGACAAAATTTAGGGGTTCTGGGGGCTGAGAGGCCTCTCTAAGAAACATTCCCAAAACAGAGCAAAGATCATCTTAGGCCTGTGTAACTCGGATGTCAGCGAGCGGGATACAGGTGCCCGAGGGGGGAAACATGGGGAGAGTGAGTTAGCAACACCTGCTACAGTAAATGGTACAGAACAAAGGCAGGTCATCCTGTATCATCATATCATCATTTGGCCTGCCTGTATCAGAAGCCCAAGATGACATCTGCTAGTGAGTACAGTATAGTGATGCATAGTGCATACAGTACAGTATAGTATACAGTACTGTATTTTGTCTATTTATAATATATTGTGCATGTACAGTAGTGTCTACAAAAATAAATACAGCTCTAAGTCTGTCCAACTGCAGTCCGATGTGGAAACATTCACCAATACCCGGAAAAAATCCAGGGATGTTAAATTTTTTCCAGGGATAAGAAAACTTGTCTCAATATCCGGAAATTCTTAAACCTGGAAATACTCTGCCCCAATTATTCTGGCTCAAGGGGAGATTATTGTACCTTTACAGTACTGTACTTACTTAAGGGAGCTCATGTTAAAGCATATAACTTGTGAATAAACAGGAATGAACAGCTCTAGTTTATGACTATCTTAGTTAATGCCACTTATGGGTATCAGTACAGGATAAGGTGTCATCATTATCCTAATTTAGTATATTTTTTTCCTTGTCTTCCATGGTTAGTTTGTAAAAAACTTTGAAGGAAAGTATTCTTTAGTTTTTCAAGTAAGAAACTGCATAAGTATGGCATAAAAATTACCATTACACTAAAAAAATTGACACTAACACAAGACACTGTGTTAAGTTGGCTGCTGTGAATCCAGGTATCCCTTGAGATACGAATTTCCTAAATTGAGAGCACTATTATGATAAATTAAAGCTTTCCTCGCTTACAAGAATTTGGGTCCAGGCAAAAATTGAAATTTCGTGCACCGAGAGTCAGCTTACGCGGTCATCTTGGAGAGAGATGTGCAGACATATTCTCGCTCACTGTCACTGACCATAATCCCCTTCTTCCCACATCTCACACAAGCCCATGCCCTTCCATCCGCTATTTGTTGTGTGTGTGTGAAGTAATCTCCCTTTATCCATGTGTATTTGTGTCTTCCTTTTGTCACAACTTTCGTAATGGCATCGAAGCATTCTGATGAATCTTCAACTACCCGTACTACGTCGAAGAAACGATGAAAGGTTGTGACTCTCGAGACAAAGCTGGAGGTAATTAAGCGTCACGAACGCGGTGATGGCCCTGCCAAGATTGGAAAAGATCTTGGTCTGGCTGCTTCTGCTGTGGCCACAGTTTACAAGCATGCTGAGGGGATCAAACAAGCAGCTGGACAACAGTGATGTGGTGGACAACCCTCCTCAGCCCACCCTTGCTCAACCCCTTGTGGTGGTGAGCCCATACTGCCTCCCAGCCCAGACTACCCTTCCATATGGTAATGTACCAAAGTTAAACAGTATTTTATTATTTGCTTTCATGCATTTGGTAATAAATTAGATAAGTTGTGTACTATTATCATTAGTTAGGTAGGGTTTGTTCTAGTTTGTGAACCATTTTCATGCTTTTGGGATATGATATTGGAGTATTTGTGTCATTGGGAACCTAACCCTATTTTCCCATATGTTTGTCTATTCACAATATGAAAATTCACTTTTTTTTTATTAACCTAACCCATTTGTATCTAGAGGGAAACATGTACAGTTTAACCCAGGGTTTATTTTGTTTTATTTGAATAATTTATCCCCATACAGTACTTTCATAGATACTTATATTACAGTGCATAGTGTATAATAAAAAAAAATATGATGGCAAAGGAAATTGTAAAATCTTCAAAATATAGAATATTATCAATTTTTTTTAAATAAATAATTATTTTACAGGAAATTAACATTCTAGATTAATTAATTTCCTTTAATTTGGTAAAATGAAAAGAAAAGGTGTTTCTGTCTTATTTACAATGTATCATATCAATAAATGTATTAATACTTTTGACCGATAGTGATAGTGTACAAGGGTGTGGCTGCTTCCCCAAGACCCTGAAAGTGTTAAATGATGACTATTGCCAGGACAGTAGAAAGCCAGAACACATAACATGAAGGGTGAAAAACTGTAAGCAAATTGATTTACAGAACCAAGATTAAAGAGGATCTGTGTGGTAAATGATAACTACAGTAATACAGTAGGCCATTGATGAAGATATACAAGGTGTAAACAAGGTGAACAACTTGATCGACCTGATCCAGAGAACATCCCACCGGGCTGAGCTAGAAATCTTCTAGGAACTGCAGATACTCGAAACTGGATACCGTGGTTCATTAAACACTTATATAAAAAGTGAAACATGGGTACAGTGCTCAAAACTGCGGTTGTGACTTTTGGTTGGTGAAGAATTACAGTACCTGTACTGTATTCCCTTTCCTAGCTCTAAATCATATGTTTGCTGCTATCCTTTGATCCCCATATTCTTGATACCCTGATGAATTATGGATTTATTCCCAAAACTTCAAATAGTGAAGTCACACCAGACACTTGAGGTATGTGAACAAGTAAAGGAGTTTAAGCTTTTTCAGTATGAGGATACACGTGTGTGTGTGTGTGTGTGTGTGTGTGTGTGTGTGTGTGTGTGTGTGAGTGAGAGAGAAGCATAACACCAGGACAAGGGATACAATGTTCTGAGTCTAAGCATGGCAGCTATATTACTGCCAAATAAATGGGATGGTCAGCCACTTATATATACTGTATATGTATATATATATATACAGTATATCCACTCAGAACGTCAATATACTGGGTAGAGGAGGTGATGGTAAAGGGATGACCAAGGCAGACGTGGTCTTTGGAGGTCTTTGGGGATAAAGTACCAAACCATGTAGTCTCAATAAGTTCTCAGGTATGCAATTCATAGATGCAGGTACATGGAAAAATTATCAGCTTAAGGAATGGGGATATGGTAACCCATTGGTTGCAGAGGGAGCATAGTGATTAGAGTAGAGTGAGAACTGGAGCTGGGATTAAGGGAAGACACTGGGGGTATATGAAAGGGCACAAGAAATGACAAAAGAAGGGGTTGGGAGTGATGAGGAAATGATTTATCACTGAAATGAGCAGAACAAGGGGTATGGGGTTAAGGGTCACTCCTACCAAGAAGAACTGCTTACCATAACCTGGGGATATGTCCGCTGACCCAGCCGCTGAGGTAAGGAATTAACTTTGGTTTAGACCAAAACTTTATAGACCTAGTATGTAAATCATATTAATCACCAGGATAAAGTTGACAAAATTGCTGATCACTGGCAGGTATTATAACTTAAACACTTTACTGACATTCTTTCAATTAGTAAATGTTTCACATAACGAAGATGTGAGTTTTTAACGAGTGTGAGCTCTTAATAATATGTCAACTCAACATATTTTACATATAAATATTTCACAATATAAGACCATATTATCCTGGCTATAATGAAAGTGTTAAACAACACATAAGTTCCTTATGAACCACAATATTTTGAGTGATGTATTCACTCAAAAAAAGCATAGGTATGTATCCAAGTTAAGTCAAACTTACCTTGACTGCTAGTTTCTTAAACTTATAATTGTGATGGTACTGTAAATGATTTTGAGAAAAAAAAATGAGAACACAAAATTACCACTAATTTAGGGATACTGTACAGTACTATGCACCCTTAATGTAAACCTCTTAATATCTTCCTCTGCGTGTCTCTCTCACTTGAAGAAAAAACAATAAAGAAATAAATACAAAGGCTGAAAAAATATAAATAAAAAATGTCAGATTTTCATTCCATTGATGAGGTAAGGTCTGGTTATATAAAAGAGGGATGTTTTCTGGTGTATCACACCTACTAATACATCAGTACAGTACAGATATAACCAGCCATCTGACAAAAAAAACCAAGAAGTCTTTATTTGTAAAATTTAAGAGAGAAATAAAACTGAATCATAGATCAGATCAGTACTACCTACCATAAAAACAATTGATATACCGGTATACCTCTGGCAGTTTGGTTCTCCAAGTTTATTCCCAATTTACTTACCAGTTATAGAGTTAAGAGTTCCTGATCGTTGTTTATGTTCAAAGTTGAGATTGTGAGACGATACATCTTGCCTCGCCTTGTCTGGAGAGAACTGTTGAATACAACCCCTTGAGACCAAGTGTTTGTCCTCCCTGTAATGTGAAAACAAAATTCTCATACATCACAAACTTTAATAAGGAAAGTTGGGAGTGGAAACTTTTATCACATCTTGAACTTTCTTTTGAGTAAAGTTCCAAAGAAAAAAGTTAATACCATTTTGCCTTATTGATATGACAAAGGTATAAAATCCTCAATCATGTCTCCAATCTGTAATTCATTAATAAGAATTTATGTTACTACTCATAAATTTGTACTTCATAATTAACTCTCTAATGTACACTCGCTCAAAAGAGTATCTTTATGATATTGTGTCAGATAATATGGCACAACGGATGAAGGATTTTGACAACCCTACTGAGACAACAGGAGTCGCAGTGTTTATTTTGAAATTTATCGTACCTCACCAAACATATTTTTTGGGGGGAGTAAGCGTATATATTAAAAAATCATACATAATTAACTCACACAAAGGTAAAACAGGTGGGCAATACATACCTCAACACTGCTTTTTACAATTTGACAATGTCCCTTATACAACTTTTAAAACATGCATTCCTCAATTTATAATAAAATGTATTTTCGATATTTTAATTTAAAAATACCTGTAATACAAAATTCCCATATATTCTTTGAACAATTATAATTATTTTTTTAATTTTACAGTATCTTTAAAATTGTACTGTATTTACCTAAAGATAATGAACCTCATATAGCCGGTGCATGCCCAGTACTTGCCAACAGTGTGTAACAGAGACGTGACCCATCGCCCAAGCGGCTAACGAGCCAATCAGTGGTGAAGAGGATAAAAGTAAAAGTATATATATGTTCCATTTAGCTTGACTGGGTAGCACATATCATAAAAACAGTGTTTACAAGCCAATAGAATCTTTTGAATCCAGTTCCACCCTTCAACAGAATGCTCCTAATTTCTTGGCATTTTCAAGCAATATACATTTTAGTGATGTTTGGGAAAACAACCAATAAGTGATATGTGTAGCAGTAAGAGACACTGTGAAGTCATCACCTTCGATGTGAAGTTGAAGGTGGCTGTCAGTGTACTGTCAACTGTGGCAACTATTAAACAAATCACAGTTTTGCTTTTCATTAAATTGTTGCCAATTGCATTCAATTTTTATGCATGTAAATATTCAAGGTGTGTTGGAAAGCTTCATTTTATTACATGCTGGAGAAGGCTTTTTTACAAGGAACATATCTCTTGCCTCATAATGGTAATTAATGGAGAAATGCAAACTGATGTATGATACCGTTTTCAGGAATATAAACATATCATAAATCGAGGAATACCTGTATACATGTTGTGAGAGGCACCTTACTTAGCATTCTTGGTTCTTATTCCTTTAATGATTGCTCAAGCATATAAGACACATAATTCTGTACACTTCCCTACTATTATATAAATTCTCTCTCAATTTTCTAATCATAGTCAATCTCATAGTACGAGCAGCAAAACTTATTCGCCGACCACATACTAATTACCAATGAGAATTCACATACATTATCAAGTACACATGTAAATAAATCATTCCATATCTTTAAGAATTAATTTAAAACTCATACAAATAGTTAATCTGTTTAACATTTTTGGGATCTAAATTCAAATTTATTTCACTCACTTTCAAAATTTTCCTGCATCAGAAGATTCATTTTGAAAAGCAAATCAAGAGGGCTCACAACACAGTATTGGCTACATTTGAGCTTATCATTAGTCTTGCAAGCAGTGCAATATACTATACACTGAGTTGGCCTAATGTCCTAAGCAGACAACAGAGTTACCTCATGGTACATTTCATACAAGAATGGCACAGAGCAATACAGTACTACCCTAATACAGTACACATTTAATACAAGATGATTATGCTTCGTCAATTTACTTTTTTCTTATTGGCTACCAATCCGTTGAGATAAATCAGCAATAATGACAACTAATCTCACCTGTAATGATGGCATCATGGATATCTTCTCTTCTTTTCGAGTGAAATATACACAACAATGAAGGAATACTATTTAGAAACAATATTTCAACTGGTAATAAAGAATCTTCAAGCCTTTTAAGTCAGATATATACTGGTATATTTTTTAAATAATTTTCACCACTTATCAGCTATTTGGACAGTTGATCTATCCAGTGTTAGGGAAACTTATGATGTTTGGTAGTTCACACTGGTGTGTCTGGGCCAAGCAGGATTCGAACCCTTGATACATTGGTGAGAGATACGCTCGTTACCACTATACCACCAACATCCAGTAGTGAAAACATACACTTGTCAGCACTTTTGTATACAGTTGAATGAGAGAATAACCTAGTTGATGCAGTATCATCAATAAGGCATGTTGTAAATCAAGCTAGTACTGTAGATTAATACAATCAAAAATCAACTTGTCAATAACAGACTTACATTTAATATAACCAAGCTTCATTTGCACAGTTAAACAGGTATGGTCCATTAGATGACAGTCAGTAACAAGAGAAGATATCAAAAGGTTGCATCACACAGTTCTTAAGTTACAAGAAGTTACCAAAACATCCACGTTCCTCATGCTTCACATTCAACTCCCAAAAACTAATAAATGTTGTTTTGGTAGATAATCAGAAATACAGTATCCTTTTATACAAGACTCACATAGTACAAGTACAACTAAAGCACAGTAAAGTTTAAAGGTGGTCTACGACTTACTGTTTGTGCAAAATATCTGCACTGGATTGAAATTGATCCTCCTCAGGACTGTCAGAAGGAAGCACATGTATTATGAACTCTGTATTGTAATGTGAGTGGGTGGCCAAAATAAAGTAGGTAGATTTCATATAAAAAAAAAAATTACATGCTTTAAAATTTTAAAATATTCTGTAACATGAAAATTTGAGCTTTATATCTATGGTTTGCTTGGGCCAAGAAAAAGCAAGTAAATGTATTCAGCAAAAGAATTTCATAAATGTTAAGAATTAATTTGTTTTATTGTGTCTAATACTGTATATAAAACAACACACTTGCTCTTTCCAACAGTGAACAGGAACTAAGCAGCAACAATGAAATGAAAGGGACACGGTCTTTTGCGTAACCCTCGAAAATAATTACACAAAAGTGCACAAAATAAAAAATAAATAAAAATTTGCAAACCATTCAAAAGGACAACTTCTAAACACCACAATGAACATTAAAATACATAAATTATAACAAAATGTCAGTAATTTAATATTGTAGTAAACAGTCAAACCTTCCATGAAAATCAAAGCCAATTTTTTCTTAATACTGCACTGTAATTCTTAAGTAGTCATAGCTTTGGTACTTCTATAACACACACACACACACACACACACACACACACGACATTTTCAAGTTCCCGGTATGTGTATGTATTAAGATATCCCTGAATTACTTTTGGAGTTTTGAATATAAATGAAGTAAGATTTGGTAACTGGAGTTGCAAATGATGGGAGTGAATCTTAAAATCACACATTATAATCAAAGGGTGAGTACTATAGATGGTTCACAATATATACCTCTTTTATTTTACATGACAGAACCACTTATCTTTATGTGTTAGATACAACAGCAAGTTACTTCCCAACCATATTTGGATCCACCAGTTCTAAGAGAGAAGGATGTTTGAGTGGCATGATGTTACCATTAAAAGCAGAAAGGCAGAAAGTTTTTGGTTCCTGGCAACATCAAATTCCTTCCAAGACCTGTTTCTTCATGAACTGATGGATCCAAATTAAGTTGGAAAGGTAACAATAACTGCAGTACAATTCTTCACGCTATCAAAGGGTGGCTCTGTTAAGTGAGCTTATATCACAAGCCATCCACAAAGTCTTATGACCATAAAGCACATTTATTTATCCGTAGTCATAAATTTTTATTTTGAATCACTTAAAATTGATTTTTAATTAAATAATGGCATTTCAATTTATATATCCAGCTTTACAATGCTGCCTTTTGTTGTAGTCAGACTATTAAACAGAGTGGCTATCAGCATCCTCCTCATTCTTAAGTACAGGTACTGTCTGAAGGCCTAACAAAACCACTCATAACTTTGCTGAGGAATGTATGTAAAATTATTGGTACATACTTTCACTAAATTATTAAAACATGTAAAAAGATTGATTTTCTTAGAAAGTGTGTGAGTACGTATACACAATGACAAACATAGAATTACAGAGGTAGAAAGTAACAGAAATAAAGGCATTGTACAGTATACTGAATGTGAAAACCATTAAAAACATTCCAATATCAATCTGACTTCTATACACTAAGCTTTGCAAAATGAATTTACTTCTGTGATAATAAGAGACCTTCATTCTTGTCAGCATGAACAGTCTCGCCTATAAATGCATACATATGTCTATCGAGTTTGTCATAGCCAAGTTTAAATGGATAACATTTCTCTTTAGCAGGTAGCTCAAACTGTAATTGATGCCTAATATAATTTTAAGTACAAAAAGGAAGTAAATCTTTACTATCTGCACCAAGTATAAGTAAAATCTACAGCTGATCTAAACTTTAACAAAGCCAGTCAATTCCAATGTTCTGTAATAAACTTGTTTCATATAACATTATACTGACATTTTGAAATGTTCAACTATGCCCAGTAAAATAATTCTGTTGTGCAAAAATCCTACTGCACAGATGCTGAGTCAAATCTGTGATATTTAGATACATTAGAATAGTCAAATTTATGTGCTAACCAGAATATACTGTAGAGGATTGAACTCTGTGCTTGTGCAGTTAGTGAGTTCTACCATAGTTTCTTTAGACTAACAATGTTTTACATTGGATATAACTTGACCCAAATTTAACAGGCATCATTTATAGTCATCTGCTTGGATATAGAGAACAGATTTTTTGGACAAATATTTTTGTTTAAATATGACAACAATTAAACCATCTTATCTCGGTCTTCCACATGTGGTTACATCCTGGTTACATCCTCCGGTGGAAGAAATGATAGCTTGTATTAAGTAAAACTTCAGTCAATAACCTTTCTCCTTATCCTAACCCTCTGCCACCCTTGCTTTACCTAACTTCCAACCAAATCTATCCCTCTACTAACTTTGATCATCCTCACCATTTTAGAGCCGTTTTCCATGCTTGCATGTATTACCCAATGGCATGGTCTCCTGTTTGTCATTGGGCAAATTTGAAGCAAATTTTATGGCTGGATGTCCTTTCAATAGCATTATATGTAGGACTTCCAAGTGCCCTCTTAGCAAGCAGAACAGGGTCACTACTCCCTGAGGTAATCTAAGACTACCATCCTACCTGTAGAAACAGAAGAACAAATGGCACTGGGCTTGGCCTGGTGACCTTCAGGACCTGGGAGGTCAACTCCACAGTTTGGCTGTGTATTTCCCTAAAATTCTTCCAAACATATCCTAACCTTTTGTCACCCTTCCTCACACAATTTCTGTCCACTGAGCCTTACCCTATCTCACCCAAGGTCCCATAGGGTGTCAATTACTAGTGTATACAGTAGTCACAGAAGATTAATAGAAAATCAGCAGAAAAAGGGTCCATGTTAGTTTTGCCATTTTCCCTTAAGCTCTATTTATACTGGTATGTTTCTCCATGAAACTGAATTACAGTATTGTGACATACAGTTAATGTATCAACATAATTGTGATTTCCCTTTTAGTAAAGTTACAGTGAGCTGACAGATTTCTCTTTACCTTCTATTCCTCTCCATTCAGAGAGAGTTGCTTTACAAAGACGGTCTTTTAGTAATCTACTTACGAGTCACTCTCCTCGCCACTAGATGCTCGCCGAGTGAATTGTCGGCGACGCTGCCGTGGAGGTCTAAAGGCAATTTTTCTGATATCATCTGTGTCCTGTGAATTACTTCGCTCAAAATTGCCTTGAGATCTTCTGGCCATGAGAGATGGGTCTACCCCTGCCACTTCCTCCTGTAAGCAAAGGAGAGTGTCAATCAGAAAACCATTAGTATAAATAATTCTTCCATTAAAATCAAGTCATCAGATATACAAAAGTCAAAATTTCTTATATGTAGTGTATTTCAGATTTATAAAACATTTGTCATAATAATGTACAATATACAACTTCTTTGTAAAAAAAAGTCCTCAAAACTATCAAAATATACAGTACTGTACTGTATACAGTAATACAAAGGTCATGTCGTATTTTTTTCATCAAGAACCTAATGGTTCTAAATTTTTTTTGCAAATTTCAAGTGATCTTTCATCTGTAATCATTGATGCCCAACAGTTGAGGAAATTATGGAAATAAACTACATAATCTCGGTTGCTTTTCTCAACTACAAATCTGACTGTTCAACACCTTGGCCAAGTGCACTTCACAGACCTGTGTATGCAACCAGGAAATGCAAAAGATACCTGTATTAAAGGACAAGTGTACTTTGTCAGGTACTATACTTTTCTTGGTTTGAATAATAAAAAACTTGTTCAACAGACTCAAACTGAAAAATCTAAACCAATTGACTTACATCTCTCAAGTTGAAGGTGATCTCTAAGTTTCGAGAGAACTCATCCGCAAACTCTGGGTAAAGATCAAGGACATCAAGGATATCATCCCTCATTATTCGGTGCAGGTCACAGTACGTGAGAGCTCGCACGTTACATGATGACTTTCCTATGGTTGGGTAGATGCACGGGTTTTCCCCAAATATGTCATCTTTACCTGAAGGAAAGATTAAGGGTTATAAACAGAAGTTTCTTTCAACATAACACAAAGGCCAGTTTTTATCAAAGTTAACTTCTTTAGGGGCAAATAAATATACATTCCAGGATACCCCCAAAACATGCATACCACAAACTTTTTTCTTAAATAACTAAGTTTTTTATAACTCATAAATGATTATCTCAAACTTCTACAATTTACACAAGCAGTCTTTGTTCCCCTAAAATTCATAGTTGTAATAGGAACTACAATTCGAAGGTAAAACTTTTTTCTTGGTTGACATCTTGGTTGACCCTCATCAAGTACACAGCTAATTAGTCATGACCAGCTATTCTCTGTTGCAATACTTTTGTTGTCTATAAAAATTTTGTCTAATTCTTGGCTGGCACTCCATTGAATCGTCCATTATTAGGGTCTATATTACTGTGTATATGTCTACAGTGGTTAAGAATAATTTTTTTTAGAGATTTGAAGTTTAAGACAATGTATGTAAGTCAAATAAATGAACAATGTTTGTTTTTCAATATTCAGTCAATATTTACAAAACAGTACAAAATTATATTTTCAGGGCATCTTCATCTCATCAGGTCTCTATTTTTACAGTAAAGTATCTGACTGATTTTAAAACAAGTAAGAAGTCATCACTATATGAGGATACTGTACACTGTAAACTTACCTAGAATTGCCATCACAACATCATCTTTCAGGATCTCAAGAGACCCTCTGGAGATAAAGTACATGGAAGTGAGAACATCACCCCTATGCACCAGTGTGTCTCCGGGCGGAGCGTGTGTTGTTTTGAACTTCATACTTAGTGCTCTGGAAATATCAAGAAGATTGATTACCCACAATTCTGAACAGCAAAGGAACCTGTGTTAACCAAATTTCTGAACCTTGACTTGTTGAAAAACCTTATGACAGCTCTACACTCAACAACAGAGGGTGATAAGAGATTCACCAAATCACAGGGTATTGAATTTGTGAAAGAGCAGAAAGATACATTAACATTTTTACCTGGTAAGATATGGAATTAATGATTAGCAAAAGCAGCAGCATAAAAAAAATAAAAGTTTTAACTTTGTGAGATGAGAATTACAGTACCGTACTACCATGTGAGCAGATATGTCACAATATTGTGGTGGCAGGCAAGGCCATGCTCTTGAGGTGCTCCTTTGCACAGTTCTTTGTTAAGCCCATTCTTATTCCAAGGTATTGGGGTACTATAAGCCCCTCTCCCAGAATTTTTTTGAAATCTGACCAATATCATGGGCATTTTGAGGCCATTTTGAAGCCAGGTACACTTGATATTGGGAGATATTCTGAGGTCAATAGTAATTACTTTTTATGACACAAAAATGCCTGAGTACAATACTGTACTGCATTGAAGAAAAGTATTGGAATTTTCTGATGAAAAGCGGGGAGACCGGACCCCCAGGACCCCCCCATGGATCCGCCCCTGCTTTCACTGCCTCCTTCTTTTTATACATAAAGTATACATAAGTGGGAAAAATAGGGAAATAGAAGAAGGAAACACAAAAAAGGTGAAGGATAGGAAACAAGGCGACTCTAAAAGGATAATACAGAGGTCAGGAAAATGTAAGCAAGCAACTATCTGATTGTAGTATGTACATGGCCAAAGAAAATAAGCATCAATAGAGGTAGGTCACAATCCCTCTACTACAGATCAAATCCCTCTAACCCAGCACCCTGTAGTACTGTACAACCACTTCTGCACTACGGCACAATTTGTGATTGGTTTTCTTGGCATGATCGACTGATTTTGATATTGTACATCTAGCATTGTATCAGTTTATGTTATGTAATGCAATCTTCTTTTAAAAGAGGGTTTTCTATTTAAAAAAGATGTGACTTAAAATTATAGATTAAATAAGTATGGAGTTATTATAGTTAAAAAAGAAGAAGCCAAATTTGGCGAGTTTAATGTATAACGTCTTACCCTTAATGTACATTATGTACCAATGACAGTTAAAATGAGGTAATGTACATGAGAACACAAGAGATGTTATTAGGAATTTAGAAGGAACCCTAAGGCCCGAATTCAGAACAGTGATTTGAAACCTCATGAAGGTTCAAACCAAGGATCAAGCAAAGATTGAGGTTGTTGCTGTATTCGGAACGCTGGCTCAAGCCAACACAAATATTCAACCGGGTTGGAGATCGGAATTGTCAATCCTCACATGAATTTTGACAGAGTGTTTTTTGGCGATATCATCAAATTTAAAATTTTGTAGAGAGAAGACTAATGGTAGATAGGCAGAATCCTATCAATTTTTATGATGACACGTAAAATCTCGTCGAGTCATAATTGCCGCTACAATCTTGTAAACATTACTCTAGATGGTGATTGGCTGTCATAATGGTGTAGATGAAACGTAATTGGCTGGAATTTCAGTGTTCGAATCCTTGCTCGTAACTGAAGAAAATGCAACAGATTATCCGATCCGGGGTTCAAGCCGATGCAGGAAATCTCGGCTCGAGGAATCCTGATTGGTACGCCTGAGTCGGGCTCAAATCCCAGGCTCAAACTACCATTCTGAATTCGGGCCTAAGAGACTACAAATTACCTGTTGATTTAACAAACTTTGATATTACTATTGATACTTCATCCTGTAATATTAAACAAATCCATAAAGTCATCAAAAATAAATAAAGCATAACACTAATTATTCCACAATCTACGGAATCTTTTGTTTAAAATTCTTAACTATTAAAAACACTGTTGTGCATTTTTAGGAGCACAAGATGCAAAGGTATTAGGTGTACATCGTTCAGTGGTCTGTGGTTATACACTCAACTATGTGTATTCCAGAAACTGTAGTGGAAATTCAGGTATGAAAAAAAAAATAATAATAATTCAGGCAACTGCACAACTTTGACACATTGTTAGAGTACATTAATTTACCCCAAGAAAATGTGGAATTGATTTCTGAGAACATATAGGCATCTGGACTATACTACCTCCAAGAGATTATAATTGAACAACATAACAATTAGCTGCATCTATCAATATCAAAGGATGGACTGTAATTCTGGACCACCCAATTTGAGAACAGTGGGTTGCACTTACCTTAAACAGCCAGGTCTTGCTCCCTCGAAGGATGAACAAGCATCAAACAGATTACGGTTGAGGTGTAGGCTTATATCGGCCTGAAGGCACTCGGGAAACATATTCATCACCGCACTCATGTCTATGCCGTTCGTGTATGACCAAGCGTGCTTTCAGGTTTAAATTGGGAGGGAAAAAATCGATTTCAGTATCGTCAACTCCCAAACACCTACCGTAAGCATCCCGGACTGGCACCTTCGAAAGCCGGACAGGAATCGACAAGCTGTCGGTTGAGATGCAAACAGATGTCCGCCTGCAGGCAGTCAGGGAAGCCCTTCAACACCATATTCATGTCGATGCCGTTTGTGTAGGTCCAGGCGTGCTGGGGAGATAAAGGGCCGGGGTGACACAAGCGGGGCTGGGGTGAGGACTGGAGGAAGGAAGAAGAGGAAGAATAAAAAGAAGAGAGAGAGAGAGAGAAAGATAATGGTAAGAGAATGAAGAGAAGAGAGGAAAAGAGGAGAGAAAGGAGAGAGAAAGAGGAGAGAATGAAGAGAGAGAGGCAGAAAGGCAGAGATAAAGAGACAGACAGACAGAGACACTGAAGAGAGTAAGAAAAAGAAAGTGTGTGTGTGTGTGTGTGTGTGTGTGTGTGTGTGTGTGTGTGTGTGTGTGTGTGTGTGTGTGTGTGTGTGTGTGTGTGTGTGTGTGTGTGTGTGTGTGTGTGTGTGTGTGTGTGTGTGTGTGTGTGTGTGTGTGTGTGTGTGTGTGTGTGTGTGTGTGTGTGTGTGTGTGTGTGTGTGTGTGTGTGTGTGTGTGTGTGTGTGTGTGTGTGTGTGTGTGTGTGTGTGTGTGTGTGTGTGTGTGTGTGTGTGTGTGTGTGTGTGTGTGTGTGTGTGTGTGTGTGTGTGTGTGTGTGTGTGTGTGTGTGTGTGTGTGTGTTTTATGAAAAGGAATGTTGATATGTGATGGTGAACTTTATGTTGGTAGCTGAACCGAAAATTTTACAAAATGTTTATGAAGGATACAAGTAATAAAGTGAACATGTGTTCTGTAGGGTTGATATCCCATTAGGGGCAGTATGGATACAGAAAAGGAAATAGGAAGACTTCAGTTCACAAAAATGCAATGTAGCTTGCACTGCACATAAGTGCCTTCACTTCACCTAACTGTAAAGCTAGGTATCCATACAACTTGGGGGGGAAGGGGGGTGTCCCGAGTACAAACCAGTGACCCTTGGGACAGGAGGTGAGTACTGAATCCACTCAGCCACTGCACCCGAACGAATACCATATATAGAATTAAGAACAAAGGTCACTAAAAGAATACTGTATTTGTATATAAACTGTTGTAAAATGGTAATAAAAGAGTATACTTTAGGAAATCGTCGTTTGTACACACTAACAGTTGCAGAGATTGATAAAGATAGTTATGTAGGAAGAGTGTGGGTTAGGTGACTCAGATTAAAGTCAATAGGTTGAATTCTTCATTAAATCCAGGTAGGTTATGTGATAAGGGACAGCTTAGGTTATTTGGATTTGAGTGGGAAGGATTGGAGCTTCATCAAGTCCTCAATATTACTGTCCCTCAGACAGCAACTGTAAGCCTTGGGTGAAGGCAGAATGGAATCTACAACTTGCAGTGACATGTGATTATAAATTGCATACATATTCAGGTAGGTGATTTAATTAAATTGGTAATATGTGATATAAACATGAGAGGGAGTGACTCCTTGTTCTGAAATGCTGTGAGATTTGTGAAAATAACATTCAGTGTGTGAGAGAAGGTGCTGGTCTAGTGATGAAAAGTGAAGTACTGTATGTGTAAACAGACACTGTATACATTGTTTATATAAATTAAACATGTGAGTACCTGTACTAAAATAAAGATGGTAATACCTGGTTTACATGGAACAAATAAAAGTGTAATTGCTGCAACTGCACTGTATACCAACAGGGAAGAGGAACTTAAGAATGAGTTTTAAAGGGAGTTGGAATGGACACAAGAGGTACTGGAAGTACAGAAGAATCTACTGTACTGGGAGCCTCAACAGATGGTATGAAGAATGAAATGAAGAAAACAGAAAGATTGGGATTTGCAGAAGTTCATGAGTTCAGAGACAGAACTGTGGATTGTGTGCAACAACACCGATGAATGGCGCTCATATCTGCAACATAAACATGCCTACATATACACAAGGTGAGTGCTCAGAAAAAAAAAGTGACCATGAAAGATGTGATTTTGGTATGAAAGTAGCATGAGCTGAAGTGTAAAAGGTACAGTACCTGTATATTGATAGAGGCTCAAAGGATGATAACAAAGTACAGTATAGTGTAATAATGAGAATGATGGTGTGCTCTATGTGATCAGCGACTTAGTATGTATGTACAATCACTGAGAAAAGTCCTGTCAGTCTTCCATCCCATTCATAAACCCTGAAACTTGTGAACTTGTTTTTACGAGTCATCACACATTGTTGGGCCCATAGGTGGCACACTGTGTGATGTCTCGGACTCATAGGTTCATGAGTCTCAGGGTTCATGGATGGGATGGGTGGACTGACAGAACTTTTTTCTGTGACTGTACATGAAAGGTGAAAGACAAACTGAAGGGTGTGGACTTCATTAAAGAGAGTAAGATTGAAGATGCAGGTCTGTTGTCAATGCTTAGAACTGTATCAGTAGAGTGTGCCAGGGAATGACATGAAGTAGCATGGAGAAGTGTGAGTGGAAAATGAAGAATGCACGAAGAAAAGTCTCATTGGCATTTTATCTTACTGAGCAAAATACAGGTTTATAGATGAAATAATGTTTTGACGATATGGATGTCTTGATTCACTTTGTCATACTTAGTATTGTACAGGTGTATATGTAGATAGTGAATGGATGTATAGTACTGTACTGAATTTTCCTTATCTGCTTCTAAATTAAAGTAATACACTCTATTTTAATGATTTTCTTGATGGTCCTGGTACATATACCGCATCCAGATTTGTTTGGAAAGCACAAATGGTTAATGTATAGATACCAGTAAATGATATGATTTGGTATAAACAGTTTGTGTGAAGACAGTTTATGAAGTGTGAGATAGACTAGGTTAGATAAGGCTACACAATGATTGATCAGTCAGTTTGTTAAGGATAATTTTGTAACCTAATATATGCTGTTCACTGCAACATATAGTCTGTACAGGACAACACCACTGTGGTGACTTGAATGAACTTGGTTTCTTCAGCAACCAAAAGTGTACATTTTCATCTCATTAATTTTGTGGATAGAGCCAGAGCGGCATTAAAATTCCTCCAAAATAATCATAGAAGTTACTTGCTAATTAGCTGAATATGAGTTAAGGCTGAAGGACCAATGTTGAGAAGGAATGTTTGAATGTTAATGAGTTAGTTAAGCATGATTTGAAGAGAGACAGCATAGAGAAAGAAAAGTTGTTACAAGTAGAAGATGATTGGTGGGTGTTATAGAGGGAATCAAAGGTGTTTAAGATTCTGGGATACTAAGTAGGGCAGAGGTGCAGCCATGAAGGTCTTAGAAAGTTAACGATGAGGCAAAAGTAAAGAAAAAGAAAATAAATGGAATAGAAAATCAGACAGGGATTGAGAGCAGCAGTAAAGCACAGGCACAGAATTTTAGAAAAGTTTTCAAAGAGGCTGTTAACAGAGACCAAGTTATGGAGGCATAGCGCTATGTTGGTGACCATGCAGGGAGGCAAACTGGAAATGTCAATCCAAACTTTATAAAAATATCTATAACACACTGTGGGTCACTTTTTTGTGTTTTCTTTATAGAAGTGTTAAATCATGTACCTTGGAAAGGACATTGTGAATTAATTCACACAGTTAGTCTAAATAGGGTAGAATCTCATCCCTTTGTTGAAGGTAGAAACAAATCTGTGCAATAAATTGGAAAGAGGAAATGATTATTTAAAGAGGTGCTGTGATTTTTAAAGGTTTCATATCCATAATTTAAGAAACAAAAATACGCAGGGAAATATTGCTTTCAGTCACAAACAAGCAGTACATGAAAATAGCCTAGCTAAAAAAGAATACTGCAAGACACTTGATAAAACTAGCATAAAAAAGATCTTGATGTAGCACAAGCTGCTGAGATGCGGAGTGCACAGCCAAAGGGTGCTGAAGGTGCCTATTGGACTCAACGGGGACTGGCATCGTACATGACCCAAACCACCAGGAGAACTTCTGAACTGTCAGACTGACATCACAGTATTATCAACTATTGTACTCACAAGAAAGCCTTCATTGCTCAATAACAAATAGCCTGATAATAGACTTAATATAGTACAGCAAATCCCCATTATTTGTACCACTCAAATTCGAAATCACTCATAATTCATAATGCTTTGTTGTCACAAAACATATACAGTGTATTACAAATTTCATATTTGGTAGTTTCAAAATATCAGATATTTTTTTAAATATATATATTACGATATATATATATATATATATATATATATACGGTACAGTATATGGTAAAATTTCAGATTTTGAGAGACATTTACGAATACAGCATATATGACCCACATGTCACCATGGGATGAGACCACCCTGCCTGCCTCAGTGAAAACAAGTACTATATGCGCCATGCTTGTCTATCAGTTCACGTTGGTTGGCCATGGAGTGTACATCCACGGTCTACAGCACAAGCTTTTTCCACTTGTTTTTCCATCATTGCCCAGTGTTTGAGCACCTCAAAAGGTACTGTATTGTACTTAGAAGCGTTTTAATATTTTGAATGGGACAGATAAAAGTACCGTCGTTTTTTCCCCTCGGGAGAAGATGTCCCTCATATGTATTTTGCAGAATTTCATAATTCGTAAGGGCTAGAGCCCCTATTATTTTGAACTATGGGGTTTTACTGTAGTCATATTATTTCACTCATCACCAGACTATTTACATTAATAAGTGCAACCAGTTAATAAAACTAATGAAAGACAGTCAAATAACTTTGCAGGCTGACAAACCAACAGTTTGTCAATCTAATAGTCTAATGCCTTCAAGCTTTGACATCTGCTACAAGGCAATTTCCTCACAGTCCGAACCTCGAAGATTGGGAGTCCGAGAGCAGAGGTAGCAAAACTCACTAGCTTACCTGTAGATTTATTTCACCAGTTATTCCAAGGACTGGCCACTCGTTATCTCTATGATGAGGTAAAATGTTTTGCTTTTTATTTAATACTGATTTATAACTTATTCTTACAGCAATAATTTTAAGCATAGTTACATGCACTCAAACTTTAACTCATCCAATATAACTTGGATTATGCAGAGCTTCACACATCTGATAATTTTACGTACTAGGCAACCTTTCAATTGAGAGTTAATAACTTAAGCACTTGAAAATTACCATCAGCTGTAAAAATACCCTTCGCAATATAATGGATGAGAGAGTTTTGTAATTAATAACTTAATACTATGTCTTATATATATATATATATATATATATATATATATATATATATATATATATATATATATATATATATATATATATATATATATATATATATATATATATATATATATATATATATATATATATATATATATATATATATATATATAATTATCATACTCCAACATCTTATAAGAAGTGCCAAGATTACAGGCTCTTTTTTGGGGGGAATTATTTTCAGTGGTCAAACCCAAAGGTAGATAACAACCTTATATATGCCAAGTCCTAAAATGCTAATAAAATAAACCAAACCTTGACAGAAACCTCAATCATGAAGCACCATCAGGCAATTGTAGATCTGTGTTACACTCATTGCCTGTATCTATAAAGCAAAATACAAGTACAGTCTCACATCACTATACAGTACTCAAATTTTCTTGAATGAAAGAGCAATAAAAGAATTATCTCTCTTTAATATACAGCATAAATACAAGGCCTTTCAAAGTACAGTATCAACAACTTTACTCATATATACTGTAGATCTTGCTCTGTTAATCCTTACAAACAATATTAGTAAGATCTTACACTCAACAAATCCTTACATTTAAAAAAGCTCTAGAGACAGGAGATCCTACTCTACATTAACTAATGCCTCAACATACATCAACCTTAACAAAGCATTTTCCCAATCATCAATTTCGGTAATCATTTCAGGAGCCCCAGACCATCCCTATGGTTCAAGTATAACACTTCTTAAAGGCAACTTTTCATAGAATTTCTTTTGAAATCAACTGGCAAGAACTTCATCCATTATCCTCCCTCAGGTCATCTCCAATCTGAATTCTGCCTTTACAGTACAAGAAATTGTATCTACTCATAATGGTGTAAATTAACAACAGTGTATACTATAGATGCACACACAGTATTTATTATTATTATACGGCATGTAACTGTATCTGGATGCAAGTTTGAGTACTGTAGTATACAATAATGTAGTAGCAGTTGTGGACAGTCTTGGAATAGGAACATAACCTAGTTTTTCTCCAAATAAGTATCCCCGCTCCCACTGCCGGAAAACCTTAAGAAAGTTTGGTAGGAAAGTGTCTTAACTACAAATATGTATCTTGATATTTTAAATACTGTACTATTCTTTCCTAGGGAATCGCTTTCAAATACAAAATTAAAAGAATCTTTCCTTATAAGACAGATGTACAGACATTTCTATTCATAGAACACAATCATCCTTTTCCCAAAAACTCCTTTCTCTTATAATATTTCCTTTATATATAAATTACTTAGAAAGCCACTGTTTTAAAAAGAACTTCCTCCCTCACCATAACATACCAATTCTTTTAAGATGACTAATCCCAGAAAAAAGAACTTGTTTACCAAAATTCATCTTTCCTAGAAGTACTGGACAGTAAAGGTACAAATGCCTTTGAAAGCCATTTTCCTTTTGAAAACCTGTTTCCTTCATAATAATTATTTCCTCACTTTTCATTACTAAGAAAGTCTCTTCTCTGGAGAGGTTTATTATACTATCAAGAAACTTACTTCTTTATTTAGCCTCTACCCTGAACTACTCACCTGGAAGTACTCCTCTAGCCGCTGTCTTAGAGGGTTAGGTATCTGGTGAAATCGAATGAACTCTTTGACTCTCATGAACTGTGTGTGGTACCGTGCCGTCCCTGCATATAGTCGCTGGATGATGGCCGAGACGTTACCGAAGATACTGGCATACATGAGTGCTGTAGAACAAGGCAAGAAGATCAGTAGGGCCTTCAAGGTACATATAGGAGAGAAAAGGGAGTGAATGAGATATGGTACTGAGAGAGATAAATGCATCATCGTATATGATATGTCTATGCAGTACTATATGTTAATATAATAAGTCTTAGAAGGTTTCTTTATTAGTATCTAATTTAAATCAGTTACTCTGACCTCACAAGAAAATATCATTGGAGAACTAGATGAACTTTTCTTTACATTATTGGTGGCTTTCATCTTTGGCCAATTCCATACTGCATTACCACTAAGTATTGTACTGAACAATCTCAACAATATTATAAAAAATAAATCCCCAAAGAGACTTATAAATCACACAATACAGTAGGATTATAAAGTACTATGTCTTATAGACTCACATTTAGATAATTTATGTTTAATGTCATATTTCATAAACCAAAATTTGAAGAGTCAACGTAAAGGTATGAAAACCTAATTTTATCAGAGGACACATGTTCAGATAATTTTACAGTATCTTAAATGCTAAATACTGTACTAAGCATACAAAGACAAGTGAAGCATACTATACAGTGTATGTGTATATATATATATATATATATATATATATATATATATATATATATATATATATATATATATATATATATATATATATATATATATATATATATATATATATATATATATATATATATATATATATATATATATATATATATATAAAGTTTAGGTAAATCAGTTGCATTCCACAAGCAAATCATGTTCTAATTGGATGGCATCACCACTAGTACAGTAAGTGCTGTTCAACATGCTGTAGTGTAACTGTCTTTGCTAAAACATTAAGTTCATTTTATACAAGGATGAAACTGGATATAATTCTGGGAGTTCAGCTGTGAAATCAAACTTCATTCATAAAGTCTTAAGTGAAATGAATACTTGTAAATATATACAATGTAATGGTCAAGCAGGTTCAAGAGCTCCTGATAATTCCTACTTTCAAGACATTGATTTAACATGATTCCTCTATGATGCTCTTTATCTCTAAGCGGCTATTAGCTGTATGTATTCCCCTCAGTTTACTTGGTCAGGGTAATCAGTATTTCCTAGTTAACAAATTGAGTTACCAGTAATGAAAGACACGCTGACCAGGACAATGATCCAGACAAAATTATATTAGCTCGTAAATTTACATGTGATTCCCAAAGGACCAATATATAAATAAATTATTAGCATTTTCTAATATTAAAAGCAAATAGATGGAGTCACACAATAACTAGGCAAAATGTAATAACAAAATAGTCAACTGTCAAGGAATTATTGGCACTCATCGTGGTTTGAAGCTAATAAGAATTTATTTATTTCTTAAATGTAAAGCAAGTGGCTGTGGTGGAAGGCTCTGAGAGGGAATCACTATTCAACTGAAAGGGATGAAGCTGGGCCACTGAACTGGGTGAGGCTGTGATTGAGAGGAGCAACCAAGAAGGATACTCCTAGATGACTCACAGCCCAGCAGCATGACAATGATTGTGAAGACCTTCTCACAGTCTGTGTTGGGGGACACGTTACCAAAGCCCACGCTCGTAATGGTGCTGAAGGTGAAGTACATTGCTGTGATGTACTTCTCCTGCAGCAGGCATGAGTGTCGGCAGGAGGAGGAAGAGAAGAGGCAGAAGCAGCGACACGGCACCAGTGATGGTCGCAGGGGCATTTCGCAGGAAGAGGTGCATGGAAGGTTAGATTGCCAATGGAGAAACAGAGAAAAAAAAAAAAAAAAATGGTTCATCATTCAAAAATACAAAATGCAAAAGAGGTTGAAAAAATATAGCATGCAACAAGAAAATGGATGAAAAGACAAGGAGGTTGGAAATAAGGAGAAAGGTAGCATCTTGGTAATGTGTGCTATATTGAGTACAGCTGTATCTATATTACCATGTGTTATACAAACATTTATACTGTATATGTTTAAAGAATAAATCATTAAACAAATAACAAAAATGATCAATGTCATATCATGCACCACAGGTTTACTGTACATTGATTAAAAAACAAAAACACTAATTCTAGCCAACATATTTCATGCAATTTGACCCATTTCCATTACAGGCCACATAGAGAATATCAAATGTCACAAAGACATTCATTGCAATACACAAGGTTATAAATGGATACATGTCTAATTATGTCTTATGTGAAAGTATAGATAAGAGGGCACCAATTTCTTTCTCAGAATTTCATAAAGGGATCTTTACTGATATGCTCATTATCCAACTAAAAAGTAAAATGTAAAGGCAGTGTGGGAACATGGATGATTTAGCAAAGTTGTAGAGAATGGTTACCATTTCATTACTTGAAATGCACTGTGATAGGATCCTTGCTGAAATGTTAAATTTTATACAATGTGTGCAACTGTGGTGGGGAGTTTAGAAAAAATAAATGTAACCTTTAGAAGCAATGCTTAAATCTCCTTACATGCTGCTGTGGCCTTGTCAACAAAGCTGGATCACATATGGCTCTTAGCAACTTACAAAAGCATTCAAAAGGAATCAACAAAGCTAACCCCCTGCCCTAAAAAACTAAGATTGTTAGGCTTTGTTTGGTTAGGTTAGGTTGGCTTGTACATTATGCTGTTAAAATAAACGACATCCCTTTTCTAAGCCTTTACATAATTGAATCAGCCACTGACTACATGGTACAAAAAGAGTAATTGATTCACTTCCACATGAATAACAAATAACCACAGGAAGGAACACATCAATATGGATGCTGCCAAAACATTCCAAGTGATAAACTAGCAACCCTTCTCTAAACCTTTATGAAAGTTGTCTTTTCATAGAAAAAAAGAGGATTCTTCACAATAAAATCAACCCTAATATCACAAATATTTAATGAGCTTAGGAGTAAAGTAATAAAACTACAGTATTGTATTATTGTACTGTATATGATAAATTATGCCAAAGCCTCCTTAACAATACGTGTTAAGATTTATTCACTCATGCTGTAGTTTAGATATGTACTGATTAATAATTAACTGTACTGCCATGATCATTCAATATCCTGCATGTAACAACCATCTCCAAATGTTTTTCAATTGTAAGTTCCACATAACTTTATCTTAATCCTCTCATATTAAAAACTATAAATTTCTTTTCTCTATTATTTGTATTTGATTATAAATACTGTACAGCATTCCTCTTCTGTTAGAACAAACCTCCAATGCAGGAATAATTTTTGATATTGTACTAATAATTATTTTGATTTGTTTCAGAGATTCTTCAGGCAGCTTGTTTACCTATGTTCTTCTAAATGAATTTGATCAACAATTAGAGTTAATGAAAGTAGGAAGCACAAATAAACTTAATTACTGTAGTGGGAAAATCTCTCCTAAATGACCAACTTCTAATGTGTCAATAAATTTCAAATTTTTCATAGCTGCAAGTTTCTAAAGTCAATTAAATTTTTTTCTTTTCTTTTTTCATAAGGCATATACCATGGGCTACCTTATGGACAATACTTCTGCTAACAAAAAATAACTTTTTGGTGAAAAAAATAAAAATAGAGAAGCACAAAAGTGTCCCAATTAAAATCAACAATTGACTATCATTAAATCAGTACTGTACTGTACTGTACATTATATCAATATCTTTATAAAAACTCAAGTTCACTAACTTTTGGCCTAATGTAAATGATGTACAGTCACTGTCAAAAGTAATCATCCACTCCATTATCTACCCCTTGTGCCTGGCCGGGTCCTTTCTGCACAGTAAGTCACGTGAGAGTGGAGAGGTGGAATGGTCGACTTGGGGGAGGGTCGTTCGTTGGGGGAGGATTGTGGGAGGATGGTATGAGATGTAAATTGCTCATCAGAGAGGCAGTGGGATTGAAGAAAGCAGGGAAATTCATGAAAGAAGGAAGAGAAGGATAGATAAAAAAAATTTCTCGCTATATTATCTTAGGTTTACAAGCTCGAAAGAGAAATAGATGAGGAACTTTATTTTACGATAATTATAATGTGCCACATCCATTTCCTTATTTAAATTTTTTCAGGTCGTGGTTCAGGTTTTAAACAACGGCAATTTGATATGGTATTTACAATAACGTTGATATGAGGGGAAATATTGAATATGAAGGCGAATATCAATTATATTTTTAATATTTACTAACACACTCTTTAGTGTCCATTCTGGGCTGGGTGTGGAGCAGAGTGGCCAAATACCATTGCCACTACCACCTCATCACATCGCCTTGATTTTCACAACTATAATAAACATATTGCAGGGTGGATAGGTCACATTCTATCCAACAATTCATTCTTTTATTTTTCATCAATTAATAGTGCTTTTTTTTTCAAGAACAGTAGTGGCAGGAGGTGGAAGTGATCAAATAGCAATCTAGCTTACTGCTACTGGTGGTGAGCAAGACCAAGCACAAACCCACTCCCTCTCCTCTTAGGTTGTCATATTAGGGCTTTACCTCACAGAAGCTAGATGCCTTATCAACCTTAATGGCACCTCTCCACCTTCCCTTCTGGTTGGTTGGTTGTTTGGGGTTTAGGCCTATCAACTGCTCGGGTCATTAAGGCTGTCAATGTCAGGCTACATTCACCAACTGAAATATCCTTATCACCTTGACTTTAGCCCTCCTATCTTGCCCAGGTCCACCATCCCTAGCTCTCCCTCATCAATACCTCCCCCACCCTCTTGTGATCCCTACATAGAAAGGCCTTGAGCTCGTGGATATGGTAGTAGGAGGTGGATGGATGATTGCTTTAGACTGCGACTGTACTGTACAGTATTACCTATCATGTAAATAATAGTCAATTTTGTACCATATACAAAAATCCTATTATGACACAAATACAGATACTAATTATGAACCATTTTATATACCTGAACATATATGTACAGTAAATTTGATCTTATTGACACAAAGAACCAAGATAGTGACAATATGTTTTTCAAACCATGCACCTCCCTGAATTTTGCGCTGTGTCCAGAGCCTATATTTGCACATATCCGAGCCTAGAGCTCAAATGTTAAGTAAAAGCATGCAGAGTATGATTATTAATATAAACCGGTCTTGGTCGGTGTTCACACAGATGAAAATGTTGCAGATGGCTTAAGCATTCCACCAACAAGCATGATTTAAGGACACCTAAAATGTCTATAAAGGCCAAGTTTTAGCGGCAGAGAGAGGGCAGATTCAGCAGAAGCCTCTCAGTCATTGCATTGTAGTAATCTAGCCTCACCAGGGACATCATACACTGCACATGCTGTCTTGTTTCAGCTGCTGTGCAAGCGCATCTAAACAACAGCTGTGTCACAGGGGCACCTTGCCACTGGCGACTTTGATTTATTCCAAGAGTGTTCTATAACTCTGCTTCCAAATGGATTAAATAATTTAATTTAAATCAACACATCACAGAATTAAACAATTAAACTTACAAGAGAATTATGCAAAATTGATTTGGTGATGTAAATTTTAAGACAAATAGCAAGTTACAATCTGATTCTGGAAATAAAAAACTTGGCTGCTAGAGGACACCCTTGGAAACCCTTCTTAACTCGCCACTGTAAATCCCTTGTCCTTGAGGTCTACTCTGCTATTGGTCAGCTGCTGTGCATGCTCGTGACCCCACAGCCAGTACTTACAGCCGATGAGCATAACCAATATGGTGAATATCTTCTCGATATCTGTGTTAGGCGCCACGTTGCCGAAGCCCACCGACGTGAGGCTACTGAAGGTGAAGTACAATGCTGTCACGTACTTCGCCTGCGGGGAAGGTAGTGATGCTGGGTATTACAGGATATATGTAACGGTACAAACAGAGGGACGCAGAGGAGGTCAAGGTAGAAACTAAAGGTGGTAGTGAAAGCATAGCAAGATACAGTACACAGAGAGGTAGTAAGACGCAAAAATATTAATTATCTTGGAGATAGGGCTACAAGTCTACAGCAACAGGAAAGTAAAAGCTTCATGTGGAGGAGGTGGAGGTCAGGGTGGTTCTGGATGTGTTGGGTTGAGGCATCTACTGGACTCATAAACAGAATAACAGTTTTTGTGGAATTAATTCACAATATTGCATAGTGTCTTTATAAGGTCTAGTGATTCGTGATACAAGAATAAATTCTATGTATACTTGGAAAATTGTATTAGAAGCAACAAATTATAAGTACATTTATAAGGAACGTCAAACCCATACTCAATAAAGAGCTAATTTGCTTTGCAAACCAGGCTTTAAATTCTTTCTGTAAATAATGAAGCTGATGATATTTGACTGGGGAGAGAGTGAAAGATCGCATGTATATTGCAAAGGAATTTTCTTGTGAGTGAAATTTATAAGTACGGTAAGCAACATAGTATTCATGATTTTGAACAATCAAAAAAATGTAAAAATATTTTGTCAGTGGTTGAGGTGCAATTATTTTGAGACAAGAAGGTGAATTGAGAAATGTGAATGTTATGTGTTTAACCCCCTGCTGCTTTAAACAAATGAAGCTGCTGAAAGAAGGCTCTTATTTTAATGTAACATGGTGGACTGTTTTTGGAACTTACAAATATAAAAAACTTCTTCTTTGAAATAATATTCCTTTGTGTCTTTTAAAACGAGATACTTATTATTTAGTGCTCAACACATGAGGACTCAGGGATCCGATTTTTATTCCGCAGTCATTCAATACTGTATTAACAATACGATGTGATCCCAAGCAACTTGCTGTAATGGTATGCATTTACATCCTTGACATTATCACATAATCTGGCCAGCTACCAATAACAGCACCAACTGCATAAGATTCAGGTGACGAGATGGGAGCCCTCTGCTCACAGTAACCAAAGTGGGAGACACTTGTAGATGAGTGCTGCAATAACTTGCACACTGCACAAATTTTAAGTTTACTTTGTGATGATTGACACAGTTTAACTTGTACAATGATGTCTGACATGTAAATGTGTGCAGAACACATAACGCTCTTACTGTGGGACAGAGAACATAAACGCCAGTGTATTCTGTATTCTACAGCTTCGCTGCTTCGAGAGACTTTATAATTACAGCACTGTATGTTCAAAACATATGAATATTTTTAAAACAATTGGATAACTGCAAGTTATGAATAACAGAAAAAATATGGTAAAAATACAGAAGATAAAAAGTATTTTTGCCAAAGTCTCTCGACGAATGACAAGACATACAGGTGGATCATCTGGCTGGCCAGTAACTAGTGTGCTCTGACTTGTCCTGGCCGGCCAGGCCTACGGTAGCCGACACTACTGGTGTTGTCCTGTCTAGACCCACTCACAGCCCATCATCATGACGAATATTGTGAAGACCTTCTCGATCTCCGTGGTTGGGGACACGTTGCCAAAGCCCACCGACGTTAGGGAGGAGAATGTGAAGTAGAGGGCGGTGATGTAGCGGGACTGAGGGGGTGAAATGGTTTATGTTCAGACACACTAATGTACAGACTGGAGACATGAGTGTTGCCAAGGTGAGAACACTTGTTGTAAGGGAGGAATGTTTCCAGACTGAGTAAGTTAAGTGAATATAAAGATATGAGAAAAGTAGTAATATAGAAGAATTAATGGAAGCAGACAACATCACTAAACAGCTTAAATAACTGTTACATATCTCATCATACATTGTACATAGTATCTTGTTTGTTGGTGGAGATATTCCTTCACGGTAAGTGTTAATGGTCTTACTCTTCAAGCCATTAACATTGGATTTTCAAGTTAACATTACAGTACTTTATTAGTGTTATAATCATTGATGTTTCATGTCCGACGATCTGTGCAGGCAGAAAACAAGAATAAACTTCTTCAAGAGTTCACAAGATGGTTAAGCATAACTACATTAAGGACAAAGAAATTTTTAAATTACCGTACCATTAAGACTAAAGAGGTACTGTACATGTAAAGGATTACTGTATACTGTACTGTACTTAAAATGAATTGGTACAGGTAAGATTACATTTACAAATAATTTTTTTCTTTCCCATGCAAATATCCTCAACTAGGATTTTCGGTCTGCAGTAATAATATTGTCACTGCTCGCAATAGGCTAAGAGACAGTCCTACTTGGGGAGTCTCTGAGGAAGGGGACGTCCCGCACTTCTCTTTTTGCAAACTGTACAGCAGACCCACAGAGCCTTCCCTACTACTGCCTTTACTGTTCCACTGTCAGACCACAGTGATGAATCACTGACGATTACACATCGTTGCCAGCAATATGGATATAACTCCAATACACTTAGGTGGTGTTAATCAAAACTGCTTTTGACTCACCTTAAGTTGTGCTTGAATCCATTGTCTATTACTAAGTTTACCCCCTGGGGTGTAATTAATTAAATAATAACAAGAAAAACGTCAATGAATTTTTGACGCACATTACTTAATAGAAACACATTCTACTTTAAGACTACTACAGTATATTAGCAGCACTTAAAAGTTCATTATCCCATATTAACATTATTTGGGAAATTAATATGGATCATTTTGAACTTGACAGTTTCATTATATTGTACAATATAATATTGAAAGTTGAGCCAAATAATTTGTATGTGATATTACAGTACTGTACAGGCATCCCCCGCGTTACGGAAGCCCGGGTTACGGAATTTCGCTCCTACATAATTTGTAAATTATGACCAATAATTTCGCGTTATGGCCTGTAAATCCGCCCTTGCGGAAAGTGGGGTAAATTTTAACAATTAAAAAAAAAATCACTATATAAAATTATAATTTTTTGTTAAAAATGATAATTTGCTTGGTGTGGATTTCTTGGTGTTTGCTACCGCATGTCTCGCGACCCAGCAGTTGGATTTAACTTTTACAAACATACAGTAAGTACAGTACAGTGCATTACCCTTATTCAAGATGACTGGAAAGAGGCCGTTAAGTGGAAGTGACCGCAGTAGTGCAAAAAGAAGCCACAAAGGCATTACAGTAAAAGTCCAAAAATCCGGATGCCAGAAATCCGGACCACCCGAGAATCCAGACCTTTCAAAAACTCAAACTTTTTTTTTTTTTACTTGGCTTTTGTGTGTATGTGCACATGCGTGAGCGCCACAGCTGCACAGTGACAACAAGTGACCACGCGGTCGCCACTTTAAAATGAGCAATCAAACTGTGACAACGTATGTAATTTTGAGTCCTACTCTTTCCATTTACAGAGTACTGTACAAGCCCATAATAATGGCTCCTAAAGTAGATAAACTTCGTTGTGTGAAGAGAAAGAAGAACACGTTGAAATTGAGTGACAAATTTGAAATAATTAAGAAACTAGAACGTGGTGTGAGCAATACTGTACTGTTCTAATGGAAACATACGACATTGGAAAGTCTACAATTTATGATATAAAAAAGGCAAAGAATAAAATTCTAGAATTCACAGCTTTTTCTTTAATACTGCTCATTTTGATAAATGAAGCATGCTATATTTGCTAATGAATAAACTATCAAAATGTACCTCTTCATCTCTTCTTTATTCCTCCTTAAATTTGAATTTTAAAAGTACTGCGTGAGAATCCAGAAAATCCGAAAATCTGGACCGACCCAATCCCCAAGCAGTCTGGATTTTTGAACTTCTACTGTACATTGGATTTTAAAGTTGATGTGTTAAGAAGGTATGTCATAAATTATTTAATGTACTGTATTGTATGTGTTTATAAATGTTTATTTTCATTCATAAAAGTGCTTGAATGCCTTTTTTGGGGCCAAAAAAAAATTCCTTAAGAAAGCATCTCCAGTTTTATAATGGAAGTCAATGGGAAAATAGGTTTCACGTTACGGAAATTCGCGATACGGTCAATTTTCCAGGGACGGAACCCTTCTGTAACGCGGGGGATGCCTGTACAGTACCAGCAAGTTAATCGTACAATCACTTGCATTAGTGGTTCTTAAACATGTTTATAGAAGGTAATCTGAAATAGTACAAAGATTATAATTATACATTCCTGAAAATCTAAAATAAAAAAATCCCAATATAAGATTCATTCATGTCTTGATATAGCTTATGTGTCTTAATAGGATGAAAATACTGAGTGTTTTTTTCTTTTTCAGAACCCAACATTGACACATGAACTCATCATTAAGGCAGTACACATAAAATTCTCCCACATGGACAGACATCATGCTTGAAGATGACAGAAACCTATATAAAGGAAACATGCGAGGAGAGGGTCCCAGGTTAATCATCTATCTAATGAAAAACCTCTGTATTGCGGAGTTTTTAAAATCGTTTTCTATGAAAAGTCGGCTGCAGGTCAGTTGCCAATAATTACCCACACACTTATAAATCCAAATGGACACAATCATACCAACATGAACAAATACATGTTCCTCCCTCACCTTTACTAGTGTCACCAGTTAAATACAGTACAGTATACTGTACTGTATACTCATATTCATATACAGTACAGTACACAAATAACTTAGCAGATACTGTACTGCACAAACTGACATTAATACTGTACACACAAACAAATATCCCATGACATAAGCCTATACACACACACACACACACACACACTACACCTTCACATACACACACCCTACACCTTCATACATATACACCCTACACCTTCACACACACAAACATGGGTGAGTTCTCTCCCTCTCTATCTTTCTTTCTCTCACCCTAAGCGTAGGTCCTCCCGTACTGTTGCTGTAGTAGTACTGCCGTGTGGCGTTGGCTAGGTGATCCAGCCACCCTATCTTGTGGGGAAGACCCGGCCGCTCCGCATTTCCGATGGCATACCTGTCGAGATATGGGTCAAATCAGTAGCAGGTAGAGTGATGACTCGAGTCAGTAGCAGTCCTAGTGATTAGAAGAGCGAGTAACAGGTAGAGTGATGGGTTAAGGCAATATGTACTATGGACCAGTTAAGAGTGATGGGTTAATTCTATGACAGGTTGAAGGAAGGGGAGATTCCATTACAGGTCAGGGAGTTTAGGTTAATTTATCAGGTGGTCAAGAGATTAGCCATGTCATGTGTATGAAAAGTAAATATTCTTTAAGATGTACACTGTAATACAGGTTGACAACCCTTTATCCGAAATTCCGAAAACCGAAAAGCTCTAAAAACCGAGTTTTTTTGTGGGGCAATTTTTTTTTTTTTTTTTTTTTTTTTAAACAGGGATTAGCCCACCCGGGCATAAAGCACTGACTCACATCGGGGCCTGGTGGACGAAAATGTAATAGTAATAATTATAATAATTATTCATAGTAAATAAAAATTTTAATTAAAATACTGTACACCAAAATAAAATAATAATGATAACAATAATAATAATGGTAATAATAAAATATAAAAATAAAATTAATAATAATAACAATAATACTGTAATAAAATAATAATAATAATAATAATAAATATAAGAATGATAAAAACATCACAAGTGAGAAATGCGACTTAGAACTATGAAATATTATTACAGTATTATTATTACAGTATTATTATTATTATTATTATTATTATTATTATTATTATTATTATTATTATTATTATTATTATTATTATTATTATTATTATTATTATTATTATAATAATATCCCCCCCCCCAGGCCCCGATGTGGGTCAGTGATCTGTGCCCGGGTGGGCTTAAAAAAAAAACTAACCATTCTGAAAACCGAAAAATTCCGAAATCCGAAATGCCTCTGGCCCCAAGCATTTCGGATAAGGGATTGTCAACCTGTATGATAAATTTCACTTGTTGTCACACAAGAAATTTTGAGAATTTTATAGTTGCACTCAATAGTTTAGACAATTCTTCCACTTTTCTTCTATGACATTTCTCTCAGAAGCGATCTAACTTAACCAGGGGGCTCCACCCTCCTGGACCCCCCAAGCATATAAATGTCATTTGCGAGGGAAACCTCACAAGAAAAGTGTTTTAGAATTGTCTTAACTATTTAAATTTACTTTTATCCTCTTCGCCACAGATCGGCTCGTTAGCCGCTTGGGTGGTTGATCGATTGTAACCACAAAATTTTCAAAATTCTTTGTGTGGCAACAAGTATAATAATACCTGAAATATTTTCTAAAATAACTTGAGAGAATACCTGTATCTTATTGACAACAAAATGATGGGTAATAGTGGAGCAGATAGCTAATACCAGAAAGAGTTGCTCGATTACGAATGTTCAAATTTTCCACAGATGTCCTTTGGGTGATAATGTAATAAAATGATACAACTTTTCATTTTAATTATAAGTACTGTACTATCTTAAAATTTTCTCTTTACTATCATAAATCTTCTGTAATGGGCAGGGTATGAAGGATGAGAGAAATTGCGGGGTAAAACAAGACACTAAAATTATATATCTACGTGCTTTGTACACGAAGAAATTTAATTATTTACCGCAAACATTTTGCCGAAAAATCTGCCTTGCCGGCGTTAGTTGTTTGTTTTTGTGCAACAACCGAGTCGCTCGGTCCGACTTTCTCATGTCCACAAAAAGCCATAAAATTACACCAAGCTGTTTCAAGAAATTTGCTTTCAATGGTACCAGATATCAAAGTACATTCTTTCTGCTTAATATGCTGGGGGTCTGGGGGCCCGGCTAGGAAGTTAAGTAAGATTAGGTAGGTTTTTTTGGTTAGGTTGCTTAGGACAGGTTCTATTAGGTTCTTTGCATTGCCACATTGTTTTTTTACTATCATCCAAAGAACACCTGTAGAAAAAAATAATGAAATCGAACTACTTCTGGCGTAAGCTGTCTGGTCTACCTTTACCAAACAATTAAACGGGGGTCAATTTATAGTAGAGGACATAATTCAATATTGGATTTTTTATTGCTAATATCAAGTTCAGACAAAAGGAATACAATTTTGTCTATGATACTTTTGGCACTCTTTACTCATAACCAAAATATCGGGAGATGAAAATCATTAAACTACTAAAAAGTTGTTACAGTACAGGTGTATTGCATGTGTTGCCACCAACCAAACCTCATGATTAATTCTTAGCAGACAATTGTTTAGACAATTCCAAGACACTTTTCTTTATGCCGTTTCCCTCGCAAATGATTTAGAACCGAGATATTTAATATACTGAGGGGTCCAAGGAAGTTAGGTAAAGTTAGGTAGGTTTGGTTGGTGCTCTCAACCACCTATTACTAATTAAGTTAGCCTAACCAACCAAAACCAGTCCGACTAATTACCCAAATGTAGCCGCAATGAAGTCAAATAATGGTCCTACATGAATAAATCGGACTTTGCCCCCGGTGGACCCCTCCGACTTACTGTAATAAATATCTTAGTTCTAGTTCGTTTGCAAGGGACTTGTCAAAGAAGAAAGTGTCTTTGAATTGTCATCTAAACTATTGTGTGCATAGAAAATCAAGAGATTTGGTTGGTGGCAAGAAGTGCAATAATAGCTTAATTTTTTTCTAGTGGTTTCTGATTTTCAACTCCCGATACCTCGGTTATGAGTAAAGAGCACCAAAAGTGTCATATATGAAAATTTTATTGTTTTTTTCTGATCTTATTAGCTATATAAAAAATCCAATATTGAATTATTGGTATTATTATCATGAGCGGAAGAAATGTTATAGAAGAAACGTGTTTTAGACTTGTCTAAATTACTGATTTCAAGACTTAAAATCCTAAAAATTGCTGGATGATCGAAACGATAATTTTACCGAATTTGTCCTCTACTATCCTATACAGGTATCAATAACATATCTGTCGCTGTTAAAATTTAAAAACTGCCAGAGATTAACAAGCCCATGAACAGATATATGTTTTGCCATACCTGTAGACTATTGAGTGACAAACACCACCAGTCTTACCAAATACAGGCAAGCCAATGGGCGATGAGGGCGAAGGTGGCCATGAGCAGAAGAAGGACGGCTGCGCCATACTCTGAATACCTGTCTATCTTCCTGGCAACCCTGACCAGCCGCAGGAGTCTGGCAGTCTTCAGGAGGCCGATGAGGGTCGTCGTCTGCAGTTTAGGAACAAGATATGGTCAAAAGATGTTCCAGACAAGACAGCAAACTCCGGTCAATGTCCAGTGATTGTAGCTTCCTCGAGCCGGATCCAGGGGAGGTCCTGACCCCATTTTCATCAGAAAATTCCAATACCTTTTCTTTACTGCAGTATTGTACTAAGGCGTTTTTGTATCGTAAAAAGTAATTACGGTTTATTTATAGTATCACACCGGCCTTTATTTGTGTATTAAAAATACGTATCTCGTAATGTCTACACAATTCTAAGACATTTTTCTTCTATGACATTTCCACCGGAAATTAAGGATAGCCGAGATAATAATTTTTCAAGATTATTACTTTCGCTCAGTCACAAGTGTCTCTATGACTCGGAGATGGTCTGACCCTTGTCCCCGCATGGCTCCAGGCCTCCGGCAGGGAGCTGGTTAGGTTTTCTTGTTTGGTTGGTAATATAATTTATTTATTCTGAAAAAAAGCTAACTTTTTGCGTTATGATCGTTGGGAGGGGGGTTATCTTTATTATAAAAAAAGGTGATTTCCGATGGAAATGAATATCAAACTCGTTCGAAACTTGTCAAAATACGTCGGAAAAACTTATTTTTAATGTTGAAATAAAGACCGGTGTGATACAATAAATTTACCGTAATTACTATTTACCTCAGAATATCTCCTAGTATATAGTGCACAAGGCCTCAAAATGCCCACGATACTGGTCATATTTCAATAAAAAATTCTATGGAGGGGGGGGGGGGCATGGAGTACTCCCCTAAATCTCCCCAGCTGGGTCATCTCGCTAGGCTCGCCATGGTCCCCTCCACCCACATCTCTTGATATTCCTGGATCCGCCCCTGCTTCTCGTGTACCCTGGCAACAAGTTAACTGTCACATTATGGTTTAGTCATTATTTTAAAATATTGACAAATTTTGCAAGGTATTTGCATTCTTTATCTTTAAACTAATCCTTCATGAAAAACTTTTCCAAAAGAAGTGTCCCAGAATATACAAGGTATCGTAACTTCACATTTAACCGGAGTAGACTGTCTTTGTGTTCACTGGTGCTTGGAAGACATATGTGTACACCAGTGTTATTGATATACTGTAGCTACGTATGAGTGATCTAGGAGGCACTACTACATTGGTCTATCTGTTCTATCATCAACTAGGCTGTCACCCACATCCCTCTGCTCTACTGTACAGACTTGAGATGATAACACTGCAGCAAGAACTATGTTTGCTTGCTGCAGAGCAATTAACCATCTGTTGAAGATGGTATGTGCTCCTAAAGTCATCGTCACCAAAGGATTAATGTCAAAAGTTATTTTTAAATACAAGCTTATAAATTAAACTATTGAGAAATCCAGCTGCTGTGATAAGACGAAAAATGACTAAGATAAAAATACAACAGCAAAGTGTGAGAGCCATTGGGCGCAGGTGATGACACACTGTCTGTGGAAGTAGACAATCGTTTGATTATGGCGATGTTTGCTATGGTTGTCACCACCAGTTTTTCACGTGATCAAGAATCACAACTCTTCAAATATAAAACTAGAAATCATTGAATACTGAACTTAGGGACTACTGATATGAAACTACACACTTTAATTTATTGTGAGCTGTTGAGTCTCACATTCCCAGGAAAAATGATCACCTGATATAATGTAGTTGAACATGCCCGTGCTAAAATGGCGTAACAAGCTTGCAATATGAATCTGTTTTCATGTGTTATTAGTTCTATAGTGACGTGATCAACAGCTGTACATAAGAATTGGCATGGTGGCTCTCTGTACACGATGCTGCCACACACACAGACGGTAGCAGGAGAAAACGGCCCCAGTCGAAAACGGCCCAAACCAAAACAGCCCCACTCTTACCAAAACGGAACGGCCTCACCCTGTGACCAAAACGGCCTAACTCTAACCTAACCTAACCAAACCAGAAGTGGCAACTGTCAAATGTAAACGAAGTAAACATTGGACCAAACAACCAGTTGCCACTTCTGGTTAGTTACCCAGCCAACTCAGACTGCCAACATGGCTGCTATCATGCTCAGTTTTGGTTAGGTTAGGTTAGAGTTAGGCCGTTTTGGTCACGGTGGGGCCGTTCTGGTTTGGGCCGTTTTCGATTGAGGCCGTTTTGTCTCGAAACCCACACAAACAGACATACACACAGCATCGTATCCAATGTGATGGTTTAAAAACGTTGTCAGTGAAGTCTAGTACAGTAATAAGTTAACAGATCAAATAAAAGACCGTGAAAACAGATTCACGAATGTATTAGGTACGATAAAAAAAATACAACTATTCAGGTATGGCCATCCCTCATTTTGTTTCCTATTTGGTGAAAGCACAAACACACTGCTTAAAAAGATCGGTACACGGAAGGATTTCAACAAATTATCCTACAGGGCAAGGGGCCAAAGAGAGGCGAGGTATGTCCAACTGTCTCCTGGAGGACTGGGGTGTTATTTCCATTGAATAAGTTACACTGCGCGTTATTCAGGAGCATATTATTCTACATATTCCGACTCAGTAGAGTTTTATGAAGATATATTCTACATGGTGAACAGAGTGCTAAAAGAATCAACCTGGGATAATTACACAAGAGAAGAAAATTCCCCCGGGACTACCTGACGAAGCTTACCACCTCACCAAGAGAACACGACGGTCTCCTATACCACATAATGCTTGTTCATACGTACACCGCACTAGCACATAAACTCTCTCTTGTGTATGGAAATGTTATCTACAGGCACATGTCATCCTGTAAGCGTGTCACTGAAGGCTACATCTTCAACCTGACATGAATCTACAAGTGACGCAGCCTGGGTTCTGCACCCCGTCTGAATATCCTTTGGCCAGAATTCGTACTGGATTTGTTTCTTTGGCTTCAACGCCGAGGGTGAGAGAAGTTGCCAGAACAACAAATGAAGAACTAGAGATGCAGAGCTTTAGGTGGGGTATGTGCACACCTCAGCTGCAAACACAAAAGAAAGGGCAACAACGCACCACCGTTCAGTAGGTCTTGTTGTGGATGAAGAAGAATCAGTGTTTGTGCTAATCGTCAGGAGCATAAAGCCCCAGCCTTAAGCCTACGAGGTTCTGCAAATGAGCATATAATGTGCTACAAAACAAGTGTATACTACAGAAATGTTATATCTTAATAAACAATAATAAAACAAAAACTATAAGGAAAAAGAAAATACATAACCTATGATCAGAGCTCATTTTAAAAGGCAAATAAAGAGTACAACAAAAACTGCCTGAAGAAGAAATAGTTTGGAAACATAAGTGAAAATAGGACCTAAGAAGATAATATTGTCCTATAAAATTAAATAACAACAGTGATCATAAGCACAAGTGATGCAATACACAGAAGCATGTATGTATTGAACAAACTTTATATAAAATGAAAAATTATATATCCAACAAAAGTTATAATGGACACAGCTCTCATACCAAAAGAAAAGAAAGGTACTGAAGAGGGACACTCATAATATGATCTAACGCTAAGTAACCTACAAATTAATAACTAATGAAAAGCAATTGTCAACAATGATTAAAGTAGCCACATACAGACGTTGTTGCTTTGTAAGTGATGAACTTGAAGGCCCTTCACACAAACAAATATATTTTAGAAAAGAATACACCCGACCTACTGAAGAACAGAACATAGGCTCCATAAGCATAATAATGTTCTGCGAATCACATATCCCAACGGGACGAAGAAACTGTATTAATGAAACCGAATGCGAAAAGGACGTGGGTGTGTATGTTGACAATGAGCTATAGTTCTCGGGCCATTGTGAGAAGAAGGTGAATTAAACAACTAAACCTTCAAGAGTGAGGTGCTTCCCCGCCTAGAGTACTGCCTGGTCCCCGAGATATGCAAGGGACTGTCAGTTGATTGAAAATGTCCAAAGGGAGGCCACCAGACTGGTGCCTGCACTTCGGCACCTCAGCTACCCAGAGAGATTAGAGCGCCTGCAACTGCCTAGCTTATACTCCAGACGGGCAAGGGGTGACCTAATTGAGGTGAATAAACATCTCAGAGAACACTACTCAGTCGAGTGTCCATATCTGGAACTGGCGGACGCCCGCCCCACAAGGGGTCACAGCTCAGGGATGAAGAAGCCAAAATTCCAGGGCAAACTTCTAAGTGAGAATTGTAAACTCTTGGAACAACCTGCCAGAGTGTTGTGACGGCACCGAGTGTGAGCTGTTTCAAGGCCATACTTGACCAACACTGGAGTAAGTTCAGATACATTCAGGAGCCAGTGCATGCCCAGTACTTGCCAATAGTGCGTAACAGAGACGTGACCGACCGCCCAAGCAGCTAACGAGCCGATCAGTGGCGAAGAGGATAAAAGTAAAGTAAAAGGAAGATTTTGTCCTACAACAGAACAGCCCTAACCCATAGAAGAACGAAAACATCCCCCAGAAACGACAGATATTCTATAAGTTAACAACATTGTTCTTCTTTGAGAGCTTTGAACCTACAGCAGAATAATAGTACCATAAGAAAGGCTGACAGTCTTCTAAAAATGAGACAGGATGATTCTACGGAAATAATGGTCTGTACAAGATCACTGATGTTTTACACGTAAAAATATGCATAATAATTATGTTCTGGTGGAAAAATCCTCATTTACAGGTAATAACTTTGTAAAAACACAATACCAAATATTCTACTACAGGAACCATAACTTTCCATGCGAAGCTTCCTGCCCTGTACGATTTATGAGTGGGGGTGAGCATACCACTAAAGGCATACCACAACCTGTAGCAGCCTACCATACAAGGCATAACTCATCTCACAGCATCATAGTAGCCTGTGGTTGTATGCTGATAATAGGAAGAAACTTCTCTTGTAGCAATATCATTACCAGAGGCGTACTTCAGCCAACAGGGCGCATGCGAGAGTAGACACACCTCTGCTGCGGCACTATTTAAGGCACATCACTGTACTGGCATACTACTGGAGGCATAACATAGTCTACTGGGGGTAGTTCACAGACAATATACCTGTGTAAGACATGACTACTGGATGAACACACCAGTTTACAGTAGCACGCCACTTTGAAACATCCACCAAATACATACCCAAACTTCACGGGGCTTATAACGAGTCAGTGCACATCACCCGGGGCTTATATCAGTCGCCCAATGCGTGCCTACCCTTGTGATGGTAAGCGTCAGAGAACATCAGCCACTGTCCATAAGGTGAAGTCGAGTCGCCAGTTAACCATCTCTGCTTCTTCCCGTTCCTCCGCCTGGGTCTGGAGTTCCCAAGGTTGTCTAGGTTATTACAACCACATCCGCGCCAAGGAAACGTAATGCCTTCGTCCATCATGGCGATAAACACATACGAGGAGTCACACAAAAGGACGGCAGGTATGAGGTCTGACACAAGCAAACTCTCTCACAATTAATCCTTACGTCACAAACACAAGCAGCCGGAAAAACGTACATTTAGGACAAACTGATAAACATTTGTTTCCCAGACACGAACAAAGCTTCAGAAGTGATCGTAAGTTGAGTGTGTCTTATCTACCTGGGCAGAAAGTGACCACGCAGCATACTGGTTAGCGGCTGGTGTCCTCGAGAACCCGCGTCACAAGAGGCAAGGGTATGTGTACCGGGATCCCCCCTTGATGGAGGCTGCCAGCAGCTATCTACTCATAGGGTGGAGCCTGAGGCACGTAGCTAGGATTTACACAAACACCATGAGCACAACTTTGCATTCGGGGCAGCTACTACAGGTCCGGCTCATTTCTGGGTCTGCAACATTACAGCGAAGTGAGGATTTTCCCTTCATTATCTGGTTGGGTCAAGACTCGCTTGGATACTGCAAAAAACCTTTCTCTGTCATATAAAATAATCACTCCTCACTTCTTATACTTACATGTGTGTGTTAAAGCGTACGAATATACCAACCTAAATATCCAGTGCGTAGCGAGACCTCGCTGTAATGTATTAGACACAGGCAGATGGGCTGCAACCCTTAGCCTAGAGCGGGTTGGAGGAGGGACACCGAGGGTGAGTGATGGTGGTGACTGAGCTCCATGATCACTAGCCGGAGGTGGCTGAACGATCGGGTGGTGAGAGCCACCTATCTGGCCCTCATCGTCCCCACCAGCTGCCCGGGCAACTACTCCAACCACCGTCGCCTGAGTCACTGCACTTCTCATGAGCTGCACCGGAAGATTGACCGGGAACTGTCAGGAAGCAGCAATTCGTTGGGTCAATATACATGGTTGCCAAATTTAAGGATTCCGTCGTGTCTGGGGGCGCGTCATCTTCAGTCCTGGGCAACTGATGAGGGTGACGAGGTCAGGGGGGTGAAAAGGGACCCCCTGAGCGCCTGCCGCTGACTACCGAGTGGATGGAAAGTCGGGCAACACTGATAACTGAACACCGGGCAGATAATACAAGGGGCTGTATGTAGAATAATATGACTTCCTGAATTACCTTCTCATTTTCCTGGATTAAGCATGGAAAAAGGTAAGAAAACAATTAGTGTTTTCGAGAGCGACAAGGGACGGGGTGAGGCCAAGATGATAGAGCAGAGCAACGAGTCAAGGTCAGTGAGCGACCATTGTCCCGGCACACAGCCATGCACTGCTGTTAGAAGCTAACGCGTCTCCAAGAGCTGAGGAGACGGCATACATGCGCACTTAACCCCCTGCTAGGTCCCGCGCTCTCTCCTGCAATATATGATACTCTACACCAGCATCTTGCTTTGGTGTTTAAGTAATACCTGAAGAGGTTGTTCATGTGCTGTTTTTCAGCCGAGGAGCCGAAATGTAATCGACTCATCAAACCAAGAAGTCACGGAACAGCCAGAACAGCCAATGACATAACCTCAAGCAGAGAAACTCACCAAATGCATCTCTCAAGGCTACTATTAGTGCTGAGAGGTGGCAGATAACGTAGCAGGGGCCTTAGTAATAACAGGGGGAACTAAGAGAATGATTTACCTCATCCTGACAACAGGTACTCTACAACTGCTCACTATCAGTGCCGCTGGTGGTGAGGAGTGTGAGGCCACTGACAACTTTATAATATCTCCTGTGCATGACTAACTTACAAAGGGGTCAAACTCTTTTACTGTCTCGTGCATAATAATAAGTCACAGTAAGCCAAACTTCACTGTTTGTGCATGAGACTACAAGTGAGGTCAGTAGAGCACGAGCATTGAGTAGTGTGTCTATATGTTTGTTGGGGTGCAAAATTAGTCTCTGTGTTTTAGATGAGATGAGCTCGCCAAACAGTTTAGATGTGGTTTCATTGAACAAAATTAATTTTTGCAATAAAGTGTTACAGGCTGCACATAGCTGGTGTCATGAGGCACATGTGCGAGTCAGTTTAAAGCTTGGGTAGTTTTACCTTTTCATCATCTGCCTCCTGCTGTAAAAGATGTCAGAAATACAATTAGAACAAGATGAGACAGTGGCGGGTAGGTGAGCGGGTAGCGGGCGACCACACCATTCACACCAGCACAGGTACGGAGAAACCCATGGAAATATTGCAGCATATAAAAACATCTGTCTGTACAAACATCTGGTAACACAAGCACCTGTCCTCACAAACACCTGGTCACAAACACCTGCTCGCACAAACACCTGGTCACAAACACCTGCTCGCACAAACACCTGGTCACAAACACCTGCTCGCACAAACACCTGCTCACACAAACACCTGCTCACACAAACACTTGTAAGCCCATAAAACATGTAGTATCTTCATAAAATGATGCAACTTAAATGACAGAAACCCATCATTAACTTACTGAATAACTGAGAGCTATATAAATTAACAAAACAATAAAACCAAGTACTGACACAGTGATAATACAGAAATATTTATTAAAGACCCTGAAAACCTCTAATTATTATTATACAATATACCAATAAAAATTTCCACTGCTGACAAGATGACACAATCACGTCAACGGACAAGTGATAAAGTTGATATAATTATTGGTAGCTATTGATAGGAAGAGCAGCAAGAAGATAAAATTAATGAAAACAATTTCATCAGGAAGCGAACTATCTCTAGTGAACATGAGAAATAATGGTATTGTATGTGGCAACGCACCACAAAGACACTACACAGGAAGCCTAGAACGTGTGTTAGCTTACCAAGGTCACACAGCCTCCTCCTCATCTCCTTCACCCCTTATTTTCCTCTCATCGTTTCCTCTTACCTTCTTGTGGGGGGTTTGTTGTCCTCATTCTGTCTTAAATGAAATGTTATTAGTTATTTCTCTTTAATTAAATTCCTCGCGATTACTTACGTGCTCCATATGGATAAAATTTCATGAAGAAATGCCTATTAAAATTAAATTAAACTTCTTAATTATCTTATGAAAACATCACTAAGTTCCCTTTTATACTGCATATAAAAACTAAATTAAGGTTCTGGAAAGTAAAATTGTTATTAAAAATTATTGTTATAATTTAACGCTTGCTGCTCTTCTACTTGTCATCTTCAGCGAATCAATAGTTTTCCATAAAAAATTTATAAAAAGTTTTAAGCATTTATACCCCCCTAAAAAAATTCACACAAAGCCTTATGCAAATGAGCTATAATAATAATAATATTAATAATTAAACATACACGAACAAAAACACTTACCAAACATTCAAGTCTTTTGCATCTACTGTATAGTCAAGATTATTACAAACAATTTCCATGGGTTTCCCTTTCCTTTGCTCCGTTGTAAGTCAAAGAAATGTATATCAATTAACATATGTTTACATAATAAATAAATACACATCCGGGTACTGTTTATACTGAACTAGCTGATGGTGATTACAGGATTACACACACACACACACACACACACACACACACACACACACACACACACACACTCACGCACTCACATACATACATACATACATACATACATACATACATACATACATACATATATATATATATATATATCCTACACATACTGAACATACACACACAAACATATATATATTATATATATATATATATATATATATATATATATATATATATATATATATATATATATATATATATACAGGGTATACTATATGTGTGTGTGTATGGGGTGAATTAAGGAACTGTTAGTATACGAGAGGAGGGAGTGGACGCCTCTGTCAATTATCACTACAAAGAGAGAGAGAGAGAGAGAGAGAGAGAGAGAGAGAGAGAGAGAGAGAGAGAGAGAGAGAGAGAGACTAAAATGTAATAGTTTGAAGTAACACAACAGCGGGTGTGTGGGCACTTCCCTTACAGAAACAATGGATTTTAACCATAATACCCTGCGTTAGTTTATAGAGATATTAAGTAATAATATATCACAGTAATTGTTCGAGAGACACAGAGTGACGTGGTAAGGAGTGGTTCTCTCCTTCGCCACACCAGAGCTACACAGGGTGGGGACATCCGCCCCCTCCTCACTACATGTCATATTACCAGACCAACAGACGTCAAGGTTTATGTCTATTATACACATCTCATCCATACGTATGTTCAAACTGTTCCAAAAATACCCAAAATTAACTTACTATAACTTATAATCAAATGGAATACTCTTAATTAATCTGTATATCATGATTATATATATATATATATATATATATATATATATATATATATATATATATATATATATATATATATATATATATATATATATATATATATTTTTTATATATATATATATATATATATATATATATATATATATATATATATATATATATATATATATATATATATATATATATATATATATATATATATATATATATATATATATATATATATATATATATATATATATAAATAAATATCATTACTGAATTTTATTTATTAAATGAATAAGAATATATTGAAACCACAGAATACATAAAAGTTCTTACAGAGTTCTATTTCCTAAAGTTCATGCTTGGAGGAAAAACAGGGTCATGCAGACACGAACACGGAAGTAAACCACTATTGCAACCTTAAGGTATACCAGGAAGTATACCAGGAAGTATACCAGGAAGTATACCAGGAAGTATACCAGGAAGTTTACTGCTGCACCAGGATATAGTCTTACTAGACCAAGGACTATTGTGTACACCTTGTGGTCTCAGCTTAATCCTATATACAGTTACTCGATGGATTAATCCAAAGGCTATTCAGTAACAGAGAAACATTTAATACTACATCATGTTACTATCATAACTAGTAAACATAAGTAACTCATAACTAGTAAACATAAGTAACTGTTCATGTATATACCAAAAGGTTTAAAAGACATAATGAAAGTCCTTGAACTAGTATTTACTATTTCCGGTATGCAGGTAGGTTAATAGGAGGGGAATATCCCGGTAGGTCAGGGAAAAATACTTAACCTAGAAAATGTAAATAAGAGAAATCACCAGTGTTAAAAAACTTTAGTTTCCTGTGGGGAAAAAAAGATGTCATGTGCTATGCTCTAAATGTTATAAAACTAAGAACTGGATGTCTAGAAATGCAAAAATCTAAGGAAATTAGTAGTAGGGTGTTTTGTAGATACTCCGAGGCACTGCAGTGCATTATAAAGTAGAGAATTTATTTGCCAGATCGCATTTTAGTAGAATGCAGTCTGGCAGCTGCAGCCGGAATTAAGGTATGATTTTTTTTTATCGTATCTCTTGAATTAATTAGACCTTTAAGCATCAGGTCATAGTGAAGAAAATTGGATACCAGTCTGATTTACGACTTTGTTATTTCATATTAGATCTTTTTTAAAAATCATACCAATGTTTGGAGAAAATATTCAAATAAACGAAAATAAGGAAAAGTTATAAAAATCTTCAACAGCCTCATTCAGATACTATTAATAAAAGTCTAGCAGTCGTCACTATGACAACACAAAGAAAACAACTAATCTACTGGTCCTGGTGTACCTAAACCCATCCTCTAAGAGATTGAAGGGGTAACTATACAAAACTGAGATACAAAGCGAAACTGTCGCATTCAGATGTTTTTATATGTGATTACCGGAGGATGGAGTTAGGTTTTGCGGTCGGGCCGTTTGGGCAGTGAGGCCTCATGGGCGTCGTGCAGTCGTAGGATTAATGTGATCATAGGGAGAATATAATGATCACGGGCGTGGGCGTAGTGGCAGTGAAGCCTAGTGGGTGTCGTGCAGTCGGTAGTTTGTGATCAGGGGACTGGGTACTCACTCACTGAATCGAATTGGTAGAATAAGAACGTTCTCAGGCTGTGTTTATCTCGTGTCAAGAGTTGCATATGTGTGGCGTTATAAGAATGGTAAGTACGTTCCAGTTATTTTAATCATTGAATTATTATTGCATATATATATATATATATATATATATATATATATATATATATATATATATATATATATATATATATATATATATATATATATATATATATATATATATTGCATTTAATCTATACAATTAGCAGAGAGTTTGACAGCTGTTACAATGAACGCTGACAACACCTTGGTTATTATGTTACTCACAAATGTTAAAATAATCAAGGGATCCGCATCTACTACAAGTGGTACTTTACGGCAGATGAGCAAACATGCTAACACTTTTCAGTACATAAGTGTGTTATCTGATTCGGAGGAAAATTTTATGTATGAATAAGATAAAATAATACCTTAAATAACACATGCGGTAGCTGGCATGCATCATGTTCTGGAGATTAGGTCTTTATAAGTATGGAATTATTTCGCATAAAGCATAGCACATTCACAAGAAGGTTGAGGAGTGTATCCGGATTTCAAAACAAACCCTTTGATAAGTCTCTCTGCAACTTACACTGATTCTCAGCCAATTACCTACAGTATTGTTACATAGGAACCATAATACACCGACCGGGTCAGGAGACCATTAAGATTCAACCAATTGATTTGTGGTGGTGATCCCTTGGGAGAAGTTTCTACTAGGAAAAATGGTCCTAAAGTGCAACTATTTATCCAGGCATGTTATTATTTCCGGCGTCAATAGTGCACTTCTGCCTAAGTGGCTCTTCGAGTATCAGGCAAGTTGGTAAAACAAAACAAAAATAGAACTTTGTGGCGGGTGGTGTCATATTTTCTTCTGCATATTTTTTTTTTTTTAGTAATAATGATATATTTCCATTTTTCATCTAGTAAAATTTACCTCTAAATCTCTTTCTGCTGGAGCAGTAGCAGTGTGAGGCTGTGGAGAGGGTAAAAAAAAATAAGGTTGTTATTCAGGCCAAAAACAACACCACCACAGGAATCAAGAGATATTGCACTAAGATTACTTCAACATGGGGGCAGAAGGAGGAAGGAGGGAGAGGGACATTAATGTACAAAAAGATCATAATAAGGGAATAAAAATAAAAATACAATAGTAATTAGAAGAAACAGAATAAGGGAAAAGGAAGAAAAACTAAAAATGAATCAGTAGTAGATATAGTATGGAAAAAACAGAGAAGCTGCTGAGAAAAGAAATTATATGGGGGTAGAAGTTGAGCTAAATATAGACGAAGCTATTACAAAAACATAGCTCAGAGGGGACAAGGATCGAGGTTACAAAATTAAAACAGGATTGGGCGTCGGCGTCTGTAGGTTGTCGGTTGAGCCACTAACACATAGCTGAATATATTATCAATAGTATCGAAGTCTGCGACTAATTACAAATATCACGTTCCAGGAGGGTCCATCTAAAGGGGAATGTGGTCTGTCGCATGAGTTTTAAGATCAATCAAGGTCAAGGTCAGTGTGGTCAGAAAGGGTCATGCGACACGACAAACGTGGCGACCTTGTCTTACCTCTGCTCCTGCCTGCAGGAAAAAGAGAGGGAGAAAAATAAGGTGAGGCTCAGGGCCGTCCCCTCTACCCACATGGACCAAGAGGTCGGTCTCTCTGCCACCTGCTGGCGGAGGGAAAGACCAACCTGGCCTTCCCCTCTACCTGTGGTTGTTAAGAGGGATGACCAGACCAGATCTCCACCTTGACGCTGGTAGGCAAGAAGAAAGATCGAGACGGGTCCTTCCTTCCGCCAACACCAGCCACAGGGAAGGCCAGACCAGGTGCTCACAGTATTAAGTATGATGACCAATTCCTTGGATCCACTTGAGCAAAGGGATGCTTACATCATGAATTAAACCCTTATCCCTTAACCCTAACACCTGGCTCAAAGCAACTCCTACTATCAGTATCTCTCAGCGATAAAAAACTGTCAGTCAGGAAACATGTCAAGTATGGGACAGCACAGAGACTGTCCCCTCTACCATAATCTCTCCTATGTCCTCATGGGCCCACAGTCGGCCACACTGATAACCTGTACTACAACAGCATGATGGTTTCGCCTACTTTGGCTCATTTGTTGTAAGAAAGCAGGAGGTGTTAGGATGATGCACATGATGAATCTAGCGTTAGGTGAGAGTGTCCCGGTCCAGAGGTGAGCGGTACAGTGAGGGTTTACTCATGAGACCAGCTGCACGCGCCTGCCTCGGGAGATCCTGGTACTGTAGCCAGCCTCTCAGTGCCATATATGACCAATACAATTTAAACTTGTGCCCGGCTCTGTTGCTCCAACCAGGTGATGGACTGGTAGAGTTAGTAGTGCTAGATGAGCAAGCGAAGACATCAGAGTACTGGCATCTAGCGTACAAGAATAGTTTGGCTAATAGCTGGTATAGTATGATAGAGAAGTGATACTCCTAGTGTGCTACAGTCATCAGAAAACCGTGAGTGTCAGCCAAGGTGGTCCCGGCCTTCACGACGCTCCTAACTCAACGAAGCGAGTGAGGGTCGCAGACGGTCAGTGACGGAGGCCATACAGTCTCACGCCATAATGCTCAGAGTCGAGAGGCTCACTGACTGGGACTCAGTGCTCACTCGATTTTCATTCTCATAAATTTAATTTATGCCAATTTTCCACATGAATGAGGTATATATTTGACAAATTAGTGATCAATTTATCGTAGAGGACATAATTAGATATAGTTTTCTTCGTTTCATTATAATTTCAGACAAATACAAAATGAATATCCTCTACAGTTTGGCACTTTTGCATTTTACCCATAACCGGATATCGTGGTGAAAATCATACAATTAAATAAACTTTCAATATCAATATGAAAGAAAATTATTATAAAGGGCATTAATGCTTTTGTTGCCACAAACTGAATCTCGGGACTTTTATCTTTGCACGTAATAGCTTAGACAATTCTATGGTGTTTCCCTCGCAACGACCGAGAACCGAGGTATTTAATATGCTGGGGGTCCGGGAAGGTGAGGTAAGGTTGGATGGTGGCATCAACCACATATTACTAATAAGCTATCCAAACCAACCTAACCGGACCCCTGGGCATATTAAATACCTCGGTTCTCAGTCGTTGTGCGGAAAACATTGAAGAAAAATATTTAGACTCTAAACCTTTGTTTGCAAAGACAAAATTCCAGAGATTTGGTTGGTGACAGCAACACCTTTTATAATATTTTTGTTTTTGTTTTCAACTCACGACATATCGACTATGGGCAAAATGCATTAAAAGTGTCATATATGAGTGGTCTTGTTTTTGTTTGAAATTATTATTAAACACAAAAATATTCTAAATCTAACTATGTCTTCCACTATAAATTGACCGAACAAGTTGTGTTATGAAGCCACAAGAAGGCAAATTGTACAAACTCTGATTATAGGAATAAACGAACTAAAGAGTTCATGTTTTACCCATGTTATGCCAGGCACTGTTCCTGCACATGTCTTCAAGAATCATCAATCCTCAGCCTCCTTTGTCGCACAATAAGAAAATGCTCAAATAAATAATTTCTGCCACTTAAATTTTGTCTCACATGTGGGTGTTTATGTCAGGTGCACTACTCTATATTGTTTGGTTTAATTATGTAATATTATTTTAATGTGGAAAGTTTTATTACCTTTAACAAGATAATAATGATCACCTAAAAAAACGATAATTTTGTTCATTGAGTTATTGTGTTATTATTATCATTAATGACGGTGACCAATAGGAGACTGATTAAAAATAATTCTAAAGTTGATATTTATATTATAATTAATATATTATGTTCTAGGTAGCGAATTATATGACCATCACGTAATCTATTTATCTTATATTACATATATTTATCTTACTTCACAGGCTTAATGATGACGTAGTACTTAATATAGTTCCCTACTAGCATAAATAAGATAGTTACTAGCTATGGAGAATTTATATACAGTATATTAAGATAGTCAACAAAGTCTGCGAGATGAAGTACACTTGCTAGGAGTTATAACAGTCAGTGTGCTAGTACAAGGAGACAGTTAGTTAGTCAGGAATAAAAGAGCAAAACAGAAGGATAAAAAAAACATACATAATACATATCATTAATAATAACTTATGTCTGGTTATAATCATTAACATAAACTCTTAAAATTAGTTCATATTGCATTACTCCAAAAATTGAAAGGCAAAGTGAGAGTGCTTTACATATGAATTAGATCAAGGAAAATATACACATATTCAAGGAAATATAAAAAACAACAACAGTATTAAGGAAAAAATTTCATTAAGAGTACAACAACTTACTAAAGAATACTTAAGAATATACGATGATCACCGCCAATGTTATGTACTGTATACATATGGACAAATACACTGCCCCGCTGACCAATTTTTTGCATCTTAAAAACAAAATTCTTCAAAATTTCATAAAATGCTAAGTTGGTGAGGTTAGATCAGGTCAAATAGGGTCGCATATTCCCTCTTGATTACGTAATGCATACACGGTTAAATTTCATATATTTACATTTCGATTTTTTTTTTTTACAATTTCCAAGTTTTTTTCTTTTCATATCAAAGGATAATTTCTTCCGCTGAAATAAATTAGATCATTTTTATAAAGAGTGGTGAGGTTTCCTTCACACCAGCGAGTATTGTACACCGAATACCGAAGTCATTTACACTCTCGTTGGTGTCTAGCTCAAGTTATGAAATATTCTTGAAAGATCTTTATATTTTATTCTATTTATTTTTTTTTCACAACAAGTTTCTTCTTCCATGTTGTAAAGACTTGAAAAGTTTGTGGAGTGTGAGTCATGCTTCACACACACTCAGCAGCGAGACTTAGACACGCACGACACACTGAACCCGACACTGAACCCGACACTGAACCCCTGATACTCTGAACCCCCTGACACTACTGAATCCCTGATACTGAAACCCTGACACTACTGAACCCATGATATTATTGAACCCGTGACACCCTGAACCCCTGACACCTGAACCCCTGACATTCTGAAACCCCTGTGGAGTAAATTATGAGTTATGAAGATCTGATTTTTCTGATACGTGATGTTACAATATTTGTTAGTCATTATTATTATTATTAAATATTAGTTACTATTATTATTATTACTATTATTATTATTATTATTATCATCCGTACATAAATAAACGTCCAAAACCTTCTCTTGAACTTAAGATGAATTAAAACATTACAATGCTATTAATATCAAGTCAGGAGCAGTTGTGTACTTCTTTTTATGAGTAGATGATAATACTCTTGATTAAGTAACTATGATGCAATATAAATGTCAAAGTATCAGAAAAATATGGTTTCAAAATAGTCTGGGAGAGGTTCCGGGTGTAGGATTTTATGGTTCCGGGGTTTAGGGGCTTACGGGTTCAATAGGTTTAGGGTTCAAAGGTTTCATAGGTTCGGGTTTCAAGGAGTTCATGTGTTCGGAGTTCAAGGGGTTCATGTGTTCGGAGTTCAAGGGGTTCATGTGTTCGGAGTTCAAGGGGTTCATGTGTTCGGAGTTCAAGGGGTTCATGTGTTCGGAGTTCAAGGGGTTCATGTGTTCGGAGTTCAAGGGGTTCGGTAGTGGGTGTATGAAACCAGACCCCCAAATAACGCCACGGGCCTCAACTAATGACTTATTATCCTTGCCTGCACAAGTCAACATAGAAGACGACGCTATAATATAATACCAGTTAATCAAGCCAATAGCCTAGTGCCAGTTTACTAACGCTGCTGTAGACACGAGAGGACAGCTAAGTTATATTTACTTAAGTATGTATCGCTGGGGATCATGGCGGACACAACTACAGTTTATCCTACGCGCGCATTTTTGAGGGAAGACTGAACTTATATGATACGTTCGTTCTCTTGGCTTCAGCCCGGCGGTACACAGGATGCCAAATCCACCGAACATTGCCCGTTAAAGTACCTGTAAAAGAGAGAGAGTGAAGCAACGTTGCGGTGAAGAGAAAGGGAAGAAAGATTGTCGACTAAAGGAGGAGAGTTAATAAGACGAAATGCCGTTGATTCCACCCTATCTAACAGTTGGATAGAAGAAGAGCCACCCCAGATATGAGAGCAGTACTCCAAGTAAGGACGAATGAATCCCTTATAAATCTGAAGCAACTGCTCAGGAGTGAAGTAGCTACGGCATCTGTACAGCATTCCCAGCTTTAGGGAGGCAGCTTCAGCAATGTTGTAGCTTCCATGACATATTAGGAGAAAAGGTGAGGCCTAGCATATCTATTTTAGAATTTGGCAAAATAGTTACGTCCTGAAATGTGATTGGTGGCAGATATTCTAATTTGAAAACTGTAATTGGTAAATATTGTGTTTTCTTACTATGGAATTTTACCAAATTTCTACCTCCCCATTCGGAAATGCTGCACAGATCCGCATTGACAGAAGAAACGATATTAACTCCAGACACAGATGTAGAATGAGACTTGGGGGAAGGGAAAACTGAGAAGAAGAGTCAAGAATAGAATCATCAGTGTAGGGATGAAAGTTACTTGTTATACGTAAGTTGTTATATGAGATTTACTTAATACACAGAAATTATTTACTGCAAGAAAGGTATTACGCGGAAGTCACTTAACATACGGAAGTTATTTTATTGACACTGAAAAAGGTCTAAAAATTTGCCTTACGATTCGGAACAGAGAGAGAGAGAGAGAGAGAGAGAGAGAGAGAGAGAGAGAGAGAGAGCCAGGTACCTCCCCTATTGCGGCTCTTCAACACATAATCTTCCTCATTTATTATAAAAACTCATTGGTGTGAGGGCTCTGATTACTAAGATATATCACCTCTCTATGTGTACGACCGAGCCAGCTGCTATATGTACAAACGATGAGCAGTTTAAAGCATAATTATGGCTGTGCGCGGGATTGTGTGTAAAATATTATATTGCGGGTCTCTGCGTCAGAATTTTCCAGATTTTCCACGAAATTCATTGAAATTTTGGAGATAAATGAGACGTAATGGCCAAGAGTATGACTGTAGTGTTCCATAAAGTGGTGAAAAATATTACAGGTGGTCGAGTGGGTTTATTTTATTTTCGGTGTTTGTCATTCATTATGTTTCGTTCAGTGAATTAATTCGTCTACTGTCGCTAAGCAGGTGTTGTGTTGTGTTGTGTTGTGTTGTGTTGTGTTGTGTTGTGTTGTGTTACTGTTGTTGTGTTGTGCTATTGTTGTTGTGTTGTGTTTTTGTGTTTTGTTGTGTATTATGTGTTCCTACGTTGTGTTGTGTTGTATAATTTTGTGTTTTTTTTTCTTCTGTGTTGTGTGATGGAAAACACTGACCAGCGCCAATACGTTTTTGTTATCCTTGTGAGTAGGGTGGGTAAGGGGGTAGGGTGGGTAGGGCTGGTAGGGTGGGTAAGGGGGTAGGGTGGGTAAGGGGGTAGGGTAGGGTAAGGGGGTAGGGCTGGTAGGGTGGGTAGGGCTGGTAGGGTGGGTAAGGGGGTAGGGTGGGTAAGGGGGTATGGCTGGTAGGGGGGGGTAATGCGTCTTGGCCATGTGAACTAATTGCTGCTCATCATCATTTGCATACATAATGAAACCTGGAATGACCCTTGTTTTCATTGACTCGATATTGAATTAGCGTACAGTGAAACCTCTATTTAACGGACAATATAGAGATGAAAGTCCGTTATATCCAGAGTTCGTTAGATGTGAAACCCCCCATCAAATGGATTAAATGGGGAGAAATCCGTTATATGGAGAGAAGTCCGTTATATTGAGTGATAAATCCGTTATGTGGAGTGATAAATCCGTTATGTGGAGTGATAAATCCGTTATGTGGAGTGATAAATCCGTTATATGGTGTTAGTAGAAGTCCGTTATATGGAAGTTTCACTATATCTATGGTTTGTTTCATTATTATCACGTGTTTTGGGAAGGAATATTTTGTTTTCATTATTATCACGTGTTTTGGGAAGGAATATTTTGTTTTCATTATTATCACGTGTTTTGGGAAGGAATATTTTGCTTTCATTATTATCACGTGTTTTGGGAAGGAATATTTTGCTTTCATTATTATCACGTGTTTTGGGAAGGAATATTTTGCTTTCATTATTATAAAGTGTTGGCGCCACCCTTATATGTTGTAACCTACAAATCGACCATGATCTCCCAGTTATACATCAATACATATCTAGATTGGGTTTAAAAGCATATAAGGCGGACCGAGAACCTAACCAGTGATCGTCTTTGTCTTGGTAACAATAACACCACTTATTACTTATAAAAAAAATTATTAAACATGATATTTATACATCGTGGTTGTGTTCTTCGGGCGTGTAATGTGAGATTTATTTTTGTTAATAATTTCTTACGGCTGGTTATCATTGGCTGGTGGCGTCGTGGTAAAAGGGCGGTAGTGGGTGGTGGCGAGGTAATGAGACGGTAGTGGGAGGTGGTGAGGTAGGTTAGGTTAGGTTGGTTGGTTTGGTAGGTTGACTTGGTTTGGTTAGGTTAAGTAGATCTGGTTAAGTTAGATCGGTCCGTTGTGCATATTTTAAGGAAATCTAAAGTATAAAAGACGGCCATGTAATGGAAGTCGAGTATAATACAATTTTCTTATATATTATTTGTTGAGAAAACTTCCTAAATTTGTTTAATGGGCCGCGATATTGATCTTAATAGCCGCCCACAACACTAACGCATAAGTGAGAGCGGGACAGAGAGGGCCGCGTACCAGGAGTCGGGCAGGAGGGGGGAAGACCCAGCCAACCAGCTACTGAGGCCTATCGTCACAACATTACCGTCAGAGGCGATACAAGAATAAACATAAGTAAACGGAAAATGCGATACCGGAGGAGAGAGACTGAGGAGAATGAACCACAAATATTTCTCAAGTCTCTGAAATATGTTAAGAGGCCAAGAATTAATCCGCGAGACGTGAGGGGAGAATCTCTGTTTACCGGAGAGTTTAAAAACTAGAACGCCGAGGATTCGCGACGAGTGACGTGATCAGTTCCGCCTGTGTCGAGGAAAGTTAGGAGATGTGCACGTCTCCACACCGCCCTGCTGACGGCGACGTGGACGATGACTCACCTCCGAATCTGTGACGAGGAGAAGGTCGAAGGGAATGGCTGCGACGACGTCAATGAGGAACCACCCTCGGAGGTAGTGGAGAGCTATCTTGCCGGGATGCGACACCACCTCGTCGTTATGGTTGACGTAGGTGGTGCGGAAGTTGATGACGATGTCGACCATGAACATTATATCAACTATGAAGGGTGACACAGGTAGAGAAAATAGGAGTTAGATGATGAATACTACAAAACCCATAACAAAAATAGACCTACTGTAAGATAAATATTGTAAGATTCAATAATTAGTCCAAAAAAATTAATTAACACACACCATAATTTATATACAGACATAAAATGTAAAAAAAAAAAAATACAATTGAGACATATTTAAATTATAATAAACGTACACCTGAGCTATTAAATTTTTCTGTAGCTCACAAGTAACATATATTTGATGTTACTAAGACATAAGTGAGACACATGACACCTCATGAATCATAACTATTGTATTGACCCTCTGAGACACATGCAACTTAAGTCAAACGTCATCTGCAACTTAAGTCAATTGTTATGGTTGTTATTGTGGTTTATATTTAAGGTGGACTCTCGTGGTTGTTGTTGAGTACCACGTCACTGTACTCAGGGGATTTAATCATCGTACTCAAAGGGTTAACAGTTATCGAATTTATACGTTCACACACACACACACACACACACACACACACACACACACACACTTGAATATGCAGACGCTAACATCCATTCAGATACGTTCATATAAACTCATCCATACTCACACGAACACACTTACACCGATACACTTACACACACACACAGTTAAAACTCGAGTTACACTCATTGATCACCAGTGGCCTTGCCTCTGACGTCATAACTCAGGTGATAGGTTGTCTCTGACGTCATAACTCAGCTGATCGGTTATCTCTGACGTCATAACTCAGCTAATGGAAGGTCGCCGACGTCATAACTCAGCTGATCGGTTATCTCTGACGTCATAACTCAGCTGATCGGTTATCTCTGACGCCATAACTCTTTGACGTATGAGGATAGATGAGAGAGAGAGAGAGAGAGAGAGTTGCTTGTTCAGTAGTCATGGAGAAAGAATAACTAGAACACTTAGTGGGTACTTGAAGTATCGAACAGATGGCAACTGAGGTCTCGAACAGATGGTAACTGGGGTCTCTGAATAGATGGCAACTGTCTCGAACAGATGGTAACTGTGGTCTCGAACAGATGGTAACTGGGGTCTCGAATAGATTGTAACTGAGGTCTCGAACATGGTAACTGTGGTCTCGAACAGATGGTAACTGGGGTCTCGAATAGATTGTAACCGAGGCTTTTCTAATATATTGTAACTGAGGTCTCGAATAGATTGCGGCAACTAAGGTCTCGAACAAAAGTGAAGTAACTCCAACAATAGTGCGGGCATGTCGACCATTAAGAGGCAGCCAGGAGGAAGAGGCAGAGAGTGTCAACAGCCCGGGTGAAATGTGTTGAGAGAGAGAGAGAGAGAGAGAGAGAGAGAGAGAGAGAGAGCCACTTAACACTCGACAGGATAAACACTGAAGTAATGACAATAATGAGAAACGTAATAGAATGTGGATAAGATGTATAGAAATAAGATAGTAAAGATAGAAATAAGAAAGGATAAAAAAAATTCTTCCACACAATAAAGCGTCTTTTAGGAGACTATGTGTCACAGAGGTAGACAATAGGCTGGAGACACTCACTGATTGGCTGTCGGGAGATTCCAATACTATGTCACTGCCATCAACAAAGACTTGAACTGTTACAAGATATTTAATGCTAAGTTTAATTACATGAAAATTTACATTAGATTTAGGTTAGATTTAGGTTAGATTTAGGTTAGGTTAGGTTAGATTTAGGTTAGGTTAGGTTAGGTTAGGTTGAAGAAAACGGCAGGTACAGTGTCGACAAAGTTAGCCCTGAACCCAGTGTTAAAGCTCAATAGACGGAGTTGTACACCCAGGGACGCCACTGTTAAGGCCTCTGGTTGAAGAGTTCGTGTTGTCGTAATGAACTGTAGACAAATATACTGTACATGCAGAAAAATACACACCGACATGTAGACAGACAAACACACACAGACAGAAACGTAGACAGACACACAGACAGCATGATGTGAAGCTCTATTAAAACTAAACTATACAAAGAAATATTTATGCTTATGACGTAAAAAAAAATTCCCGCCAATATTGATACGTGACAGAGGAAGATAAAAGTGGGAAATATTAACACAAAACAACTGAATATTAACTCACTCGTGGTAATACTGACAAGAATCTTATCACTCAGACAGACGGACAGACACAGACACAGACAGACAGGATTTAAAGAAAAACATCATAACTGCAATACAAATTAATACATTCAATCAAATAAAACCTTTTCTGAAGACTTTCCTTAACAGCGGTGAAACGTGATACTGACGTCATTATGTGGGTCGCGAGGCAAAGCAGCACTCAAGGGGGGTCAGTAAGTTGCTTAAGCGGTAAGTCTCACGAGTGGTCACTTGAGGGCCAGGGGAGAGAGGTGAGGGGGGGGGGATCAGGTTAAAGGGGGAAGAGGAGTGGGGTAGAGAGAAGGGAGAGGGAATGAGAGGAGAGGGGGACGTCTGGTAACTCAAGAGGATCGCTATAGACACTTGGGGTCTTCCTGATTTTTAAAAGATTCGAATGAGATAATTTTTTCTTGACTCAGCTCGAGGCTTGAGGACGTATCTAACTCACTCACTTAACAACACCAATTATAGCCGACCAAAATGGCGTCACTATTGCACTGAAACTGTACTGAAAGTGTATAGGGTGTATTGGTGATAGCTGCCGTAGGGGTAGTGGGTGATTAGTGTAGGTGTAGTGGGTAATTTATAAAGGCTGACAGGTGTGTGTTTAAAGCAGGTGTAAATCACAGGACATACAGTATCTTCAAAATTCTCTCGGTAGGTCAGTCGGCCAGTCAGTCAGTCAGGAATGTTGTTCACTAAGCTGACCAACGGAGCTAAAATTAGCCTGGTGAAATAAGCTTAAATGGATCAGCGAGACGAGACATTTTCTGGGAGACTAGTAGGAGAGGCGACCAGGTGGTGGGGGTGAGATAGAAACTTTAGGGCTTCCCACACCCACACACACACACACACACACACACACACACACACACACACACACACACACCGTCACTAAATTTGGGTCACCTAAGCGAGCATGGCCCAGTGTCAAGGAATAGTCCGAGAAGACCGGACAACTCGCCAATTGCACTGGCTAACCATTACCCCGGAATACGATCCTCAAATCTATTAACATCCAGGTTCCCAATTACTGCTGGGTAGACAGAGGCAAATGGCGTAAGGAAACTTGACCATAGTTTAACCCTGCCCGGGGATCGAACCCGGGTCTACTTATCATCATCATCATCATCATCATCATCATCATCATCATCATCATAGCTAAATCCTCATCATTACAGTCTACGGACTTGGCTCACCCACATTCAACCACAACAAATCAAAGCCTGGCACCGTGTGTGTTCCGTCCCGACGACAATTGTCGAGTCGTCGTCCTCGCAAATAATTGGAGGCTCTCTCTTGCCTGCTGTCCGCAGACACGAATGGCCGTCGGCCGCTCATGGCTGCTGCTGCACATGTTCTAAGAGGCGCACGTCCTTCTCTCAGGTTACCTCTGGTTGGGTTAGGTTATGTGAGGTTAGGTTAGGTTCAATGTCCGTGTCCGTATCTGGTCATTAGCAAGTCCTTCTCGAGTCAGCTCTTATGGCGAGTCAGGTCAGTCTACTCATAGTGTGGTCTGAGGTCAAGCAGGAAGGAAGAGGCCCTCAGTGGCTAGGTGAGGGAGGGCGAGGAAGACTCTCAACTGATCTAAACACCTGCCTTAATGCATCTTACCTCACCTGAAACTAAGAGGTGAATAAACCGGTGTTAAAGAATATATAAGAATACATTTAACCGTCTGACCTTCAATTATTACTTAAGAGAAGAATTACACCCGAGACCTTTGCATTAAGTAGATATATTCACTTAGCAATTCTCAGAAGACATTAAGGTACGCAATTTATTGTAGGAACTTAAACTAGGGCACTTATATACAAGACTACGTGATAAAGTTAAATTTCTCACTGCCCTACGCCCCATACCAAGTGGGGGGTGGACAGCCATTGTGTGTTGACGGAAATTCACTGCCATGGGTCACGACACGTTCTCACCAGCCAATTATCAAGAACACGTGAGGAATACATATACAGGGTGGGTAAAAAAAATATTTTATAGATAGTTTGGTCTTTACAGTCTTGTGTATGCGTCAGTTATTTCTTGCCCACCCTGTATAATACAAACTATAGATATGGATATATAAACATTATATTTATACTAATGTTCAGTATTATATATAAAACACAATTACCACCTAAATAAAAAAAGTCATCCTCACGGGAGAAGAAAAAAACTCCATCAGTTAAGTCATAAATGGCAGGGTAGGAACCGCATTAGTAAACGAAGCTCAAATATATCCAGATTAAAATGAATCTTATAATATATGGCCCCCATCATTTACCTGACTCACACGACTCACAGAGATAAGCTTGTGAGTAGGATAAAGTGAGGGGCGTAGGGGGTGGCGTGGGTACCTGCCATTACCACCTTACACGCCATCTGACCACGCCTTCCTTTCACGCCCACGGTCTTGTGTGTGTGAGAGAGAGAGAGAGAGAGAGAGAGAGAGAGAGAGAGACCATAGATAAGAGTACGGCGGGGATGGAAGGGGGGGGAGGAGGGGTGGAGAGGGGTGGGAAGGAGGGGTGGAGGGGTGGAGGGGTGGGTGGAGAGGTGGCAAGGAGAGGAGTGGAGAGGGGCAAGAAAGGGGTGAGAGAGGGGTGGGAAGGAGGGGTGGAGAGGGGTGGCAAGGAGGGGGGTGGAGAGGGGTGGGAAGGAGGGGGTGGAGAGGAGTGGGAATGAGAGGGGTGGAGAAGGGTGGGGAGGAAGGGGTGCAGAAAGAGAATGGAGAAAGAAATATCGCAGGTAGTTAGTTGGGTTATTGGTATGTACTGGGTGGGTAGTGGGTGGGTAGTGGGCGGGTAGTGGGTGGGTAGTGGGCGGGTAGTGGGTGGGTAGTGGGTGGGTCATAAGAGGACAGAGGGTGGGTAGTGGGTGGGTAGCCTGGACTGAGGTCATCGGGACACACCAACCTATCACAGGTAAACTCTCAGGTAATTACAGTCGGAGAGGCTCATTTGCATGGCCCTCACCTGCTCTCAAACCTCGACCTTATGCTTCTAACATTCTCATCTACCAACATCCAGGTAAACATTCACAAACATTTTAAATACAGGAGGTGTTTTGGGCCTTGTACAAACACGACAACAAAGAGCAATTCGGTTAGTAAATGGTAGATATTTTTTGTTCTATCTGCGGCCATTTTCGTTTTGAGTCTTTTTTAACGAATATAAAAAGAATCATTGGAAATAGCCCATCCTCCGCCCAGATTGGCGATAATGGCTGCAATTCTTAAGATTACAGAGGGCAGCACGGGGCCCAATTGCCGGACGGAAGGACGGACAGACAGACACACAGACAGACATATCGACGGACGGACTGATGGAGGTTATGTAACATCGCTGTTATATTTCACTGTATCTCTTTTTCTCCTGACTGGTGTTAAGGTAATGTAGTTAAGGTAAAGACTCAGTATAGCTTTCAGGTTATTTCTACAGTTCAGCTTAATCAAACAGTTAATCGCATTTTTAAAATCTTCACTTACTACATTTTCTATTTTGTAAACAAGGCAAAACGTTTTACTAAGGGATATTAACGCTAAAACCCCACATTAAGGGAACCCAACGCTAAAGTATCACACTTTTCTCTATGGGATACTAACGCTAAAATCTCCCGCTCAGTCTCTCTGCACCAGTGGGAACGAGTTCATAAAGACTGAAGAATATCTCGCCAGCGTCCAGGACTTGGGGGAAAAGTTGGTAGATTTATAGTAATGAATGATTTTTTATGGAGTAAGAGCTCGAACGACCCCACATTACTGAAAACTCATCACCACAACACTTGAAATGCTCTTTTATATACTGTATCGTTTAACATTTATTACTCACAAACGTCGAAAGAAATCCCTTTTACATAATTTCAGGCTTGATCTGTTGTTATGTTTAATTAAAGCCTTGTCGCCACCTTTAAACGAAAAACGAAAAATTTTTACCGTCTCACATCTGTCTCTTATTACCAAGGTGTCCCCTTTAGGTGCAATGTGGATACAGTACACTTCACTCTACGACTTTAGTACACAAGGAGGGAGCATGGCTGGCACTGTACTCAACCTCTTTGACTTCTCTACCTCGTTTACAACTGAGGGTAACCGGGGATCTAACCAGTGATTCTTAGAATGAGAAGCGAGTGCTGTATCCACTATGACGCTACAACCCCGCATCTATTCTCATCATAAATATGGTAACCTTTGGTGTGTGAAAAAGGATCCTCCATCCTCCCGAAAAAGGAAAACTAACCAAACTAAACTGAGAGAAAGAGCATTAATTAATATCAATACTGTACAATATTGATGCTCTGAGGATATAGTTCTTACTTATGTACGCAAATTAAAGTTTCATATCAAATTTTATCTTTTCATTGTATATGTATGTTGATAACTGCAGTTTATATGCGTGTTGAACGATTTATTTAAATTCTGAAGATCCACAAATACAAGAAATCTTTAATAAACAACTACAAATTACATATTATACCGGTAAGAAGAAAATCCACAAAACACGAATTGGTTTATTGGTTCAGTTTGATTAATTAGTTTTCCCATTGAGGAGGAGGAGCAGCGAGGGGCCCGGGAGACGTCACTTACCTATGAGATCAATGATAACGATGGGGCTGTCATATTGGTTTTGATGACTCTTTCTCGCTGCCTCCTGTTCATTGAGGAGGAAGGCTGCCACGTAGGGAGTGAAGATGGCTGTATAGATGACGAGCAGAAGGATGATCCAATCCCACACCGCCTTAAAAGGGGAGTAGTGAAGGATTGTCCACTTGTGTATTCGCGGAGATTGGAGTTTGTATTCTGGGAGGACATCGGCACCCAGCGAGAGCACCTGCAAAGAAAACGGCATCTTAGAAGGGGGAATCTCACGTAAGCTGTTATAGGCTTTTAAGCTTAAAGGTAGACAATATAGATTTTTCCTTTGTCTTTCTTACGCGGAATGATGTAGTGTGTGTGTGTGTGTGTGTGTGTGTGTGTGTGAACAGATGCTACCATTTTGTTTGTCACTGCTAATGACTTTTGTAATTATTTTCGTTCGTATGTTTTGATGAAAATTCGTGTATCTGCATCTGTATTTGTATTCCTGGTTGTGTATGTATGTATGTATGTATGTATGTATGTATGTATGTATGTATGTATGTATGTTTAAGCACGTGTAATCTTGTGTCTTCTCATATACCCCAAGGAATTCGTTTATCACACCTGTCCCGCCACTCAGAGGTAAACACAAACACGGATAAAAGAGTCGTGTACTGTACTAATTAAAGGGCACTATGAAGCATAACACTTTGGATTATAACCCCAGTATGTGCAGCCCTCATGCCTTCACACCTCCATCACACACACACACACACACACACACACACACACACACACACACACACACACACACACAACAACAACAACAACAACAATAACAATGTAACACAGTTTCTGGTTAAGAGAGAAAAAGTTTTTAACAACACACAAGACACTGGATTTCCAAGCGGTGCGTGAGAAGGAGGCACCGTGTTTGTTGCAGCATGCAGCACCAGCAGCTAACAGACATGTGCAGCATTCTATACGTGTCACGAAGAACTTGAAGTAATGTATGCAGACGACAACAGTTATACAGCATGGAAGACAGCATTAAACAGCATAGACAGAAAGCAGCATAAACAGGTAATGACAGCACAGAGAGCATAATAGACAGCAATAGCAACAAATAGCAGCATAGCCAAGCAGTAACAGGATGATAATAATAATAATAATAATAATAATAATAATAATAATAATAATAATAATAATAATAATAATAATAATAATAATAATAATAAATACAACAACAAACAAACAAACAAACAAACAACAAATAAAGATGTAAACAATATCAGCCAAGAGTAAACAAACAACAATAGAGGGAAACAGAAATCAAGTGTAGACAAAACATTGTAAACAAAACCACGTGTACTCTTGGGATCAGCTGGAGAAATTGTACTCCAGCACCAAAACAAAGGTACAATCAGCTGTTAATGGTGAGTACTAGGCCTACATGATACGTCTCCTGTCTGTCTGTTTGTCTCTTATTATCCTCTCTATTCTCATTCCCATATTATCTTTTTCTTTTCTCCTTCTTCTCGTTCCATCTCCCATCACCCCCATTCTATAATTCCCTTTCTCCTTCCCCCTCCTCTTCTTCCATTCACCCTTATCATACTCTCTCTCTCTCTCTCTCTCTCTCTCTCTCTCTCTCTCTCTCTCTCTCTCTCTCTCTCATTCTACACTCCCATTCTACTCTTCCTCTACCCTATTTCCTGTCCTTATTCCATTTCCCCCTCCCCCCTATCTTCCCCTGACCTTTTCATGACCTGCCCCTCCCTTCCTCCTACGTCACCACACCCAGACCACACCCATGTTACCTAGAACGAGGTCATTAGCTCTCCAGATTCGTAGGGGAGGGGAGGGTTTGGTGAGGGGGGAGTGGAGGGGGAGGAGGGGAGGTGGGGAGTTGTAGATTGTGGTTGAGATAGTGTTGGTGGTGGGATGGGATTGTGGTTATAGTGGTGGTGATAGTGGTGGTGATAGTAGTGGTAGTAGAGGGAGGAAGCACACCCCCCCTGCCGGTCGCCTCACCCACAACATACCGTAGCAATAAATTTCTCTTGTGTTAAGGGAAAAGTTTTACTGGAATGTATCTGATCAGATTTTAATGCAATTTAATAGGATTTATGAGTGAGTGTTGGGGAGGAGGGGAAGGGAGAGAGGGGAGGAGAGGAGGGGGCAGAGGAAGATAGGGAAGGGGAGGAGGTGAGTGGATAAGTGGTTGTGTGTGTGTGTGTGTGTGTGTGTGTGTGTGTGTGTGTGTGTGTGTGTGTGTGTGTGTGTATTAATTTCTCTCGCTCCTAAGAGAACAAACAGCTAATGTTCTCCTTCTCTCTTCTCTTAATGACACAACAGAGAATGGACGCCTTCAACAACAGCTCGATAAGAACGTGTAAAGAGGAAGGTTATAACACAACACATACTACTGTTATGGTTTAGTTTAACTCTTGAAATAATATACGAATGTTCTCTCTCTCTCTCTCTCTCTCTCTCTTTCTCTGTCTCTGTCTCTGTCTCTCTCTCTCTCCTTTTCTTTCTCTTGCTCTCAGTTTCCCTTTCACTGACTGACTGTCTGTCTGTCTGTCTGTCTGTCTCTCTCTCTCTCTCTCTCTCTCTCTCTCTCTCTCTCTCGCTTTCAGATAATTTGGGATGAAAATTCTTGACTCCTTGAGTACGACGTAAGACCTTGAGTACGACTTAAGAGGTACGCAGATGGCTTAACCCCTTGAGTACAATGCCCAACCCTATGAGTACGATGACAAGCCCTTGAGTACTGATAAGACGAATTAAACCCTAGGGTACGACGCCAACCCCTTCCAATGACTTAACCGTTTGAGTACGACGATATTGTACTCAGGGATAAATTCATCGTACTCACAATGTTAAGAAATACAATTACTACCTTGTTTATATAACCCGGATTGCTGGATTTTACGTGTATCCAGGTTATATTGTTGGCGTAATTGCAAAGTCAGGTAAAGTTAATGATTTTACCTGACCAAACCCACACAGAGAAGGGAGGGAGAGAGGGAGGGAGGGAGAGGGACGAAGGGAAGGAAAAGGTGGAGCGAGGGAGGCAGAGAGGGAGAGAATGAGGAAGGGAGGAAGGCTGGGAGGGAGGAAGGAAGAGGGACACCTGGTGAAAAAAATTTAATAAATATGAAAATAGTGAAAATTAAATAAAAATTCTCTAAACAAAATATCTATGTATCTGTTTTTTGTATAAATAAACAAACAAATAAATAAAATAGAAAAAAAATGTACTCAGAATCAGTTGACAAATACAATATACTGTAGTGCATTGAGTGTTGTTCTTGTTGTAATGTCTTCCTGCACTTCAAAAACCAACGGCCTTAGGAGCAGGAGGACGCCTTGAGCAATAGGCGAGGGAAGACTTCAGATGAAACACAACACTACACCAGGCACTGACTACCTCGCTCCAGGAAATAAAAGTTGAGAACGGGACAGGTCTGAGAGGTGCGTGTCGAATACGCCGGTAAAAGTGGCTTGGTGGGTATTGAAACGTCCCGAATACGACGTCCTAAATGTTGAAATAAGGCAAAGGATCTCCCCGGGGTGTCCTCAACCTGGTTTATGTAAGGAAAGGCGAGAGGCAGAGTCCTATATCTAGACAATACGGAGAAGGAGGAGGAGGAGTAGTAGGGGGGTGGAAGAGTAGGGAGAGGTGGAAGAGGAGGAGGAGGAGGTGGAAGAGGGGGAGGAGGAGGAAGAGAGGAGGAGCCTGGAGGAGGAGGAGGAGGAGGAGGAGAGGAGGAGGAGGAGGAGGAGGAGGAGGAGGAGGAGGAGGAGGAGGAGGTGGAAGAGTAGGGGGAGGTGGGAGGAGGAGGAGGAGGAGGAGGAGGGGAGGAGGAGGAGGAGGAGGAGGAGGAGGAGGAGGAGGAGGAGGAGGAGGAGGAGGAGGAGGAGGAGCCTGGAGGAGGAGGAGGAGGAGGAGTAGGAAGAATAGAGGAAGAGAGGAGGAGGGGAGGAGGAGGAGGAGGAGGAGGAGGAGGAGGAGGAGGAGGAGGAGGAGAGGAGGAGGAGGAGAGGAGGAGGTGGAGGAGGGAGGAGGTGGAGGGAGGAGGAGGAGGTGGGAAGAGGGGAGGAGGAGGAAGAGAGGAGGAGCTTGGAGGAGGAGGAGGAGGAGGAGGAGGAGAGGAGAGCCCGAGGAGGAGGAAGAGAGGAGGAGCCTGGAGGAGGAGGAGGAGGAGGAGGAGGAGAGGAGGAGGAGGAGGAGGAGGAGGAGCCTGGAGGAGGAGGAGGAGGAGGGAGGAGGAGGAGGAGGAGAGCCTGGAGGAATGCGTCACTTGTAAAAGAAGAAAATCGCCTCTAAGACACTATGGAAGGCCCTCAACCACTCAAGACTTTGCCTCTCAACTCATCTTGTTTGACGCTCCACATGAGACAGTGGCAGTGGGTCCCACGGGTAGTGTTGACACGGTACACTGCACTCGACTGTATTCACTTCCTCAACTGTAATATTAGATACCCATTCACAGTTGGATGAACGTACCCTGGCGCGAACCAATGATCCTAAAGACAATAGGCGAGCTCTGTATCCAATCGGCCGCAACAGCCTTCAATCCTCTTAAGGCTGAGCCACACCATCAATCCTTCCTCCCCAGTCTATCTCTACTGCTTTGACCCCCTCCCTCCCTCCCCTCCCCTTTCCTTTCCTAGCCTTCCCCACCCTCACTCCCCAATTCATCTCTTCGCTCGGTCTCTCTCTCCTTCCTCTCTCCTCCCTTCCTCCCTCCCTCCAATGTAAACCGTTGCCGCCAGCCCCTGTGCTCTCTCTAAATTCTACTCTCAATTGCCTCCAAATTGTATTAGATCACTGCCTTAAAATTCTCCTGTCTGTCTCCAAATTATCTTCTCTTACTGCCTTCAAATTCTCCTGTCTGTCTCCAAACTCCCCCCCTCTCTCTCTCTCTCTCTCCCTGTGCCTCCAAACTCTCCCGTGTTTTTATAATTATATATAAATCTATTAATAATTTTCTATAATATATAGCTATTGCTGCGAGTATATTATAAGTGGAGCTATCACTATTTCTGTGTATTCTAGGTAAACAAAAGCCAATACATCCTAGTTCCTCCTCCACCTATCGTTATCTAACTTATATTATCATCTATTTCAACCTATTTCCATTTATTGTCATCTACTATATCTTCACCTATTTCCACCTAACGTCATCTATTTCCATTTTTATCACTTATTTCCGCCTATCTTCATCAAGTATAATTTCTTCTATTTACCATGTATATAAT